TTAGACCTCAGCTCCATGAGATAAAGTGTTTACAGATGCAAGATTTATAATGAGCTCAAAAAAAAAAAGGCAAAAGTGAAAATGGACAAATAATGACAGGCAGGAATATTCCAGTGGCCACTCCTTCGGAAACTGCACTTTGTGGCATTGCACTCTCTGAAGAAAATCCAGATTTCACTAAAATCCTTAAGAGGTTATCTGATGGAAACTCTTTCCTTAGATTTATAGAACCCAGAGCATAAGTATGTAAGAGGCCCCCTTATTCTTTACTCCGGAGCTTTGTGAACACAAAGTATGCAGAACTGCTCTATGTTTAAACTGCAGATAACTTTGCTTACAGAGTTACAGGACCCAGCCTTAGGAAGCCCAAGTAAATTACAATGTTCTTGTCAGGGGAAAAAGACACATTGCCCAAATGACCAAGACTGCACTCTGCAAGCCTGTGCATACTGAACTCCTCAAGGTCTTTGGGGGAAGAGACACAAGGCACAGACCATTGAAATAAACTGGGCTTTTTTCTAATCAACTTTCGTCTCCATAGTGTTCACTTTAGAGCAGTCAGGAATATCATATTTTACTACAGAAGATGAAAGGTTATGGGAAGGAAGACACTGCAGTGGTTATGCCATCACTTGATGTCCATAGTCATTCGTTTCTTCATTTCCTAAGAAGGGGTTACAGACATCAGTTGCAGGTGACAGTGGGACAGTTCTGACGATCTGCATACTTCAGCTTTTGCAGTTACACAGTGGTCTGGAACTATGGTTCTACCCTGCTGGCCTCCCATTCTCAGCTCAGCTGCAATCAGTAGACTGTTCTTACCTATCATCTTAATTAATTATACTCCACTTCCAGGAAGGGGTGGTGGTAAGAGTCATTCTCTCCATGATCAGAGCAAGAATGCAGACAATCACAGAGACAAAGGCATGCTGGGATTACAAAGAACCTACTGCAATGAGATATGAATGACAAGGGCATACCCCGTCTGTGCACGAGGGGAGCGTAGTTGGTGAAGAAGCAAACGGAGGAAAGATAATATCAGTGTTGTCTTTATAGTCACTAGTCTAGGGACATGGTCATCCGTGTCTGAAAAATATTGTCTAAAATGTCCATACAGGATACTGGCAAAAAATGTTCAACTCAGATACGAAATTCACTGCCATACACAGTCAGTATTTGTTTAAAACTTTATTTTGATTATAGTTCCCCAAATCTACACTAGAGAAGTGTTCATAAAGATAGGCCAATGTGGTTGATAGTTTAATCCTCAAAGTGTCATCTGGATTATCTAGATGTGGACTTTAATTCACATCTCTAATACCACTTGCCATGAGGCTCTGAAAGCCTTTAAGTTTATGAACCCAAAAGGTAGAGGGCCACGGTGGCTATGAGCTCATCTGGAAACCACTCTCCTGACTGCATTACATCTGCTTGGGCCAAGGAAGCATGCATATGATACGGGATCTCCTTACCAGCTTGGTCTGAGATGAACTCAAATGATTAATCTCAAGGAATATTACCTCAGTCTCCATGCATTTTCTTCCATTAAAAAGTCATTGGCCAGACCAACCTGGTTGCTTTTCTCATTGGGATCCCCTTCTACTCTTAGGATTTCTTCCTTATTTTTCCTTAATCAGTCTGTTTGCCCCTCTCACTCCATGTCTGTGTTTTCTTATTTTTCTTGGGTGTGAGAAAACAACTTCAAAAGCTCAGGGTGGCTTTGGTGACCATTGATGGTTTGGTACCTAATCATCCCAAGGGAAACTCACCAAGAACTGAGAAAGTCTCTGTTGCTTTCAACAAAACAAAATAAAACAAAAAAAAAAAAAACCAAACCAGCCTCTGTGGGACTAGTGGATAGGAACATGGTGATTATCATCAATATTGCTCATGGTGTAGATCAAGGAGTAAATAATACCCAGATGGTCATTTCTATAAAGACATACTGTCAGTAGGTGCTGCACTTAGTTTGGAAAGTGGGTTTAAGTAAGGTACGCATCACACACTTCTTGGTTTTATAGTCAAGACCATCTTGGAAGCAGATTTAATTCAGAACAACTGCTATTCTGAAAGGCTGGAATCATGCTGCCTGCATCTGCTTAGACACCGTGCGTTCACATGGAAACCAGCTGCTGGGTCCCGCTTCTGGAGTCTGCAAAAACGAGCAGCAGTTGCTTTCTGAAACTCACATGCTGGAGACAATGCACATTTCCCCGTTTCTTCACTGTGTGAAAGATACCCATGACACACCACCATTCTCTCGGTTTTTTCATAAACTAAAGTGTTTTTTAAATGAATAGAAGAGACAGCAGATGAAAACTATTATTAGCCCAATTTGCATCATTCTTGTATTCTTTATTCTTTTTTCCATTTCCAAGACTGTCCCCAAATGATTCTATCACATATTTACAACCTTTAATTCACATTCGTTGTTCAGCAAGTGTTTATAAAGTTAGTAATTGTATCCAAGATTTTATAAGTTCTGCTTTTCATCCAAAATTATAATTAGAAAATGGGCTCACCCACCGACTGAGGAAGACTTTCATAGCCTGGGGCAAAAATCCAGTGAGTAGATTTGAAGCAGATGTTCTTGCCTTCCTCCAAACTCCCTTCCTCCTCCTCCTCCTCTTTCCCCTTTCATCCATTTCTCACCTCTTGCCACCAGTTCCATTTCTGAGCAAAATTCTTGCATTAATATTGTTTCTAATGTAGTAAACTGAGTTCATGATACAGATTAGAAACAGTAAAGCATGCCATAAAGCACCCATATCTACAACAGAGAGTTGTTAAAGATGATGGAAAGGCCATGCTACAGGAGGATGAGGGCTTTTCTTTCAATTGATCAGTTGTGGCTTTTATAGAACTATGTATTCATGATGAAGTATTTTGTGAAACTAAATATGATCCTAAAGGCCAGAAGATGGCAAAGAGGAATGAGAGATGACACAACTCAGTTGGCTAATGCTTACCAGTGGGCTTATCATGCACAAGACAATAATATTCCTAGATGCAGGCCGAAATTTCAACACAAACTCCAGATAGGAGACTAGCAGACCTTAGGCCAATCTACCTTGCTTAGTTAACTTTCTAGGCTATTATAATCTCCATGAATCTGGAAGCAACATATATTTTTCCTTACAGACTATCCACTTACCCCTAAACGTTTCCTCTCTATTCTATAGTCATTTATAGATTCAGTGCAAACAATGTTTTTTCTTCCATGAATTTTGATACAAAACTATGCTTAGCTCCCACGCTGGTCAGATGCACTTCCAGTACCTAGCTCTTTTGTTGGCGGCTGCGGAACTTATCCTGGACCTACTCCTTTCCTGATGGAACCTCAAAAGCCTCAACAAGCCCATTCACATCAGAGAGCTTTTGTTCTCTGGAGTTCTGGCTTAACTACGACAAAAAAGTCTATTTATCTCATATTTTTGCAGAATTATGTGGTATGTTATTCATTAATTTTTGTACCAGTAGATTTTGTTTCTAGAGTATACATCAGGAAAATGACAGACATTATATGTAGAGAGTGCCTTGTCAATGTAATTAATGACTTTTAATCAAACTAGCTATAAACACATGGTGGAAATACTACATATATATGAACAATGACCAATACATACAAACCACATTCTGTGGTTTAATGAACCACAGAAATGATCCCAATAATATAGTTTTACATTGCTTTCAAAGCTCACATTTGTTGGCACCTGTGGAGAAATGGCTCCATGGTTAAAAGCATTTGCTGCTCTTCCAGAGGACCTGAGTTCACTTCCCAGCACCCATGTTAGGCAGCTCACAACTGTCTGTAATTATAGGTCCAGGGAATCCCATGTCTGGCTGCCCTAGGCTCCTGTATTCATGCAGACACACTCCCCTACACATAATTAAAACTAACATCTTTTTTAAAAATCATATTTGTTACATAGTTAGAGTTGTAAAATCTCATGGGGGTATATTATTCCCACAAAGAAATCTATTTAGAGAAGGCAAACGTGATTTGTGATACTAATCTCTTTTTCCTCCATTAAATCGACATGTTCTAAAATCTCATCAAATTCTTTAGCAACTGGAATTTCTCAAGTGTTCAGAATCCTCATGTTGAATGTCATAGAACTTCTAGTCATCTTTTACCTTTTAACTTGAAAGTTGAAAATAAATAAGGCTCCTAGGTAGCAAAATCATAGTTTACTAATTAGTTAGCTGTTGCTGTGATGAAAGCACCTGATCACAAGGACGGAAGCTTTATTTTGGCTCAGGGTCTGCAGGTGTCAGTCTGTGGTTACTTTGCCCATTGCTTCTGGGACTGTACTAAGGCAGAATAACATGGTGTGAGCCCCAGAGAGAAGAAGGGACCAGGTTTCAGTACATATTTCAAGGCCATTCCTCAAATGCTTTAATTTCCTTCTTTAGGTGAGCCTTGCCTCCTCCAAGTTCTCTCATATACTGGTAACCAGGACCCCCACATAGCTGGTGAAAGACATCTAAGACCCAAACCATAGTGCTTGTCTTCTCTTCAGTGTCTCTAGGATATGTACATGTTTGTGGTTTGTGTAGATGTGGACAAGCATGTGTGCAAGTCTTTGTGTGCCAGCAGGTGTGGAGGCCAAAGAGCATGGCTGAGTGTCTTCCTCGATGACTCCACATTATTTTGAAATAGGGCTGGATACTGAATGCAAAGCTCACTAATTAGGTGGGATGGTTGGCCAATGATCTCAAAGGATCCCCATATTTCTGCTCCCCCCCCAGGGCTGGGGTTCCATGTGTGTACCATCACACCTGGTACTTACACAGGTGCTGGGAATCTAAACTCAGGTCCTCTTGCTTTTGCAGAGGCATGCTATTGATGGAGACATCTCTCCAGCTTCTTGATCTTTACTGGGAAAATATAAGTAACCAACATATATCTAATTGTAAGAAATAAGTATCCAATATATATCTAATTATGAGAAAAATAAGTATGCATACCTATTGGTGAAATTATTAAGGCCACTCCACGTAGTTAAAAGGAGATTTATTTAATGGCGTAACTTACAAATTAAGGGATAGGTAGGTCGCGGGGTCTGGGGAAAGTGTATCGCAGTCCAGCGGTGTTCTCTGGAGCTCTGCTTGGGCCACCTCCACCATCCAGGGTCCCGCAACCGAGAGCGCGCTCTCCGATCCAGATCTCGGGTCCCCAGGCGCCTCCCTTGGCCCCGCCTTGTAGGCATGACAGTTGCCGAAGTCTCAATGGGGGTTGGAACTTCCAGATCCATGCTTGAATGGCTACCCACTACATCTCCCCCTTTTTGTCTAAATAAGAAAGTTCTAACCTAATACAAGACTATATACAAAGGAATGGTTATCAAATATTGTCCAGGAATAATGAGGGATAATGACCTAGATAAGATGGAACTACAACCAATGAAAACAATATCAAGCAAGAAACACATACTAAAATCCAGAGAAGTATAGAGCATAGGTAAATGGCATGTTACAAAGATCATTCCAAAAGGTGTCCTATCCTAAAGAACCTGAATCTAATGGAATGTCTACCCACTACACATACCAAATATTTTTATAAAAGCTATTTAGCTGGGCAGTGTTGGCACACGCCTTTAATCCCAGCATTCAGGAGGCAGAGCCAGGAGGATCTCTGTGAGTTCAAGGCTAGCCTGGTCTACAGAGTGAGATCCAGGACAGGTACCAAAACAAAACTACACAGAGAAATCCTGTCTCGAAAAACCAAAAATAAATAAATAAATAAATAAATAAATAAAATAATTTAAACCATCACTCTGAAATTAAAAGAAGTAGTTGGTGGTGTATGTGTCGCAAGTGCATATGTAGATTAAATGCTCAGGTTTTTTGCAAATCCTCTAGCAGACCATTGCCTATACACAATCTAATTATTGCAAGATATTTTTCTAGAGAAGTTACTTGTTAAAGAATTAGGTTAATAAACATCTTATCAATAACTGACCAGTTTAACTTATACCTAGAAAATTAACTTATTTAGAATTCTACCAACATTATTCCTTTTAGTAAGAGCATGCTTGCATTTAAGCAATTCCTTACTGGCTTGAGGGAAATCATTTTCAGACACAACATTCACAGGAAAGATAAACACAATGATTGTAATGACTTGTTTTAAAAATTGCATAAATATCTCACTTAAAGAATTGTACTTTTCTTTTTTTTTTTAAATAAAAGACTTGTATATTGGTTGCCTCCCTCAACTTTTTCTGGAGCCAGCAAGTGCACGCTGTATACTCAGCTGAGAGACTTTTTATCAGTACTCTTAAAAGCAACAGGGTGCACAATTAAGAAAGCTTGCCATCTGCAGAACCCTCCAGGTGCAAGAGGCATTTGTTTTATTTAATATTACCACGGCATTGATTTTACCTCATTAATGTATGTCATTCATCCTTTATTTCAAATTAGGATTGCCAAAACTAAGTCAATAGATATCATGTCCTGATTCATCTTCGTGAACACTTTATAGCATGAACAGTATTAAGCAATTTTTGTAGCTAGGAAATAACTGGCTAGCTTTCACAGCTGAAGAACAAAAATCCTATCAACAAAGTTTTCTTTGTATTGGAATAATTTTTCAAGGGGGAAACACACCACTTCAGGTGGCCCACACACTAGCAAATACAGCATCACAGAAAGAGAAAAGTATTTTCAGTTTCTTAAGACCAGAAAGCCTCTACTGAGTTGCTGACAATAGCAATTCTCCCTTTTTAATAAAGAGCATGCCTCAACTTAAGACAATAGATCCTAGGTAGAACTTTTGTCATACTGACTTCTCAGACAAAGTAGTGAGTTAAGATTTCTCTCAAGACAATTTAAGTTGAAGGACTGTCTTAGTTAGGGTTACTATTGTGGTGATGAAACACCATGACCAAAGCAACATGTCAGGGGAAAGGGTTTGTCTGGATTACACTTTCACAGCACTGTTCATCATTGAAGGAAGTCAGTACAGGAACTCAAACAGGACAGGAACCTGGAGGCAGGAACTGATGCAGAGGCCATGGAGGAGTGCACTCAGCCTGCTTTCTAATAGAACATAGGATCACCAGCTCAGATATAGCACCGCCCACAATGGGCTGGGCCCTCCCCCACCGTCACAATAAAAATGCCCCACAGCTAGATTTTATGAAGGCATTTTCTCAACTGAGATTCTCTCCTTTCAGATAACTCTAGCCTGTGTCAAGCTGACATAAAACTAACCAGGATAATAACTAATATTTATAAGGGAAAATTAATAATTAATATTGCAGGTATATGAAAGCAAGGGAAATATTACAAAGATTTTAAAGCACTGGAATTTTGAAAATTTTCTGTAAGTTGATTTGTATCCAACTTTTGTATTCACTTGTGTACAGGAAAAAAGACAATATTGAATAAAAAAAATGAAAATTGAAGACTGAAGAAAACATTAAATGTTTTTGTTCTGTATCTTTTAAGAAAGTACAAACTACTCTAATTTTTGATTGCTTATTCTTGACATGATAGAAATATTTTATATTCTGATATCTCACTTAATCTCCCAAACTAAAGTAAACCTGTAAATTTTACTGAATGGAATAAAGTACCTATAAGTTAAGGACATTTAGGGGAATGGAAGTGTTAATGTGTAGTACTGCCAGCTAGACTCAGGCAAGAATCATCATTTCTAGAAAGAAGAAAATGTGTATTTCCCAAACATAAGTATATTTCTGAACACACACGGTAAGGAGAAAGAGAGAAAGGCTCACAGGATATTTAATGACACAAGAAACAGCTGAATGAACTTAAAGTTGATAGGAATAAACACCTTAGCGATGTCCATGGCTACACAAACACAGGGCTGAATGAAATGACAAAGACAATTCCAGACTAGAAAACCAAATTTTGTAAGAGAGAGAAATATTCAAGAGAACTGAAGCCGAAATGAAGGTGGAATTGAAAAACTCAGGAACTCAGGGGAAAGCCTTACAAATAGAATGGGTCAGGTAGAAGACAGAGTATCAGAAAATGCTTTATTGGCAAAGAATACAAGACTCTTACACATACACATGGAACATGAAGAAACTTCGCGGCACCGTGAAAAGACAAAATTATAGGTATAAAAGGAGAAGAATGGCAGGACAGTGGCATGGAGCAGCTTTCCCACAGGATTACAGACAGACTCTCCTAAGAAATCATACTCAGTGCTAAAACCAAGAGAAGCCTGCTCCACTAAGATGCCTAAGGCAGTCTTCTGAGTGCCATGCTTTAAAATTCAAATATTTTCAATGGGACAATTCTGAGATTATTACCACACATTTACCTCTCTGACAGAATTTCACTTAGGGCCTACTGTTAAAGTTCCAGCACTTGGCTTATCGTCAAAGGCCTACACAAATATTTTGCCTGTAGTTTACAATGAAATGGACAATTTGGAATACTTCTATCTTGAGGCAAGAGAAGCTGAAATGTAAAGCACACAGAAATCATTTTAAGAATACTTATTTTCCCTGGGTCTCTTACTCTTTTATATAGACATTTTCTTGGCACCAACAGCTTTATTTTTTTTTTAATCTCTTGAAGTACTGGAGACCAATCTAGCCTAACAAACAGCTCCCTTTCAAAGGGCAAAGTTTAACATTAATTCCTAGGAGACAAAGTCCAGGGACATCTTTGCACAAATCAAATGCATTCCAGATCTGTCATGAACTGGAAACAACAGCGGGTTGTGGGAAGCATGTGATGAGAGTTCTGACATTCCCACATAGCAAGCACAAAGCCCATCCCTCCTGTCTCTCTGCAGGCAACCTTTCAACTCCAGCTTTGCTGGGAGATCTGAAGAGGGGTGTTGGCACTCAGACAACAAACTACCTGAGCAAATCTAAAGGGGCTTAATGCCATCCATCTACCTCAGACAAGGAAGAGTTCCCTTCTTCTCTTCAAGTCTGTCAACATCTGCCTTCTCAGGATTCTTAAGGTGAAGAAAAAAACAAAACAAAACAAAAGGAATGAAGGAAAAGAAAAAGAACTCATTGTGTCTTCTCCATCATGATTCAATCTTCTGATACACGAATTTCTTTGACTTGTTATTCTCCTTATTACTCCAGATGCTACAAATGGGCCAGTGTGAAGTTAACACATCATTACTGCTAAAATTATCCCTTGGCAGTACTGAGGAACAGCACCAGAAGTCTGTGGTAGTCTCCAAGTTTAACTGAACAGTAACACTGAATTTATAGGCAATCCATTGTCTTGTATCATATACAACACTAATAATATGTGATTAATTTTAAACTGTTTGCCTAAGGGTGTTCTTCCATAACATAAAACATACATTTATAGCAAAGAATAATATAAGAAGCATGTGCCTTTGCTTCTTTACTAAGCTGGTGGAATCTACATTCTTTTCCTTTCAACTTTATCTGTGTTTCTCTTCCTCATGTTCACTGAGAGAGGCTCAGAATTTCTTCTGTTACACAAATCTAATCATAGTAGCTCATGATATTAAAGTGCATTATTAATTATCTAGGGATTCCTTTATAAAGTGCTGCCAACTGGTAGTTTGAAACAAAGTTAAGTTTATTTTCTCACAATTCTGGAGGTCAGGAACTTGAAATCAAGATGTCCCCTAAAGAACTTCATGAGAATGAACCCTTGCCTTTATGGGTGATGGTCCTAGGGGTGCCTTGGCGGATGTCCTAGCCTCCATCTTCACATGGCCATCTTTGCTCACATGGCTGAGTTGTCACAATTACAGGACAGGACCCATTCTAATACAGCCTGTCTTTAACCACATTGGCAAAAAGATTAAATTCTGAGATTCAGGTGGGTATAGATTCTTAGGACACCATTAAGTGGAAGACACGTACCTGCCTGTTTCTTTTCTAGGGGCAGGGACTAGGGGTAGTACCTTCAACATATTGCCTCAAACATTAATTTGATTGCTTGACTTTTTCCCAGTACTGATACTAGTATCCCCTATTAAAATATTTTTGACTTTAAACTTGTAGAAGTGGCTAAGTTCAGCATCCATAGTATACCATGCAAGGATTTAGCCATATCTTCATGAGAGAGGGTCATTAAAAGATGGCCAAAAACCTATAGGTTATCAGCATGAAAAGATGGATTTTGCTAACCAACCACCTCAGCTGTCAAGGACTGACTGAAGATATGTTACAATCTGTACTTTGGTTCATTCATTTTGAGTTTTGAATGGACAACTAAACTCACAAGGTGATTATATAAAAATATTTTCTTATATTTGAAAAATTAACTCAAAGCTTTTCAACAAAATGAGCTATCATTTTACAAAGAGAACCAGTAAGAAAGGATGCACTTTCACTAGTGAATTTGAGACAGAATCCACAGACAGAGCTTTCTCACTCTGTTCTCCATCCAAACTGGCCTTGTTCAGTATGAAAATTTCCATTGGATGCATTTTAGCAGTCTATAAACTGTACAGTAATAAGACTGTATTTGTAACATCCCTGAAAAACATCAATGGAACACTTTTCCTATGTCGTCTTCCCCAGCTCACGAGCAGTTTTTAAATCTCTGCTGTTAGGAAACATTGTGGAGGTAAGAACATTGAGGTTTGCACAAAGATGTTGTCCAGAGTTCTTTAAATTGCATCTATGGTGAGACTCGATAATAGAAAACAGTAAATCTTGAATAATAAAGCTTTTTTTCCCAACATAAAGAACAAGGAAAGCATCTGCTTTTTTGTTGTGCACCACAGAAACTTATTTATTCACTTTACATTTACACAAGAATGTTATAATAAAATATCTGTACACTACTTTTGCTACAAATATAGATAATATTTAAAGTGACTTTATATATTCTAATGTAGGAGTTTCACGCTCTAAAATGGGACTGAACACATGATAATTCCTCACCAGTTGTCTCAGTAAACAGCTCCATCTGTTCCCCTTAGTCTTAAACTATTGTATTATAAGATGTTAATACACGGCAGTGAAGTGAAGTGATGTTAACCCCCTTAATTTTTCTGTAAATTTATTAATGGCATACAATCAAAATAATTACTAACATACTGCCTTTTTCTTTGTCATTAAGATTAATACTAATGGAAAAACAACAAGCACACCACACTAACATATTTTCAATCTGTTAAGTCAGCGCTAGAAGGTTCTGGCTCCTTCCTATGTCTTCCATGGCTAGATGGTTGCTTTCCAGAAGAACTGCTGCCAACACAGGGTAGCATCATTATTGTACTTATAATGACATGAAATTATAGCAGGTCAAAAACTGAAAATGAATACCAAGATACACATTAGACACAATTTCTTTTTAAAGCTTAGTAAACAATGTTAGCAGAAAAAATATATATTAGAGATAAGACGATCCAATATGTTATAATGTTCACAGTTTTAAAATAGTAGACTAGTCAAGATTATTGTGAACATTTTTTTGGGGGCGGGGGTCTGCCAGATTGGGGCACTTTTCTAAAACTCACGATTGTCTCCTTTTTTGGGGCGGAAATTTTTACTTTTTATCCTAATTTTCTGAAGCTATTTCTCTTGGCTACCTTTGAGTTATTTTGTTTCCATATTACCAAGATGAGCACATAATAATTTTTTCCACGTGACTATAAATTGTTAGAGATCTTCAAAAATAAAAATGAGGTTTACCTATGTAAATATTCCTTCTCTATGAGGTTAGGAGCATGAAATGCAAGGGGAAAGAAAAAGTGTGCTCAGCTGTCAGTAACAAATCCCTAAATGTTTCTCTTCCCCTGTAGTTTCCCCCCTTGAACACAGCATAGGAAGTCCAGGGGACAGTTCCACTCTGTTACAGCAGGAGGTAAGCAAGTGGCTGGGCTGCTTCAGCTCTGGCAGCCAGTTCAGGAGAGAACCATGAGGGTGACAGTGCCTTTTGTCCGCTTAAGGATGGCAACCGCTTCTTCATGGGTTACTCCTTCTAGACTCTGCCCGTTGACAGCAATGATCTGATCGCCCCTTTTCAGACGCCCGTCTTCCGCGGCTGCTCCCTGCAATTATAAAGTAGGCTTGTTTACTTGTGAAAGAATTCAGCCTCACACAAAGAAGAGCTGAACAAGAATGCAAATTGCTCTGCATGTACACACACACACTGCTCCTGGCGCCCCATCCCATTAGGCATGATGAACACACACAAAAGAGGCCTTTCTCCAAAATGGTTTTAACACTGAGATTCCAATCTGGGAGTGAATTTAGCAGTCAACAGCGTAGCTGGATGTTTTTTTGGCTGTTAAGCACAGCAGTTGGTAGCAACTAAAATTAATAAAGAATATTTGGGCATTTGCCTAGCAGGAACGATTTTATAGAAACAAGGGATTTCTATCCATAAAGAAGACCTACAGAAAGACAAGAGATCAGTGAGCAACGAAAGCAGCTTCATCAAACAAAGCTATAGACTCCAGAATCCATACATGTCCAAAAACAGAAAGCTCACATGGAGGCTGACCAGAGCAGGGTAAGGCAAAGTGATTATTTGAAAGCCATTCCAGGGCTGGGGAGACGCTGCTTGTGCAGTACTTATCCAGGATGGATGAGGCCCTGAATTCCATCTTCAGCATACAGCCAGACACAAGCCTCCCAACCACTGCTATTTGTAATTTTTTTCTAAGCTTTGGAAAGAAAAACTGCTCAAGCTGTCTAGGTTCTTACTGTAAGGGTAGAGAGAGTCTTCCTATTTCTATAGGCCCTAAATAATTATGATTAAACACAGACATCCTATTTAAAAAAGAACTCCATCTTAAAGCATGCATATAGAAGATAATTATGCAATTAAATATGAGATTAAAAATATGGAAAAGTTAATGAGGAGTGTATAATGATGAAATTCTTAAAATATGTTCTAACTAGCATGCCTTAAATAAATCGTTCCTAGGCCGAGGAAAAGGACTGCATGGTGCTTCTATTCATTGGCAAATGCTGTCTGTATTTTTGGATATACCAATAACTTTTTAAAAAATCTCACAAATTAAGCCTACAGCTAGCTTGTCACAAGAACAACACTTTAAATTGGTTGAAAATAGTAGTATTTTTCTAAAATAATAGAATGAAACTTCCATAAAATAGAGGACCGTAGCACTTTAAAGAGCCCGGATGAAGTCTTTGCAGGCCTGACATTCATTTTCTTCTTTTACACTGTACAATGTGGGATTCCTGGTTTTCTTCTGCAGGGAACATTGTTCAATTTTATAGTCTTTGAAAATAGGTCTTAACAACACAGTATCAACCACTGTATGTGTTTCCATTATTTTAATGACTTCATCAAAATTATAGTCTCTTTATTCTTATTGTCAACATTCTTGAGCTAGTTTAGTAGATGACTACAGCTCTCTACAGAGCTTTCTTTTCAAAAGCAATTGAACCTCTTGATTGCTATCCTGCTTCATCATAGATGACAGGGTTGCCCACCACTCCTCGAATTTAAAACATGCTTTTCTTTTCAATTAAACTTATAAACACCCTAGTTATAACATGAGATGCATTTTGTGTATTTTTCTGTACCTATGTTGTATTTTGCAACTACAAAAGAACACAGAGGAAAACATGTCAGTCCTTGACAATAGATATATATGAAAGTCCATTTTCAAAAGGTCACCATGTACAACTTCCTTTCAAATGAAAAGGACAGGCTTAATCATTTTGTGTATATTGCTGAATTTCCACAGAGTTTCAATTTGAGCTTATTTTTCTCTAAACATAACTAAACCTCAAATTGGACAAAAATATTTAATGACCTGTTCCTGCAGGGAATTTAGAAAGAAAATATCATCGTTAACCATTTGGCATCACCTCAGGCCATAAACTAATAAGCCAGCTGCTGACCAGCGTTAATTAATTAATGTCTAGCAAGGAACAGAATGGTTAAAACTTGAAAGCTTACCTTTGCAAACACTGTTTTAACATAAATTGGTAAGTCTCCGTGAGGGCTGCCATATCCTCCTACAATGCTGAAGCCTAAGCCATCTGGTCCTCGGTCTAGTGTTATCGTCTTACACTGTGGAGGTCTACAGAAAAGGGAAGGGGAAAAGAGGTTTGTGACTAAACACACACACACACCACACACATATACACACACCCACAACACACACCCACAACACACACACACACACACACACACACACACACACACACACACACACACACACACAATCATTACTCTCTGTGCTTTGTGCATTATCTGATTCAAACTACAGTTAGCATGCTTCTTCTGCACGTTATCGATAAGGAAGATGTTATTTATTGCATGATCTCACAGCAAAGAAATTCTCATTCTTTCTTCAGTTTATTGGGCGAGAAGAGGGTAAAAATTTAGAAGACTATAATGGAGAGTTATAAACACTAGTCTCAACTCCAGAGGGGAAAATCAGTTGTGAGCCATGTAGGAGCCACAGCAAATAATTTGAAAATTCAAATGTGCCACTCTTCACTCTTCCTCTTTTCTAGTACTTTTACACTTAGTGTTGTTTTCAAATATATTCAATGTTTTCAATCAAAAGTTTAATCAAGAAGAGTAAGACATCCTCTCCAAAAAAAAAAATCAAAACTGAAAACTGGGAAAGTGTAGTAGGATGAACAGCTGTCTGTAATCTACCCATCTCTGACTAGTAACTGTCTGTAATCTACCCATCTCTGACTAGATAACTGTCTGTAATCTACCCATCTCTGACTAGATAACTGTCTGTAATCTATCCATCTCTGACTAGTAACTGTCTGTAATCTACCCATCTCTGACTAGGTAACTATCTCTAACCAGGTAACTGTCTGTAATCTACCCATCTCAGACTAGGTAACTGTCTCTGACCAGGTAACTGTCTGTAATCTACTCACCTCTGACTAGATAACTGTCTCTAACCAGGTAACTGTCTGTAATCTACCCACCTCTGACTAGATAACTGTCTCTAACCAGGTAACTGTCTGTAATCTACCCACCTCTGACTAGATAACTGTCTCTAACCAGGTAACTGTCTGTAATCTACCCACCTCTGACTAGATAACTGTCTCTAACCAGGTAACTGTCTGTAATCTACCCATCTCTGACTAGGTAACCGTCTTTGACCAGGTAACAGTCTGTAACTTACTCATTTCAGACCAGGCAGCTGTCTGGAATGACACCTCTAACTGAATGACAATGAAAAGCATTGGCACTTTCTACTTCCTACTTCTCCCATTGTTCTGTCTCTGAGTGCCAGAACATGGGACAGAGATTGCATGTGTCTGGAGCATTTGATTTGAAAGCAACAAATGATATACCACCAGTAATGTCTGTGCTCACCCTAGATCATCCGGAAATATACTGCTTGATGTTAGCCCTGTGAAAGCAAGACACGGATTGGCAAGCTCTTGCTGATGACCTGTGACCACGCTCACATCTCCCCCAGCAACCACCTGTGTGTGGGCAAAGCAAAAAGAGAAGAACATATGTTCATGTAGCTTAAGAGAACCCAAAAGACTTTTCTCCAAGAAATAAACTTGGCTTAAAATGAGTATTTTACTGTCTACTTAATCAAAGAAATGATTAAAATATTATTAAAAAGAAAGGAATTTCACAATGCCCAGACACCTCTTAACAGTCCAGATAGTAAAAACATCCTAAATTAAATTCTACAGTTTTCTTTGATGTTTATAAATCATGACCTCATGTGCAATTATTTTTCAAAGATCTTTAGAAGACATGCCACTCAGAGAGCACACAAAATTCTAACAATTAATCATTAGTTGCTAAGGCCCTGTACTTTTCCCTTTAGATATAAAATGTGAAATAATGAAGGCATCAGGATGAAATGTTACAGAACATGTTTCATAATGCTTTCTTGGAGCTCTCATCTGAATCACTGACGTTCAAGGGATATATTAAATAAAATAGTAGCAGGAGACTGAGTCATTCTATTTAGCACCAGAGCTCCTGTGTCCTCAGGCCACCTGTATTCTGAACCGTGCTGGAATAAAAGCCGTACCTGCATTTCAATGGAGCCAGAGGCATTTTTCATCAAGTTAACTGCTTGTGTATGAGTCATCCCTTCAGTGGATGTGCCACAGATGGTAACAATCCTATCCCCAACCTGCAAGACAAATAGCCAAAATGCAGAGCAGAGCTAACAGGCCAGCACAGTCCTTCTTCTCTACCACTCAGCATGCCTAAGTTGCCACCCACCACCAAAATATAACCAAGGAGACCACTAACTCAAATCTAAGAAGGAGCTACAAAAAGAGACTCGGCGCACATGAACTTGATAGTTCTAGGGGAGGGGGAGAGTGATGAGAAGAAAGTCACTCTTCCCTGGCCCTCCTTTCTCCTGAGTAAGATAGTACTTCTTATTAAAACCATAAAGTATCAGCGTCATTCAGAAGCCAGATCTTCTCTGGACATAATCACCATGAGTGTTAGATGAAACCGTAAGTCAGAGGTTGGCAAACTGAGGGCAGCAGAGCTAAGCTGGCACACTGGCCGCTTCAGTTAATAAAATCTGCTTGGAAGACAGCATGCTTGCTTGGCTATTTCACAGGGCAGAGCTGAGCAGCTGCAAGAGAGTCCTATGACTCAGTTGAAAGTGATCACTTGCTGTCCTTTAGGACGTTCATGGACTCTATGACACTATGGGATAATCAGTTTCTCAGCATCCATCCTAAGTTTAGAAGTGCTAACCACTCACTCCCAAACCAGAGGCTATTTAACTAAGATATGACTCCTTTGGAGACTTCGCTTGCAGCTCGGGCCTAGGAGATTTTCCTTCAGAGACCCAGCTGCAGAAGTCATGTCTGCAGGGCCAGCAGGTGTTCCAACACTGCTCCACACTCGGGCCATCCCTCAACCTGGAAACAAATCTGTATGTTCTGTAGTATTTTGAATCATATTTGCATTAAACTTCAGTAAAATTTTTAATAAGATGAAGTAAATAACATTTTTCAATTTGGTATGTCAAATCAGCACTTAAACCAGTGGGAGTTTCCCTCCGGACTTGTGCTCTGAACATACTCTGTGACCTTTTCAGCGTGTTCCACAGTTGTAACTGCCTTACAGTCTTGCACCTGATGACATCGTGGTCCTGTTTGTTATTCTTTATCTTTCATTTACAGTAAGTGCAGCCTAAGCTTCACTAACTATTTAAAAGCAGATTTAATCCCTGGCCATAGGCGGCTGGATTGAGAAGCTGGAAACACCTGCTAGATTTGCTAAGGCCATCGTGGTTAGCAGGAAAACTTACTCTGAGTTTCTGGGTTTGAGCCGCAACACCATTTGGATGCATCATTGCAATAAATATAGGAACATCGCCAAGTGGGCTGCCTAATCCTCCAGCAATGCTGATTCCCAGTGAGTCAGCAGGCCCCTGTCATGGAACAGATAGATTTTAAACTGACCTTTTGTTTGTTCTTTGACACACAATATTCTATTGTCAGTTAGGATCTTCTAGGTATGAGGGTGGAATATACTTCATTTGACACAAGAGGTTTAGGAGAGTAAGCATCTGTTTGGGAAAAATGCAATCAACACATACTAAATCTTGTTGAGACTGATAAAAGGCAGGAGAACTCTGGAAGCAAGAAGACTACAGAACCAGATAGTTCCTGACTTTGAACATGGCACTTTCTAGTGCCAGGCCTGGAGCACATCATGCACTGTCCCCAACAAAACTCTGGGTCTTACAGAGGCCATCAGTGAACATGAAGCATATTATGATGGCATGCAATGTTGAGAAGGTTGTGCAATAAGTCTCAGCAAACCATGCCTTATGTTCTCTCTTAGACATGGCTATTATTAGGTCATATATCTGAAATAAAGGTTTATTCATCAGCACAAGAGAGGCACGGAATTATTTTGTGTAGGGACACTTTTGACAGTACAGAAAATGTAAATAAAGGCTTTTCATTATGTCTAAGGAATTTGACAATGATTGAATTGCACTATTTCCACCGCTTACAATGTACATACAGATTTTTCAGATGGGCACTATAAACTACTCAACAAGAAAATACAAACAAAAATGCCTTAGAAGAAAGCAAATTACCTTTTTTATTTCGACTGTTCTTAATCCCTGAATTTCAGATGCTACTGTAAAGGCAGAAGCAGATAAAATATCTGTTAAAACATTTTTAGGCTTATTACCATTTTAGCCAATGCAAAGAGCTGGATGGCACTGCATGGGTTCTCTCTTTTTCATAAGAGTGCACTTGGTTATCAGCAGAACATATGATTAAATCCACTTCACACGGAACTCTATTTCTCCAATGGGAACACCATTCCATTCCATTCTTCCCTGTTTCAGCTTTGATTATGTAACTGTACAATCTACTCTGACTGAATCAAGAGCAGACTATGCTTTGGATAGAAAGCTGCTCACACAGCTGAGAGGAATCGTTACGGATGAGTTAAAAAAATCTATGCACTAAGTGTCTAAATTTCTAGAATATTAGTCACATTGCAAATAGAGACTGCCATATGGCGAGTTCCTTCAATTTGAGAAACTCTCAACCAATGCATCAAGCCAAAAATCCTCTGCGCCATGATTTTATGTAATTAAAACACAGGAGAATTGTGTCAATTTTTTCAAAATTTTGTAATTTTAATGAAAAAAATAAGGCTTTGCTTAGTGGTATTTTCTGATTTAGTGGAGTTACATTCAACACAGAAAAGGAACAAAATCAAATATACTACTCTGCTTGGTAAGAAACAAATTATAGGATTTTGAGAATAATGAATCTATAACTTGTAAAGTAAACATAAGTGGGAAAAATTGCCACAGGGCATGCCTTCATTTGCTCAGGATTTTGGCCAGTGCATGTTTTATATTTACATTCGGATATGAGATGGTTTGGGGAGGAAATGGGCTCAGTGGTAAACAATAAAAAAAAAATTAGTGTCAACAGCCAAAATCAGAGCAGTACACTTCATGCATAAAATGTTAAGCCAATCTTACGTGCATTCTTCTTCGTGCTGCTTTCCAATGATTCAGATGCATTTATTCCAGAAAGGGGGAGAGTGAAGGATGACAGGCTACTGTCACTCACCTAAAATGTACAGCAATTATTACAGACAGTTTGGGAAATTGTAATTCCCCTAAGTACAAAATATTTCACAATTCCATTTGTTTATCTCATCTAATGAGAAATACTGTTAAACCACAGTGGTATTTGGCAATTTAAAGGGCAACTTAAGCATAGTTATTGGTTTCTTTTTTCTGTTTAAGGAATAATGATACAAATAATTGAAGATGAAAGGACAGTTGAAGTTGATTTCAACCTATGTCAAATTTTAGTGGTCTTTCATAATCTCTCTCAAGACTTAACTTCCTTTGAATTTAAACAACTACATAACAGCCAGGGCTTCAAACTACCTAACAAGGGCCAGTGAGCTGGAACCTGACGGCAGTAATTAAAAAGTTAGTAAATGTGCTTTATGAACAGACTTAGGAAAAGGAGACTCTGTCATCAGAAGATAATACTGTGGAGAAAATCTTGCCAAGAATCAAATTGTTCGTTTATCGTGTGTGTGTGTGTGTGTGTGTGTGTGTGTGTGTGTGTGTGTGTTCGTGTATGTGTCAGGGGGCCTACATGTGCATGTAAGCATGCATGAGTGGATGGCACAGGTCTATCTTAGGTACCATTCCTCAGGAGGCATTCACCTTGCTTTCTGAGCCAAGGTTTCTCTCTGGGGCCTGGAACTTGCCAATGGGGTGAAGCTGGCAGATCAGTAAACACCAAGCTGCTTTTACCACCCCAGAACTCGGATCGAAAGCACCACAGAAGCTGGCTCTTTCATTGGGGTCCTGGAGATTTAACTTAAGTCGCCATGCTAACTCTGCATACACTCTCTCCCTAGCCCATGAATCAGGTTATTTCAAAGTCATAGTTCTATAAAGGAGATGGCTTCCAATCACCTACCTGGAATTTCCTAGGTGAATAGTGATTGATGTTTGTCTGACAGTTACTTTAAAAGTACATCACCTTGACTGGATCTGGTACACTGATTAGGTGGCTAACTTTGAGACTATGGAAGAAGAATGCTGGAAACAAAGTCCCTCTGAATTGCCAAGAGCCTTCAAGGTCCAGTGGCCCTACCAGCCATGTTCACTGTCGAACTCTACACTCAGTTCCACATTGCTAGAGGGCTGGATCTGAATCTGGAACCCTGGGCAGGCTGTCTGGGGACACTCTGAGCTCCTTTTTGCATGTGGACTGGCTTTGTTCATGAACTCTGTATCTACCCACCTGGCTGCTTTGAGAAGGCCTCCTCTCTGAGTGGAATGGACCAGCTTTGATTCTTCCAACTTCTAGGGTTACTGTGCCTAAGGAACACTAAGGGAGGAAGTTTATGAAAATGTTAAAACAAAATTCTACAATCATCTTTAGAAAAACATGGTCTAAACTAAAGGCATCTTCCTTTTGTGATTTCTATAGACAGGGCAACACTAATCCTTTCTAAAAAATGGTTTTTAAACATTTAAACTCATAAAAAATTAATAATAATATAGTAGCCATTAAGTGTCCATTTCAGCATTCCACAATTCACAGGGAGATCATTTCTACCAAGACAAACAGAAATTGAGAATTAAGTAATTTCTCATGAAACACCATGACCATAAGAAGGGCAAATGAAGCAGGGAAACCCAGGTTTAAAATGCAAACCAAAGCTCAAATCCACTGCCCACACAACTTACATTTCCCTTAATAGAAAAGATACTCAAATAATTCAGTCAAATTTCCTCGGTGCATGGTAGTTGAGCAGATCTACTCTATAATACTTACATAAATACTTCTACAAATGTAATGTTACGAGCTGACACCAGGTAAGAAATGCGTGTGGTCTAACAATAATGTAAGGGGCACAAGGAGGTGTCTGAGATCTAGGACTTTTAGAGTCAATTTTCCTATTATTCCAAAAACACTTCAATAAAATTTATGTATATCCATTATTTGTATATTTAAGACCGTCTCTTATAAAATAAAGAATTAGACAAAACAGCACAAGCTGGAGCAAGCCAAACATACAAATATAAATGTTTATGGCTCTCATTGTGTATTGTCTGACTGTTTTTAAAATAGCTAGCTGGACTGACTTTAAAATCACTTATGTTCTCTTGCTGTGACCGCCTCCTCTCTCTTTCTGTAAGATCGGCCAGTCTCACAGAGTTAACAACGTTCCTAATTTATCTCCAAAATGAAGATATTCTTCCTTAAAGAATTCTGGTCACTAGCTAAGCAAGGCTTGAGGCTATAACTCCAGAACTCAAGAGGCTAGGCAAGTAGGTCGCCATGAGTTCCAAGCCAGCTGAAGCTACACAGGGAGTTCCAGGACAGCCTAGGCTAGACAGTAAGACCCTGCCTCAAACACCACTCCCCTGAGTCCACAAAAAGGAACAATTTTGATCACTTTGTTTTGATGACTTTAATAAACAACAGGTTTAATGCGTGCTCCATTAATAACTAATGATAGCTAATAATTAATGTGGTGTGCCAGGTCCTATCTATCCACACCACAGAGGTTAAGGAGGAGCTTCACCTGGAAAGACCTCTGGGAGTCCAGCCTGAGAGGTTCCCATGGCAGCACATGCCCAGCAGCCCTAACGGCTGTGGACCTGACTCACACACAAGCTTGTGTTCCCTCAGACCCAGATGTAGGGAATAAGCAATGATGGTGTTTTCAAGTCCATGCTGAATTAAACTTCAGGAGAAAAATACATCAGGCAAAGGAAAACGCAGTAAACAACACCTCATTTATAACACAATCGCCTCTAGAAACTGAACTGTTTCCTAACAGGGAAACTCTACCTCCCACAAGTTGTTTTCTAATGAATATTCTGTACTTCACAGCTTATTTTCAGGGTGACTCCACCTTCCAACAGAGAACTGTTCCTCATGAAGTGCTTTCTTTGGGGGAAACCTGCTTGACAGTGTAAGATGCACTAAAGCTCTAAGTGCTGTTGGGGGTGGGAGCCTCAGAACCGTCACAGTAATTCCTAGTGTTGGTGCTATGACTGAGTCTGTACTAAGCTCCCTTCAGAGCAGGAGGATGACATAGTCCAGGACAGTCTGACATTCACTTTAATCTTTTTTTTTTTTTTTTTTTTTTGGTTTTTCGAGACAGGGTTTCTCTGTGTAGTTTTGCGCCTTTCCTGGAACTCACTTGGTAGTCCAGGCTGGCCTCGAACTCACAGAGATCCGCCTGGCTCTGCCTCCCGAGTGCTGGGATTAAAGGCATGCGCCACCACCACCACCCGGCTGACATTCACTTTAAAATAGAGCAACAGGCTTGAGTCAGATGGGAACCGGGCTTGTGTGAAACAAAGTGACATTCTGCCACTTGGTGTCACAAAACCAATTCTGCTGTGCCTAGAAAGGGGTTCAGGAAGGGGCTGAAAAAGAAAGGCCAGAAAACATTACCTCCTGCGATGCTGTGGGGCCTGGGTGGCCTCCTAATGCCTCAAATGAGTGACTTTACTTAAACCAAGTTATAAGAACATATCCAGAAAGAAACAGGGAAGAATAGATGTGAAAACTTTTGTGGTCTGAATGTATATTTTTCTTTTAGCATTCACTTTAAAAATTTGCTATTATTTCAAGTATTTGTGTCATTCTAACAAAGTTGCTAGGCAAATATACAACAACATAACAAATGATCATAAATTTATTGTTTTATCTGAGATGACTAATAACACATATAATTACTATACAAAATTAAGCTTGTTACTTGATTTCTACCTTTAGCAGGGCAGCAACTGCTTCCTGGGTGGCATTACGGACATCTTCTCCATTCACCATTAAAATCTGGTCCCCCTGCCTCAGTCTCCCGTCAGCATCTGCAATGCCTCCTTTGACAATATCTGATACAAATACCCCAGTGTCATTTCTGCAAACAACAGTACATTTCAGCATTAAGACTGGTTCTCAGCTGCAGCGCAAGGCTTACTTAATCAGAAGTGGTTCTTCTAAGTGAAAAGTTTCTCTCTTTAACATTTTTGTAGTTTTGTGTAATGCTGGGGTAGCTCTGCCAGAATATGAGAAGTGACAATGAATTGTATCTTAAAAGGATATCTCATAGATTGAAAGTATCTCTTGGAGCATATTTAGTATTCCTTAGTTATGTACTCTGAATAAGTGAGTACAATTCTTATTTTATGGGCACAGCACCAAGGAGGTGGTAAAACCAGCATTGAGGAATCAGTGGCTGGGTACTAAGCATATGGTTTTCCCCCACACCCCACTGAAGTTGTCTATGAACACTGGCCTGCAGTTATGAGTATGTTGAGATTATCATCAATGCCATTAACCTTACTGAAAATAAAGGTTAGATATATACTACAAACTGAAACTGTTCCTTACAGTTTAACCACATTACTATGATGTCTTTAAGTCACTATGTATAACAGATTTAACTTTTACATACAAATATAGATTTATTCAAAACAAACAAACATTAATCTTATTGTTTCACAAGACTGAAACAAACCTCTGGAATTTTCCATTAAGACACAAAGGTAACTGTAAATAGGATTGTACAGTAAAAGTTGAATTACACAAGAAGACTTCAAACATACCGGTAATCTGACCACAAAATCATTCCATCTAACCATGGTTTTTCTCATTTTTAAACAGGAAGCTACGATTAGAGGGTTTAGTTAGGATTTATTACCAGACGTTCGTATAGTGTTCTGGTCATCTAACAGACCACAGCAGCCTTGCATCTGAAATGATTTTTGCAAGTGGTACTGTATCCCCCAAAGAGCCGACTTTTCCCAGATATATTCCCACTGAGATTCAAGTAGCATCATGCACTTTCTCTATGCATTAAAAAAAGTTAGGTCTTCGATTTTCTCTGAAAAAAACAAACTTGTAAATGTGTGTTTTAATTCCAATATAGAAGTGTGGCTGCAGCCTAGATAAGCACAACCCATGGAGGGTGCCTCACTGGAAGGCTGCTCTGACATGGCTGTTTGTGCCAGCCTAAGGACAGCTGGTGGTAACTCAAGGCTACTGCAGCCTACACAGGAGCTGATTCTGAGTTCTGACTCATCTGCTTAACTATTCCACAGATTCTGATCCTGATGGTCTTATAACACAAAAGGAAGAAATGTTTATGAAATTCACTATTGAGGCCGGGCGGTGGTGGTGCACGCCTTTAATCCCAGCACTCGGGAGGCAGAGGTAGGCAGATCTTTGTTGAGTTCAAGGCCAACCTGGGCTACAGAGTGAGTTAAAGGAAAGGTGCAAAGCTACACAGAGAAACCCTGTCTCAAAAAAAAAAAAAATCACTATTGGATAATCTTACTTCTATAAACATTGGTTAATATAGATTACATACCAATATCCTTTAAATATTATATATCTTCTCTAATACCCTGCTTTATGCTTTCAGTCCTCTGCTGGTGGTACATGCCCTTCACAATGACCCTCATCCCTAGACTATTTATCCTCTGTCTCCTCTTTTCTTGAAACTTTTCACCTGTCCTCATTCTTAAATAGGGAACTCAGCTGGTCCCTTTCTCATTTCCTTTTCTAGTACTCCCAATGTGCCTGTCACTCTCAATAAATTCACTTGCTACAAGAATCAGAGTTTCATTCATCAGAGCATAATTTTTAAAAACACTTTAATTTTAAAATTTGTATTATTTTTTTGTAGTGTATGTGTATGCTACCTGTGTGTGAGTACCAGAGGAGGTGAGAAGAGGGTGTCATATCCCCTGGAGTTGTAGTTATAGACAGCTGTGAGCTACCACCAAGTATGGGTGCTGGGAAATGAACCCAGATCCTCTGGAAGAGAAGCAAATCAGCCATCTTTCTAGCCCTTGAGGATGAATTTTCTGAGGTCATGAACTATTTCTTATTTAACTGCTCCTCAGGACACACAATGTATCTCTTGGCAGACAGACATTTCACACCAAATGACCTTTTGCTTAAGAGTATATAACCCTCCAACACATTGACTTATAAATGTCAATAGTGACAGAACATAAAACCTTCAATGAAGGCTACAATCAATTTCAACAGGGCCCTGGGTTTGTTCTCCCCAACATACCTCTTGCCAACGATACTCAACCCAAAGCCTTTGCCTGGCCTCTTTTGCAGCTCAATGGTGAAGGTGTCACATACATCCTCCTCTTTGTATGGGGCCTCATCTCGATAGAGCGTCAGCCGTACTCTTTGTGGAGTCTGTCTTAGGACATTGATCGCTTCATCATGCGTAGCCTTTCTCAAGTCAATACCATTCACCTGTACAAAACAGGGCACTGATGGTGAGGAGCCAGGTGAGGTGAGTGAAGGAAGGGAGGAAAGAGGAAGAAGGGAGAGAAAGAAGGAAGAAAAGTCCATCACCCTTGACCTTTGCTTTTTACTCTAGGTTAAAAATAAGCATTCGTGCCGGGCGGTGGTGGCGCACGCCTTTAATCCCAGCACTCGGGAGGCAGAGCCAGGCGGATCTCTGTGAGTTCGAGGCCAGCCTGGGCTACCAAGTGAGTCCCAGGAAAGGCGCAAAGCTACACAGAGAAACCCTGTCTCGAAAAAAACCAAAAAAAAAAAAAAAAAAAAAAAAAAAAAAATAAGCATTCGTACCTCTAAAATCTGGTCTCCAGCCCACAGTCTTCCATCTTTACATGCTGCCCCTTCTTCATAAACTTCATGGATAATAATAGCACCCTAGAGCCCAAAACAACATACTCATGTGTTATCCATTTTCCCTAGGAATGCTGAGAAGATGGGAATCCAAGGACACCGTACTTTGTATATAGCTAAAAGGGCATGCACTTTATGAGTCCATATGTGAGCCACACATCATAATGTGAGGAAACATCTGATGACATAATTTTTGTTAAAACGTTGAAAGAAGCGTATACTTTTTCCTAATAGAGAAATTCCAAAATAAAACTCATAAAATTTATAAAGCATATGCAAATATAATAGATATAGCACGATTGTAATCTACAAATGGAAAAACTTTTAAAGTATTTTGACATGTCAAAAATTATGTATAAAGTATTTCATACTCTTCTCAATATGGGGCTGAGATAACCTGGGTATAAGTAAAAAGGAAGTTAAACAATGCCAAGGGACCGGTGAAGTGACACAAACACTTGGAAATTTTATTTGTAACAGAGCCTATTTAAGTCAGTTTTGGCAAAGTCAGAGTCATAATCCTAGTTTTTGTCATCAATGATATATTTCTTTCTCCACCTGTACATCACATTTAACAAAAGCGACAGAAATCTCCCTGTAGTCTCAGGGACCACCTGAGTGCCTGTATACTGGGTAGGGTACTCACCAGCAGTGTATCTGAACCCCCAACAATACTCAGGCCCAGTCCTGTTTGCCCTTTAGAAATCTCAATCGTCGTTTCACAGCCAGGGATGATGGGGCATGTGGCAGGATCAGAAGCAAAGACTGCTGGTGTCGACGACCTGCTTGTACCTAAAAATGAATTTAGAATGAATAAGCCACAAATAAAAATTGCTTAGAAAGACTGCATGTCAAATTCAGCACACACGTTACCTATGAGGACGGAGAAAGGAAAGAGATTAGGGAAAAGGCAACTTCAAATCTGTCTTGAATATTTTAGCCATTTTGTATTTAAAATATCAAAGTAGTATGACTAATTCATCATCATTAAGCTGGGGCCAGGCATAAAATTACTTGGTATTTTTTTTATGTTATTTTGTATTTTTTAAGTTGCTGGCGGTAAATAGGACAAACTATGAAAGGAAATAAATTGAGAGTCGGGTTGAGCCTCTACTCTGAATTCAGTAACCTATACTTTTCCAGAGCCAAACACACTCCCTACGGAAGAAGTATTCATCACACTCAGAGCTGAGCTGGCCTGCACAGACTCACAAGCACACTCAGGGGAATGCAGCTCATCATTAATTCTGGTCATGGTGCTGTATCACGATTTAGCAGTTTTTATCATCTTTTTCTTTGTATCATGAAGCATCTCTTCTTATGTAATCAGTTCAGAGCATATTTGCACAAATATAAATACATGCAAAAATATTCCCTTTATTTATTTCTTATCTTTCTTCTTGAGTCTTGTGGTATTTTTATACTTTCAACATTAAATCCTGCTACATACCTTTCTGAACACAGTGTGAAAAAATAAAGAGAACAATCCCCTGCTTTGTTTTCTGAGTATGCACAAGACACACATTTGATGACCCAGGAAAGGGCAGGTTTGGGGAGCCCCTCTTGGTGAGGTGTATGCTGTCGACAAGATGTTCTCTTTGCAGGAAACCAGAAATAGATTATGCTCTGACTCCAGAAATGATGAAAACAGGTGTATGATATTTTCATTTATGCTAAGTTTTCATTAAGCATTTCATATTTTATACACAGTGCTATTTAGGATCCCACATTAAATGAGAAAATCTTCATTAAAGTATTAACGGTTTATTTCAATGAATTTCCCAGCCCTTCTAAACATAGGATTACTGTTATCAGCGATGTTTTACTTTAAGACTTTTCAATAGGTGTATTATAAATGCTTTCAGCCTGTTTTTCCTTAACAAACTGTCAAATGAATGGACTATTTCAGCTTGTATTATAAGTCAAGGAAGTGTCTCCCTTTCCCACCTTCCACAGAAGAGGTAATGTTTAAATCATTTCTAAATACTGCTTTAGAGAGTTTACAGTTATTTATTATTTTATTATCCACGGACATTCTTTTTTAAAAAGTAAGTCAAGTAATTTTTTTTTTTTTTGAGACAGGGTTTCTTGTGCAGCTTTGGCTGTCCTGGTACTCCCTCTGTGAACCAGGCTGACTTTGAACTCAAGAGATCCACCTGCCTCTGCCTCCTGAGTGCTGGGACTAAAGGTGTGCACCACCATTAATAATTTGTTCCATATACTAAATTGTGAGTTTAGTGATACAAGAAAGTCTCACCCTTCAGTATCTCATCTGACATGAGCTTTCCTTTTCCCTGAACTCCCAACTTGGATCTGTCATGTACACAGCAATACCTGGCACTTTTAGCTTTAGTGCATTAGCAACCAGTATTGATTCTAGCTGTGAAACAGGATCGTTATGTATCCACTTCATATACCAGGAAACTGACGCTCACAGCTCCTTTCCCATTCCACCAGCAGAAGTTACAAAATGACATGTCTGACTCTGTCCATGGATACCTGTGATTGCATGTACCCTTAACATGAACTTGAGAGCAAAGAAGACCACTCCCTGGGTTTAGGGAGAAGAGGCTGAAGCAGGCAGTACAGTGGTTTCCTAAGGTATCACAGTTGGGTAACCTATACACACAGGTCTACTGCCCAGGAACCACACTCTCCTCAGTTACACCCTCTGTAAACCATTCAGTTACTAAAGGTGTTTTGACTTCAACGCCCTTCAAACTACCCTGTGTGCATGCCTGCTTTGAAGGAAGACCCTCTATTGAGGTTGCCCTATAGCAGGACTCTCGCAAGCCAGTCCTTACTTGGGATGGGTTCTGGGTCCAGAGCTGGGACTGCAGGAGACTGAGGACTGTCTTTCTTTTCTCCACTGTCTGCAGAAGCTGTTGAAGGAACAGCCTGGCAAGTTGGATTCCCAGCTCGAACGGTCAGTTTCACAGTTGTCTTTGCCGTCTTCAGAAGGCTGATAAACTGGCCGATATTGATGTGAAGGAGAACAGAATTCAAAGACAAATGAGAAAACATATACAAATAAAAGTCACCAGGATTGCTGCAGTCTCTTTTGTGTATTTGTGTGTGTATGCCTGTGTACATGTTTATGTGTGTGCAGGTTTGTGTGTGCACAGGTGCATACATGTGGGCATGTCATGTCAAGGCCATTAGGTTTCTCAAAGGCTTGAGGCTCACAGATCTGGCTAGGATGGAGGTCCAGTGAGCCCCAGAGAATTTCTGATTTATGCTTCCTCATCACAGGATTATAAAAGCTGGCACAGCACGATACCAGCTTTTTATTTCTCTTTCTCCTACTCCTCCTCTTCCTCCTTCTTTCAACATGGGATCTGACTAACCAACTCAGGTTCCTTATGTTTAAATATTTACTTATTTATTTACTATTTGGGGTGTGCGTGTGTGTGTGCGCGCGTGTGTGTGCATGTGTGTGTGTGTATGTGTATGTGTGTGTGAGTGTGTGTGTGTGTATGTGTGTGTGCCTATGTGTGCAATGTGTATGTAGGTGCCTGTGGAGTTCATAAGAGGGCGTCGGGTCCCTTGGAGTGGAGTTAAAGGCAGTTGGGAGCTGCCTGACATGGGTGCTGGGAACAGAATTTACTAAAAGCACTCTTTACCACTGAACCCTGACTCTAGCCCCACAGATTCAGACTCTTAGATACTCCATTGACTGAGCTACACCCCCCTGCCGCACCCAGACTCAGTGCTGCTGGGCTCTAACTCATCTTTTATCAAGGAAAAAGAGACAAATGATTTCCCTGTGGTTTCTGGAGAAGCCAAGAAAGAAATGCCTCCTCTAGTCCTTCAACTGTCCAATGAGATTATGGTTATGGTTAATTTCTACTCTCCTAGAATAGCTTTGTCAAGCTTCTTTATATTAGTATATTGGGGAGTGGCCGCTGTGGATGATTGATTGATAAATAAAACACTGATTGGCCAGTAGTCAGGCAGGAAGTATAGGCGGTACTAGCAGAGAGGAGAATTGAGAGAACAGGAAGGCAGAGAGAGGGAGATACCAGCCTGTCGTCCAGGGAGCATCATGTAAAGGCTGCAGGTAAAGCCACAGAACACGTGGCGACATATAGATTAACAGAAATGGGCTGAGTATAAGAGTAAGAGCTAGACAATGGTAGGCCTGAGCTAGTGGCTGAGCAGCTTAAATAATAAAATAAGCGTCTGTATGTTTATTTTATAAGTGGGCTACGGGACTGCCGGGGCTTGGCGGGACCCGGCGGGAAAAACTCTAGCTACAAGTGGGTTTCAACTTACTACATTTCTAATCAAGTCTGTCCATTCCCAGGATGGCAGATGATCCCTACAATGCTAGATGACACAGAAAGCATTCTGCCTACTCTCTGATTCTGCAAGGGATCTGAAGCAGCTTCCACAAACTTCCCTCCCACACACTGATGAGCACATGGTAAAGGTAGGACAGCAAATCCAGCAACAGTAAAGTCAAGACAAAAGCAAAGCAAAATCAGGTTTATAGGTTAAAGGACCCAAGCTTTAGTTGTTACAACTGAAAGATTTTAAAATAGCTTTAAGCTTCTTGGTGGCCAATGTAAAAATGAACTATACCCTAGAAGGGGTAGCAGAAAGATATCTCATCCCAAGGAAAACACAGCTTTTATTCTTGGCACTTATGTACAAATAGTACATAAGACTCAGACTCCAGATACAAAGAGCTGTTCAACACCCACAAATGCCAGGCATGTAATGACTGCATCTTCAAATCTATTTAATAACAATATACATGACAGCTACCTAAGGTTCCATTCATAAGGAAAATACAACCTTATTCTCAACATGAAGTGAGTTACTATTCTGTATTTCCAGATTTCTCAAAAGAAAACAGAGGCAACATTTATCAAAAATAACAATGAATACTAAATAATGTATCAGGCAGAATAATAACATCATTGTGATTAGAAAAGAGAAAACAAAAAGTGGGAGACCTGAGGAAAAACCTCTTTTTGGAAATAATAATCCATTTCACATATCTCTCCAGGCTTAATTCCTATGCCCCCACTTGAGCCAGGCCAAAGGACGGGTTGGTAGTGCCACTGCCTTTTTTTCTTCTTTTTTTTTTTTTGCAAAAATACCTTCTCAACAGGACATCCAGCGACAACTTCGTCATCTACAGCCAAGATCTGATCTCCAGCTTTAAGCCGTCCATCCTATGGTGAAATGCGGAAGATCTGAGTCAATGTTTCTGTGCAATCCCCCCTTCCACCACTTCTCAGCAGCTAGAAAGTTAACAAGTGTCACCTTGGCTGCTCCCCCGTGCTCAGTTAGACTCTTGACGACGACTCCGCCAAGCGTGTCTTCCTCACTGATAGCAATACCTAAACCTCCTTGATCCTAGAGGAGTAAATGAAGATCAGGCAGGGAAGTCAAAGTGGATTTATTTTACTCAAATGTAAAGATATGGGGCCATCATGACCCAACACACCATCAACCTAAAGCTACAAATGCAATTCAAAGTCTTTCTAATGATAGGAGCAATTCCTGCTGCAGGCTCTGCTGCAGAACCCTCAGAGGCATTTCTCAAGAAAAGAGTCTTCATCTGCGGCAGAATGAGCATACTTGCCTGTGTGTGTAAACCATGACCCCAAACTGGCCAAGGCTACATATCATCATATGGATCTGTATTTTTCAACATTAAAAAAAATCAGTACCAGTGGCTTTTACCTTCCTTTTTGACTACATTTAAAATGGAGTGTTGAGCTTCTGTTCCAGCCAGAGCTAGTCACTTTTTGCATTATAGTTTTCACACAGAGAAGTTTCACACAAAGCAAGATGGAGAAAACAGCAAATTTGCACAGTCTCTCAGAAGCACACATGTGGAGCAACACTTGCCATCACGGAGTAGGTTACCGGCTTTGAATCTACCTTCTACCGAAGCATGTCACATGCTATCTTTAATGTTCCTACTTAAGGGGGGGAAATCTAAGGCTTGCTGTTTTCTGGTTCTCTTGGATCTGTGATTCTGTAGGAAATCTGCTGCCATGGCAAGAGAACACTCAAGATGTGCCACAAGAAGAATGAGGATCTCTCATCTACGTTTATTTAAGGATATCACCTTGGAAGTAGAAGCAATTGTCCAAGCTTGCAGTGAGTGAGTGTGGCCATTCCTGTCTGTTTGTCAGGAACTATACAAGAGACTCTAAGCCTGATCACCCAGAGGATGTAGTCCAAATTCCCCATTCACAGGAACTAAGATACAACAAATGCCTGTTTCATGTTCATTGGGGTTTGTGGTGACTTGTTATGTAAATGAAGGTGAGTAGCTTCAAAGATGTGAATTGAGTACCTCTAGTCAAGTCTATAATTGATTACCATTGTCACAGTCCCTGGCTGGAGTTCACAGGTGACCTGGGCTAGTAGTTACGATGGATCTCCTGACATTTGGAAAACAGGTACCCTTACTTCTACCCCATCACATGTAGAAGAGGTATCACAGGCTCGAACTATGACTGGCAGCCCTTGGAGGGCTATGAAGATCAGCTTTGGAGTTGGTAAACACTGTGCATGACTGCCCAGAAAGACCTGGCCCTTGATGAATCTAGTTAGTCTTGGAGTCAATCACACTTGAAGACTAACCTGAATCCAAAAATCTTTCATTAAGCCTGATGGAATTAATTTTCTCCTGTTCGTTACTATATGGCTTGTGTTTTTTGTTGTTGTTTGCAACAGGAATTCTAAAGGAGCAGTAAACCAAATATCTGCATGCATATTATAACCTAACCCCACTAAGGACACTATAGAAATAAGTACACATACTGTAGACAAACTGTTTCAGAGAAGCAGGATGAAACATACAAAAGGAGAGTGAGATGTGTGAGTGTGCATTTTCCTACCTAACTGTTAACTCTCCAGCTCACTTCTGCCACAGTCTGTGAAGTCCTTCCTCAGGAGGATAGATATAAGAAACACTGTCCTGAGCTAGTTTTAAAATGCCATCATGCGGTGTGATTCTGGAGAAGTCATGCAGTCACAGAGTTAGAAAACTATCAACAAGGATTGCAGATGAGTCTGAACTGAACAAACTACCGTTATTATCAGAAATTGAAAGTTTTTCTAAAATTCTGAAGAAAAACCTATAATTTTATTTGAGGATTTCCACTATGTAAAATCATAGGAATGTGAAGGTGATTTCTGCCAATCATAGAATCTGCTGCTTGCTATGATGTATAGTTTTCTAGGGTAAAGAGTACTAAAAGTAAATTTGTGATCAAGGTTTTCTGATTAATTGAATTAGCATCACAGGAAGCCACTCTACTTTATTTTGTATGTATTTCTGCAATAGAACTGAAATGGCCTGTTATTAGGCTCACACTTGTATGCCAAGTTCTGAACAGGGGATGGACACAGTGGACCATTCAGGAACACCAGCGATGTGGCCTCAGGTAGGAAGAAAGCAGCAGTTAAAAGTGGGGCAGTAATGACATTCTTCCATTGTTACTAAGCAGTAAATATCATCATGACTAGTAAATGTCATAATGAACATTCCATTACATTTAAATTATATTTCAAGCAAACATAATTTGAAAATTTCTGGAGGGTTAAAGGACAAAGGACATGAGTCACCAGTGTTAGAAGGCTCTTGTGTCTTTACTTCACTGCATTTCAGTACCATGCCATCTCAGAATGAGGCATGTGCAGGCTTAGCAGGATCTACTATTTATCACTTTTAGCAAAGACCTCCAAGGACACATTCTACAGGCCAATCAGAATTTCATAGCTTTAAAAATGTTCATGAGAACAATTATGGAAACTTGGACCCTGGCAAGTGCTTTATTTATTTCACTTACTCTTCAGAATAGTATCTCCACTATGAATGTGTAATCTCTCCCTTTTAGATAAGGAAAGAAAACCCAAAGAACTTAGTGACTTCAAAGTCACAAGTGAAATCCTGAAAATCATAATTTCATCTTTGTCTAGCTTATTTTAAAAGATTCTTAAATATTCTCCTTATTGCCTTTGGTAATTAATAAAAGAATACATTCCAGTTCCCTGATACTTTACTTTACAATAAAACTAAATAGTCAATGGAAGTTTTTGTGGACAAGGTATTAACATTGTCAAACGTCTTGGATTTTCAACAGATAGAATCATCAGAAAGGGAAGTACATAGAATAGGCATCTGCAAATGAATCCGCAGGAGAGGAAAGGGCAACAACAAAGCTTAGGATGTAGCATGAAGGAATACTGCTCCAGATTTCATCCAACCCAACAATAACTGACTCGGGCAATCCCAATTTCAGAAGAAGACAGAAGAACATGAGCTTAAAGACTCATCTGAGACCTGTCAGGGTGTGAGATGGCATGTTGTGGACAAAGCAGGCTTCTGTCTACCTCATTACTAAGTGCCAGACAAAAGAAATGTTGACTGATCTGTTTGACAATCAAAGTTTTTTAAAAGGTTCTGAACAAAGGAGAAAGTAATGTAAACAAATATGAAATAACTCAACAAGTCAGGAAGAGAGAATACATGTCAGCAATGAGATATCTTTTATTCTTTCCGAACATAATAATACCCAATAGTTGTGTGTGTGTGTGTGTGTGTGCATGTGTACACCAGGTAGTAGATACACTATGTGTATGTGTGTATTTATCACTATAACTACAGAGTGAGTACTATTTTTTATCCTTATTTTGGAGAGTATTATAGTTAGCTTTTTTGTTGCTGGGATAAATATTTACCAAAGGGTTTATTTTATCCTACACTTCCAGGTACCAGTCCATATTCAAGGGAAGATGGGGCAAGAGCTCAAGGTAGGCACCAGGCACTTGAGCAGGGGCTGCGGAAGAAAAATGCTTGCTAGCTGGCTTTCCACAGTCTCCTCAGCTTCCTTTCTTATCAAGCAAGGACTACCTGTTAGGAATGGCACTGCCCACAGTGGGCTGGGCTCTCTCACATCAATTATAAACCAAGAAAATGCACCAAAGATATGAACACAGACCAGTTTGTTGGAGGAAATTCTTCAGTTGAGGTTCCCTCTTCACAGGTGTCAAATTTGACAGAAACCAACCAGCACAACTACATGTCAACTTGACTCACAAACACACCACTATTAAACCATAACATCTTCTTTCTTGCTTATTCTCAAGATCTCATGTAATTCTGCAATTTTAAATAAGGTATAATTTTTAAAACCCCACAATCTTTAAAACTTTCAAAACTTTGGAAGTCCAAGGTCTCTTTAAACATCTAAAGTCTTTTAACTGTGAGCTCCTACGAAGTAAAAGAAAATCAACTTTCATAGTTTGTTATTCCAAGAGGGAAGACCCAAAGCACAGTAACAATGAAAACAAAGTGAAACCAAACTTCAAAACAGTGCAAATAGCTCAGTGGCCAACATCGTGCACTCATTCATGATCTTCTGGACTCCAACAGGCCCTGCTCTCTAGCTCTGCCATCCATAGCACATGGGGCTCATCTCCTAGGTTCACTCCACCATTCCACGCCTCCCGCTGTCATCAGTAGTCCTCTCACAGTCCTGGCGTTTCCCACTTAGGCCGTGTGTTCACCAGTGACCTCCCCTGGTGCCAGGCTTCAGCTGCTCTCCATCAATCACTTGAATCCTGCGATCTCAACTGCAACCGAGGCTTCAACTTCACCGAGAGTCCATTCTGGGCTCTCTTCAGGGACTCTGACTCTGTGCCACAGTGGAGAGCCTCAGCTTCTCTCCACGACTTCCCTTAATCCTTTGACCTCAACTGCAGCTTAGGATGCACATTCACTAATGGCCACATGGCCCATGGTGCCAAGCCTCAGCTTCTCTCTAGAACTCCTTCAGTCTTGGGGGTCTCCATTGAAGCTAAGGCTGCACCTTCACCAATGGCCTCTCCTAGCCTTCCCTAATGCCAAGCCACAGCTCCTATTTATGATCACTTCAATCCTGTAACTTTCATGCCACGAAAATCAGTGACACATGGGTGACTGTTACACACTACCAAGTTTGGCGACCAGCTTCAGATGCAGCCTTGGCCACCTCTGGAGCAAAGCTTCTGCAGGATGAAACTGAGGACATACTCCCTGGAGATTTCACCAGCTTTTCAAATCCAAAGCTCTAAAATGTTACAATCCTCTCAAAAAATAGTATGGTCAGATTCGTCACAGCAACACCCCACATTTCTAATACTGCTATTGATTGTAAATGACAGGATCTAGAATTACCTTGCAGACAGACCTCAAGACATTCCTGTGCAATATCACCTGGATAAGGTTAGCCACTATGCATACTTGTTAGGGATTATATATATATATATATATATATATATATATAAAATCATGGCTAATTAGAGGTGGCAATGCCCACCTTAACTGCAGGTGGCACCATACCACAGGTCAGTATCCTAGACTGAATGAAAAGGAGAAAGTAAACTGAGTGTCAACATTATTTCTCTTTGCTTCCTGACTACAGATGCAACATGGCCATTTGTTTCCTCAAACTCATACTGCCATGATTCACTTGTGATGACAGACTGTACCCCTGAAATGTGAGCCAAAATAAACCCATTTTTCCTTAAGTTGCTTTTGTCAGGGTAGTTAATACAAAGAAGCCATGTACTGAATCAGGAATCTGCCCTAGGTAACAGTGCTTGCCATAGCTAGCTATTAAGGGCTACGTCCAGGGTTCTGCTCCAAGTGGTCTGGCTCTCAGTCTGTGTTCTCAACTGCTGTCCTGTTGTGTGCCTCATTTATCCACCATGCTCATTCTCTAGTAGTCTTTGGCATTTTTTATTCTAGCATACACTAAGCATTAGGAAATCAATTGGAACTGCTATAAAAGGTCATATGAGACATTTACCATATTTTCAACTTTTCCACAGATAAACAAACCAAAAAAAAATCATTCATACCAAAATTTCAGCATGCATTTTAAGTGCTGCCCAATAAAGTATAATTAAACTATAGGTATATAATTATACTATTGAACAGTGTTTTTGGTATTTACAGATTTAAAACAAACTAAGCCCTGAAATCTGGACAGGAACACAGAGGACATAATCACTCTGACACAGCACCAGGAGGGATTGTAACTAAAATGTATGAGGAAAAGCTTTTAATGACTTCTGTTCTGTTCCTTCTGTCTAAAACAAAACAATTAATAATAAAAACTTCTTTTTTATACCCATGATAAGACCTCCCAGCAGCTGTGGCTGCCTGCACATAACCAAGCATTCCTGCACTGGTGATGGTGGTGGTGAGCCCGTGACATCTGACAGCTTAAGGGTGTTACCCCAGTAGGACAACTGTGCTCCACTGGACTGTCCCCCGCCCAGGAGGATTGGGCAGCACAAACTGGCGAGGGAAGGCAGGACATGAAGTTGGGAAGGGCTGGGAAGCGCTTGGAGGACTTGGAGAGAAATGTTTTGATATATCCTGTGTACATACGACATTCTCAAAAATTTAATAAAAATATCCTATTAAAAAAGACTGCACCAGCCCACCGTTGTATAGGTTTTTTTCTTTATAAAAAGAAACAAAATCAATATAGCCATATTTTTCTAATATTCTGGCTGTGTACTAGGAATTATGCTATTATATAAGTACTTCATCATTTAATCTTCATGGCTGACTAAGACAAAAGTACTACTATTATCTCCAAATTATATGGGAGGAAACTAATGGAACAAAGCTCTTCTCTGATGAAGCACAGCCTCTGCCCTGATGGAATGATCCACGCTCACAGCATCAGGCCTCAGTGCCTCCTGGCTGGAGGAAATGGACCACTCCAGCCCCCCATGTTGGCAGCATTTCCTGCACAGGGCCTTCTGCCTTACCTTGCTTCCTTCACCTCCTATGCCTGAGCCACTCCTCATATCCCCCAAATCCACCTGCTTTTCACGGAGTTGGAGTAGGTGAAAACATGTGTTTCTTTTCAGCAAACCACTTCTGTATTTGAGCCTGAAAGTGAGACCTTTCCCAGGCGAACACCTCGGTAAGCACCAGCCTATCAGCTGAACTTCTAGTTAGTTTAGTTTTATGAACTTGTTTCTTCATGGCTGTGTTCACTAAGCAGCATCACAGTAAACGATTCAAGGAGAGACTGCAAATTTCATCCTCTTGAGTAACACTAAAATCAGGAAAAGCTGGGTCACAGTGGCTTACTAAAGCAGATTTCTAGGCCCACCCCAGAGGTCTTCACTCACAGGAAGCTCTGGGTGCATCCCAAAACCTGCATCTCTAACAAGACCCCAGATGGTGCAGATGCTGCTCTCGACCATACTTCAGGGAGCCAGAGAACAGGACCAGTGTGTAAGGGTACTCAATCATTTAAGTCCCAGTCAAAGCAGATGTACCTTGGGAAGCTCCAGGTGATACACATTTGTAAGTGAACTGAGGTCCACAGCTGCAGCAGTAGTAACACTTGGTTCCACCTGACAAAGAAAAATGTCCAAAAGGTAATTGTTAGGTATATATGTTTGTTTAAATGTAAGAACCACCTAATCAAAATTATTTCATGTTATCTATTTTAATATTTGATGGTAGTTATGTGTGTTTTATATTAAAATATTTGGGAGGTATAATTGGATAGCAATTGTTTTTGGAGCACAGCACACTCAGATGGCTTGGATGTTTGCTTGGGTTTACTCCATAATGGAGTCCAGCAGCAGCCTGCTCTCTGACTGAAAGGGTGCCATGCATTATTCTTTCTCCACAAGTTGTAATAGGTTTTCAGAAAGTATTAAATAGTTTAAAAATCATTAAGCTACAATATTTAAGGGGCACAGTTGGTGCAGTATGAAAATACACGTTTGCCAGCTGTAACTTTATAACTTACCTAACTTAGGTCCTATGAGGAAGCAGCCTGAAGCAGACTATCATTTCCTTACCCATCTTTTTTTTTTTTTTTTTTGGTTTTTCGAGACAGGGTTTCTCTGTGTAGCTTTGCGCCTCTCCTGGAACTCACTTGGTAGCCCAGGCTGGCCTCAAACTCACAGAGATCCGCCTGGCTCTGCCTCCCGAGTGCTGGGATTAAAGGCGTGCGCCACCACCGCCCGGCCTCCTTACCCATCTTATATGTGAATAAGTCCCCTTGCTCAAACTTGAAGGAAGAATGAATCCTGCCCTCACCACTGGTGCACCCCATGCTTCCTCTAATTCTAAGCTCTTCTGTCTGTCATCTTCTTTTATTGTTCGTAGACACAAATCCAAAGATTTCTCAATTCAAACAAAAAACCACCGCCCACACGCAATTCTCTGTGATCCTCTAGCTGCTGCTCTCTGGCTTTGTGTCATTTGCTTTCCTGCCGTCACCTAGCTGTAGATTCAAGGGGCCTCTCTCGCTACCTTGTTCTTGGCCTTCTCTGCCGCACCTCCGGCTATGGGGTCCACTTTGTTCTCCTCCTGCACGAGGGCCTGCTGGCTCTTTCCCCCTTTGTAACTTCATTTTCACCTTCTTCCTTAGTGTTCACATCGCCCAGTCTGCCCCTTGCTCCCTTCTCTTGCAATGTTGTTTGTAAGCCCGCATTTTCAGGGCCAACACATGCAATATGCTCTGTGGCGTGTTGTCTCTGAACTCCACGCCACATATCTGAATGCACCCTTTAGCAGCCTTCCCAACCTGCAGCCTGGTCAACGATGCAAGCCGAAAAAGCCACAGCTCAAGTAGTCCACGAACGTATACCACTCCCCAACAGGAAGCCTGAGGTAGCCAGTGGGAGGGTTATGAAAAGGTCAGCTCCTCCTGTGGAGGTTCCCAGTTAAGTGAAGTCCAGTATATGGAAGAAAGCCTTGTACTTCCTTCTAAAATCACCGTTTCATTCTTTACCCAAACCATCCAACTATTCAAGAAATGTCTATTAAATGAAAACTTCCCAACTCTTTTCTCAATGAGTACATTTGTGTGGGCATGAGTATTACTGGAGTGGGTCTAAAACCTCTGATGTGGCCTCTTCTTCCCTGTACTATGGGTCTTCATTGTATTTTCTCCTGAATTGCTTCTGTTTCTGTAATTCTTTGAACTTCATTTCTCTGCCCTGAAATGCCTAATAGTAAGATTTTGAAAATATAACTATCACTCATTTATGAGGAGGGCACAAGGTCCTCATGCTCACAGATAAGGAATGTTGGGAAACCAGGAATGTTGAGCATGCAGACTTGTCTCTTCCATGGAAGGGAGCTGTACGCATATTTGATGCCCAGAAAGCTGAGAGTGGATGTCGATAAGCGTCTTGTAATCTGTGCTGGCTGTAGGGCCTGCCCACAGCTGAATCCCACGCCCCCTCCAGACTATTGTTTATCCCAAATTCTTCCCCCCGACACCTTTATCTTGAGTATTGCTTCTCATTCAACAGAACCCATCCTTAGGGGAGATATCACATGTACTTTATAGCCCGGTGACCTCTATGCTATCTTGGTCCAAGACTACACCAGATCCTTGGGCCTTAAGGTGAGATATAAAACCCACTTCATGGTAGAAGTCACACGTATTTTGCAAGAGTTTTGATGGAGTCACATTTTAAGCTTTATTTTGTACATGGGGCTGAGATAACTCTTATCAGAACATTTTTTTCCCCAAAATTGCACTGTACTTAAATATGTCTAAAATAAACTGGCTGGGGTCAGACCCCAGAAGTTTGAACCAGTCCAGCTAAGTTGTGTTAAACTGGGTTTCCTTCTAGTCTCTCATAGTTCCTTTCTCTGGCAGCTTGCAGGGACCCCCACCCATTTAAAACAGAACTTTCATGATGATTGGAGTTGAAATGGATGGTCTTCCAGTGGTTCTCAAGGTCTGAGCATGTCTCCTTTTTCAATGACCCTTTCCTGCACTCCACATCACTTCCCTCATACCATTCCTTAATGCTGTTTGCAGTTTTCAGGTTAGGTAGCCATGGAGCGTGTGCTCTTCCTTAGCCTATGTATTCTATCCAAAGCACCTTTGTCCCGTAATCCCCCACCATATTCTTCACATGTAACTTCTCCATAGTGTCTCTCCAGAGCAGAACAGACCACTCTTTCCCTCTTACTGCTGTGTATGCAGGCTTTTCAGGTGCCTTTACAAAAGTCTTATGCTGCTTGGTGGCAGCAACCTGAACATTATGATCATAGCTTATCTTTGACTCCCTGTAATGTTCTACAATGGTTAGCTAAATTAATTAGGTGTATCAACCAAATTTTCCTAGACAAACAAACATATTACAGATACCTCCTTATTTTGAGAACTTTCTGAGAGAGAAGGCAGAGGGTCTGCTGCATTTCCAGGACATACAGCCATCTGGTTCACTGCATCTTCATTTCTAAAACAATGTAAGAATGCATCAGTCCATCATATCATGATATCATTCTCATCCTCTATTTTGAAGAGTCATAAAGATTATTAGGAACAAATTCTCTAACCCCAAGGTCTTAAATCCCAGCTTAACATATATGTGTGTGTATGTATGTATATGAAAATAATTCAGAGGTAAAATACTAAGTATTTAGCAAACCAAACAAAGAAAACGCTCACCTGATAAAAATAATTTTTACTTTAGATGGAGCACATTTAATGATTGATGAAGCATTCTGATGACTTCTGCCATATAATATTTGGCCATTGATCTACGAGGAATAAGTATCATTAGTTGAACCTAAATCTCTTCATCTCTTTAGCTTTTATCATCTTGTCTAGCTAATAAAAAGTGAATTGCTCTCTTTATCGTATTATACAAATTTTTACTCTCTAAAACGCAAACCAAAATTTGGATGATGAATACAGAAGATCTCATGTTTAAAGCTAACTTTAAGGTGACACATATGAACTCTGATATCCCTGGGCAATTTGTAGAAACATCATGTTGACCAAAGGAGGAGAGAAGACAGTGAACTTCCTGACAGACAAGGGTTCTGTGGCTTGCAAAGACCACCTGGGTAAGCCAGCCCACTGTCACATCTCTCAATTGGTCTTAAGAAGCGTGTCTTGGGAAATAGGGAATTTAAATTCACGCCAGGGAGGCTCAGGGCACAGCAGCAGACTGTCTGTAAGCAGCTCAATACTCTAGAGAAATGAATCTGCCTGCCCAGGTGTCCAGTCATTGAGACACTGCGACCAGAGCTAGTCCAGACAGCAGAGATCCACAAAGAAGTGGACAAGCACCGAGGCAGTGTGAAGTCACGCTGATCCTGCATCAGGAGGCAAGGGAAACGCGAAGTCTAAACACTATAAAGTATGGTCTGTAGAACTATTTTGTTTGGCAGGCCTAGTTACTGCTTACATTAGCCTTGGCCTCATCTCACCTCACCCTCAATACTTATTTCATTAGGGATTCAACCTCCAGAATGTCTACTGGGTCAGCATCATTACTGGGGAATGCTTGGTCATTTGGCATTTCAAAAACTCCTAATAAAAACAAAGCACATACACACAAATGTTTTTGAAGTGTGATTTTTATTACTAACTTGGGGCAAAAACTGTTTCTGGTGCTGCAGAGTCATGACCTTTAATGTGAGTTACTGGGACACAAACTATGTTGCAGAGATTTGGTGTAGAGCCAAATTTGCTGCATTGTATCAATTTTATTAGGCAATGGATGGTTTTGTTAGTCATTCCACAGTGTCTGGGCGACTTTCTGGAAACTGTATTGATGAAGCCAAGAGCAAATTCAAAACTGTCTACCAGCACCTACCTCGAGAAGCTCATCAGCAATCTGCAGTCGTCCATCTCTTCCTGCTGCTCCAGTGGGATCAATCCCCACTATAAAGACACTCATTCTGGTTCGGTCTTTGTTTCCGGCAAGACTTAGACCCAAACCGCTATGACCTTTCTCCAGCTCAATCATGTGGAGCTGGCCTGTCAGGGTTCCATAACGCTCTTGGATATTTTCTACAGGCAACAACAAATGCATTTATAATTAATTGACAGCCAAATGCTTTACTATAAAAGCTTATTTAGATTTATCTTAAGGGATATTATTTGCTTAAAAATGATTTCTTGGCAGTTATAAGTTAGACAGACTGGCTGCCTGGGTTTGTTTTCCCAGAATAACTAAGCTCAGGGAGATTTTGTTGTATTGAGGGTGTACACAGCATAATGTCAGACTAATCAGTTCACCTTGGTGGCACTGAGTCCAACAGAAGTGATTCAAATTTATAAACTCTCAGAAGACTATGATTAAACCAGAGAAATCAATCAATCACTTGGACAGGAGAGCAGAGCTGAAGTACCCAGAATACTTTTGTTTATGGTCAGTGGAATCTTCTCCAACAGAAGAAAACCTGTACCATCTGTCACATCATGCTGGGCAACTACTCAGAAGGAAGACAGTGGGCTTCCCTGGTGTACAGAGTCATCAGGCCAGGACAAGTCAACCTACGAATCCCAGCTTTAAGCAATCTGCCCTGACTACATGATACCAGATCTTTTGCTCAAGTTTGTCTACCCACTTCAATCTGAGAGGGTATGGCCCCATGTAGGTACCCAACGCAAAAGCTCATGCCAGTGTCACCTGATAAGGCCAGCCCTGTTGCCTATGACAGTGAATCATCTTAGGAGCCTGGCCCCAGTGAGCAAGTCAACCATCCCACAGGATTAGTCATAAGTTCTGATTTTAAGCCATTATGTTCTGTGGTACCTGATTTCAGAAACAACAAACTACCTGTAAGATCAGATAATTTTGATTAAGTGGTCACATTTGACAAGTCATCTCTTAGAAAAGTCCTACAGAGCTAGTGACCTGCACTTACGTTGATTCTTTCCTACACTGGTTAAATAAACATCTCTGCAACCCTTTCACAATTAACCAGGGTAACTTTCACATTCTATGCTTTCTAAAGTATGTATACTGCATCCTTCTTAAAGCAAATAATTAGGTTTTTAAAATGAAACTTTTTGAGTGCTGGAGAGATGGCTCCATGTTAAGAGCATTTGTTGCTCTTTCAAAGAACCCATGTTCAGTTCCCAGCACCTACAGAGTGTTTTACACCTACCCCTAACTCCGGTCCCAGAGGATCTGAGGCGCTGTTAGGATCACCCAGGGCTCCAGCAACATATGTGGTGCATACACATGCATTCAGTCAAACAAATAAATCTAAAACAATTTTTTAAATGAAACTTTTAAACTTGATGACACATTCATGACTCCTGGCTTAGTTCTGAGATGGGGCACTGTGTCAGCATTCCACACATACTACCTAATATAATATTAGTAGCCTGAGAGACCTGCATTCAAAACGTGAGACCACTTCCCAGATGCCCAAAGAGTTGATCTTAATAATTATAATGTCACCATTCTAGTACCCCAAACACCAGAAGCTCAGGGCATAATACTATGACAATCAGATGCTACAAGGAGGAATCTAAGGCCTGTAATGGGCAGTGGTTATTCAAGAGAGTTGATTCAGTACTGGATTCTGAGAGGTCCTCTTGACTGCTGTAATTCTCATATGAGAAGTAAAAGGGCTTTATGAGAAATGTGCATTTAATGTAAAGGAAGAATGTGATGTCATGCCTCAGGAATGCATGCTGGGTTCAAGAAAAATAAACAGTAGTTTTCCCACATACTATTGCAGTATACATTACTAAAGCAGAAATATTTGTTCATACAAAACAAACCCAGAGCTATTTTAATACTTCTTACAATTAAGAGCATCACAAACAGACAACTTACTCCAGCTGTAACCAAACTCATCCTCTTTGTCTACATCTTCTGAGACTGTGATTGCAGATGGTTCTGCACAATCATTCCCCATTTCTGAGAACACTGCAGGGGAGGAGGGAGGAACATCACACAATGGAGCCTTCTCTGACTCTGATTCTGACTGGCTGGGTGCCTGTGGGAACAAGAAGAATTCAGTGGGCATGTGCAACCTCATGAGAACTTAAAGGAAAACAAATAAGAATATAATTCCAAAACCAAAGGCCAGCTCTAAAATGTTCTCCAAATAACAGAAAGCTTATGTGTGCATATAAGAAATGTTAGACAGGATTCAGGTATCAGAACACAATTCATTAAATTGTTATTGGCTAATGCAAACAATGAATAATTCAATTCGAAAGCTTAAATGACCTAAGAGAGAAAATTGTTCAAATTTCCCTGTTTGGGAAAAAAAAGTAAGGATGTGTGTAAGACTTTATAGGTCATTCAAGTCTATCAAAAAATAAACAAATCAATAGAAAGCAAATTAACAAAGAACACATCTCTTAAAACTTATTAGTAGGAGCCATTGAGATGGCTGAGTGGGTAAAGGCACTTGGGAAAAGCCCAAAGGCCTGAGTTCAATACCTGGCTCATACAGTAAAAGGAGAGAACTGATTGCCACAAGCTGACTTATGACCTCCATATCCATGACATAGCTCTTACATGTGCACTCCCACATATCCATACCCACAAAATAAATAAATGTAATAATAACAGTATCAACACTTGTCAGTAAGACTCCACATGAAGACTCCTCTTTTTTTGTGGATCTGGGGACTGAACCCAGGATCCTACATATACTAGGTAAGTATTCTACTGAGTTGCGGACCCAGCCCCACATGAACATTCTTCGTTGCTACTTGAATCCAAAAAATAGCACTACACACACAGGCTGTTTTCTTAGGACAGCCTGCTTATTAACAAAGAGCCAGACTCAGATCTGTTGGGTTTGGATTTTAGATCACCTTCAACCTTTTATTGCCACAGTAGTTCACAATGGATCCTTTATACAAAGCCATATGTGACATGCCTGCCATCACTTAGGACTACTGGTACTATTTCAAAACGTGATTTGGTATAATCAAATTCTTATATGAGTTATTATGTGGCAGCAGGTTAGAATTTGAAAGAACTATAAACTCTTAAGTTCTCCAGTTTGTTACATTAAGTTTGCAGATGAACAACTAAGGCCAAGGAAGGGAAAATCTTGTTTAAAATCAGGTGCTAGACTTCTTTCTCTGTAGTTCTTCTCTATTACTTTTACTTATTTAGTGTGATAGTGTGGGTGAGTGCACAGGCCGCAGAGTGTGTGTGGGTACAGAGAAGAGCTTGCCAGAGCTGCTTCTCCCACCAGCTGATTTCCAGGGACTGAGATCAGGCCACTGGTCTTGGTGGCAGGCACCTTCAGCCACTAAGCCACCTTGCTGGCCATTGTTTCTATTCAGTTCTTACAACACTGCATTTTGTATTAAGCCTTGCTGTCTTCTCCAGTTTCCACAGTTAAGACAGTACCTGTGTCTCAGGATCAGGGTCATCAGGGATCAGGAATGATGAGCTGGTGCTAAGAATGCCATGAAATATATCAACACTAGAACTTCATGCACTAAATATGATCCTTTTGCTAATTCAAAATGCACATAGTTTACCAGCAAGGCACAGGGCTGGCTGACAGATTCAAGGGTAATTAATTTTCAGGCACAGAATTTGCTGTAATGACAATGTTCTGTTTACACATCATTGGCCAAACAAATAAAAAGTTACAAGTGCCATGAAATCTCTGTTGTCTTCCAGAATGCTGTATTATAAATCTCTCAAATAATGTACAAATAAAAATGTACAAGCACACCAGAAACTTCACTAGATCCAACCAAAATTCAGACATCACAGCAAAGACGACAAGATATGCACTTATGAAGCTTTCTGGTTAAAAAGAAAATCACTTCTCTGTATCATCAAAAAGTATTATTTGGCTCACATAAATTAATTCAGATTGATGGACGTATATTTTATAGTCCTTTCTTCTACCTTTTTTGTTATTTTACTGAATAATGAAGAAAAAAAATTCTGCTAATCTCAAAACCTCTTCAGGATTACAGGCACAATACTTTCACACTGTGACTACACACCAAAATTGTACTCCAAGCTAACTGACTAATCATAGAACTAATATCTGCCTTCTTCCTGGAGGGACAATTAAGTCTTCTACTTGCCTATATCAAAATAATGTTTGTTATTGACAAAATAATGACTTGTTACTGACACTTCTTGAAATTTGTTAACAAAAAAATATATATATTTTAGAAGGTCACTTAACTTTGTTGGCAACAAACAAAAATGCAGTGGCAATCAGCCCCAGCCCGTGTGCACGGTCGGGGGAAAAGGAACATGCACGTCACACAAAAACACACCCATTTTAAAAAATGTCCCATGGAGACAAACCTTCAACGGTGTGGGAGCAAAAGGGTCAGTTGGGGAACAAGGGGAGACGAGAGGACTTGAATGTTGTAGCTCCTACAGCAATAGAAAACACAGCCCTTCAGGTACGGCATCTTCTCTCATCCATGACACAGTAACATGAAAATCCAATGAATAGTCATAAAGTGGTTTCTAAAAGAAAATTTTGATGGCTTCTCCCTTTCTATTACTGAATTGTGGTATAAAAGAATTTTTTATATAAATTTTTGTTTCAAATTTGCTTTTATTATTTCATTAGAATATGAGAATACCCAAGTATGACTGACAAGCATTTACATTTCCTGATCTGGCATTCATATAGACTTACTTTATGAATATTCAGGGAGTTCTGTCATGTACACACACACACACACACACACACACACACACACACACACACACACAGACACACAGACACACAGACAGACACACACACACACAATTATTTGCAGAGCTTTTATGATCATCTTGTACATGTCTGAAGATGTTAAGGAAATTATATATAAAAAGTAGTTTATACAAATTGCAACAAAAATGTAAACATTAGAAAATTAAACCACACTAAAATGCAGAAAAACATTGGACTCTGTTTTTAAATTTTAAATTTCAGGTGAAAAAAAATATTCTCTGGCAGGACAAAGTACTTGGAAAGGACCTGCATGCCCACCCAGAATACACAGTGGTTTGTCTTTGTTCTTCTGACTACATGTAATAAAGAGTGAACCGGGACAACAACATAGAACCAACAGCAAACATCTGCAAAGGCAAGGACAAGACAATGCACGTTATCCAACCTTGTCAGTGGTGAGCTGCAGAGAGTCAGCAAATGGGTTAGTGCTGCTGAAGCTGTACTTAGGGTAAAGGTTGTGCGGCAAGGAAGGCAAAGGGGATTTCTAAAAGGAAACAGAAGATGGGCTGAAGGCACAAGAAATGGATTTAAAACAATCTCAGGACCAAAGTACTTACTGGCTTAGAGAGCTGCATATAAGAAACCAAAGTCTGCCTGAGTAGTCAAAGCATGTTCTTCTTAAACAGCTCCTAATGGTTTGTTTCTAATGACCCAAGCCTACAGCCCAATCTAATCACTCCATAAAGAGAACCGGACTGTCAAGCTGACTCAAATCTCTTCCATTTTCTCTGAAGGTTTTACTATTGCGGAGTGAAATGCATGTGTTCTTCCCTTGTTACACACTAGCTTCTGATTCCTGAGCATCAATACTCTTGTTTCAGAAGGAAAGCCATAACATGCTTTCCATTTACTTTTAGCTGTGAATGACATTACTTCTCAACAGTCTGTGTAGAATGCACAGTGAGCACTTACCTGCTAGCCTGTCAGTAACCTTCACTTCTTTACATTGTGCCCCATTAAGGAAACTGTGCTCTGACCAGCCAGTAGATGCTGATTTAGAACAATCTCATTTTTAAACTTTAAAAGATGAAAACGAAAATGAACCACTATATAGTGTATTCTACTTTTTGTGGAGATTTGACAGAGATTCATATTTTAAAAAGAGGAAAGAAAAACTCTGACATCTCCCACATTACTGAAGAATTTACGCTTTGGATAATATTTAAAGTCTGTGTTTAGAGTGTTTCTCCTAGATTTTTGTGACTTGCCTGTAGTAAGCCCCTAGCCAGGACTGTTAAAGCTGAATATACGTATTAAAGACAGGAAGTCAGCCAAAGAGAATTTAGCACGTTCATATTTAAAAAGAAAAAAAGTAATTTCCTTAGCACAATAAATCCTTCCTTTCACATTCGCTATCTTTTCCTTCTATTGACTGTATCTTTCAAAGAAAATTGCAGACATTTAAAATTCATGTTGGCTCCAATTAAATGTTTGTGTTACTCTCTCTGCAAAAGCCCTATTGCCGGGCATGGAGTGGAGGGACTGGTCACGTGACTCTACCCTGCATGGGAGAGCACGTTGGAGACACGGTCCTCCGGTGCCAGCATCAACGCTTATGCCACATCACCCTTTCAATCTGTGCTTCCTGCGATGTTTCTTCCCAAGAGGCAAGGCAGGAAAAGATATGGGTACAATGACATTTCTGTGCCTCTCAACTTCCTCCCTGCTTTTCAGTTTAAAATGTCAAACTCCTGCTTTACTCAAGAGGGGATTCCAAGTGCCAAGAAACATGACCACTTAGTGAGATGGAAGAAATGACTGGGCAGTGGAAAACACTGCAGACCTACTCATGTGGGAAGAGGTTATTTCTGGTGATCATGCACAGCAGATCCAGGGCCTGAGTATCTGTTGTAACTACGTGGAACAACGAAAACAGAACCATGATGACAAGAGACGAGATTCTGAGAGAACGCTAGTTTTCATTTTTCTTTGGACCTTACACGATTTCAATTTGGCGCTGTCTGCATAGTACAAGGCCAGAGGAAGGGCATTGTATATGGGATGGTAGGTCACTTCTACAATAGGGACAGTTATGAAACTGATCGTTTGTTTAAAAAAAAAATCAAGTCCTTAGGACAATCGAAGGAAGAAACATTATAACTGAGAGGACACTAAAACTGTAAGTTCTCACCCCTGAACAGTCAAAGAACAGAGAGACAGACAGACTGCCTTCTCAACTGTGTAAGATTTTCCAGAAGCTTTATCTTCTTCTTACAAAGAAAACTTTGTCTCACGGGGATTCTTTGGTAAGTGCATTGGGGGTGTTTTTCCTTTAGCTAACCAGAGGCCTGATTACTTCCATTTGGAAGTAAATCACCACTAACAAAGAATATCTCATTTTAAATGCAAAATTAATTCTAGTTTCCCAAAGCAAAATGTGTCTAACTTGACTAAACATGTCATTTCTAAGCGAGATTTATCCTGGAATAATTGCTATAAAATTAGGTGTCATTATGCCTCAAATAAAAAAAATAGGAATATTTTCCAGGTGTATGAGACAATATCTTTCCAGCTCATTAGAAAATGTGATTGGCATTGAAAGAAATGTTTGTAGTTTAAGTGTTCAAAGTAATATTAAGAATCACTATTCAGCAGCTTATAATATTATCCTAAATGATATGAGTTATAAATTAAAATAAAACAAAAAAAGAGAATAAACCCTCCCATACACAAAAAATGGCTGTAACTCAACTTAAACAGCCATTTACAATATTACCATGCTGTGTCTATGTTTAACACAACAAATGATACCAAATGTATGAAGATTTGTAGTTATTTAAACAAACTGAATAGCATTTGCAAAGAATGCAGCATGAGGCAGCCCTATCATTTGGCAGATTTTCTATCTGAATGGATAATTATTACCTAACAATAAACAACTGAATGGTGAAGAACTGCAGATGTGAAGAGAACTGCTTATATTAAGAACCACTCCATCCATTTCACACTGTGAAGCCCAAACCAGAGCCACACCTGTCTTGAGAACAAGGAGATGGACCAGTAACATGAACCTGGGCTCTATAATCGGGAGTCCAGAAGGTTCATTTTGTTCATCTCACTGATCTCACAGGGTGCCTGCCACTTTCCTTCCATCATTTCAGTATTAATATCATACATTCTTAATTTTCCAGGTTAAAGTTCAATGTATTTTGCATATAACACCACATATTTTATGTTTCACATGATGCCTGGCTTGGCTGCCCTCACATGTACAAACACTTTTCTTTCAAAGCCAACCAACCCTAGACCTGCCAGCAAACAGCGGTCAGGGGAACAGGTGCACAAGCTTTTATATTCCAAAAGCAGCATCTCATGGAGCTTCAGGAGCTCGAGGAATCTTGGGAAATTAGTATTAAGAAAACTCCACTCTGAGGGCACATAGATGTCTCTGAATAACGGTCTTGGTGTATGTGGAACAAAGTTTTTAATAACTACTGCATATGAAGAGACTTTTCAGTGAGGCATAAAGGAGGAATCCAAAACATTGAACTATCAGCAAAATGTTCACCTACAGCATCATTAGGGCATATCAAATATGCTAAGTTGCAGTTTGTATCCTTTCTAGTCATAATAGCCAGTGATACACTTATACATTCTTAAAATTTATTTTCATTCTTTATTTCATTGCTAGGTACTACCAGTAGCATCAAATTTGAAATCTTCCTGTCTCGGCCTCTGGACAGCTGGGATTGCAGGAACATAACACCATGATTGTTCCCTAAAATAAATGTTTAAACTACTTTAACAATGATAGCTGATGGGTTAAATGTCTCCAAGGATCTGTGATGACCTGCATTCTGATTATATCTGAAAAAGAACTATGAAATTATTTGGACATAAGGAGAATGTAGTCTATGAGAATTTGGTATCCAGCGGAATACACAAATACATTAAACATCTGATGCTGTGACTGCATAGGTAGGAGATTCTAGCTAAAGAATAAATTGAGGGAAAAAAATGAAGTCTTTATAGTTTCCAAGAGACTCAACTAAAAATGACTAGTGTTTAATCTACATATCACATTCTATTCCTTTCAGTAATTTGTTTATTTTTTTTGAAATCAGAATGAATACTAGCAAGATATCAACTTGACATGGTGACAACTTAATTCTTTCACATATTTTGAAGACTTCACATATACAGTAGAAGAGATTTGCAGGGCAGCTCACTGTTTCAATACAGCAAAGGAAACCTTTTATAAACACCTTCTGAGACTTCAAAAACTGGTAGGTGCACATGCAGACAACCTGGTGCTTGCTACATTAGACTCCAAGTCGAGCACCACTTCAGTATGCCTACCTTGCCCTTTCTTTGTGTTCGCTTACCCTCGGTTTGTTTATAATGCTCTGTACCATAAACACTACAGGGTTGCCTGCTTTCCGAATGGCTTCCACAGCTTGTTCATGGCTTGCATCTCTGAGGTCCATTCCATCCACCTGCAATGGAAGGCCCCAGCTTAACATTTCAACAAGCTAGAAGAACAGAACAGCGATTTGGATCAGGAGTTCTGAAGCTCCTTTTGATCCTGAGAGATTTGTTTTGGTATCCAAAACAAAAGGAAGTTTTAGGCTGCATACTTCTCATCCCTCCATGGATTTGTGGCACCTTGTGTGGATACAGGTCTTCCAAAGTCAACTGGAGTCATAATCAGTTGGACTGAGGGCTCTGCGTCTGTATTCTTCATAGCATAAGCTGCTCTTTTATGTTTATGAATCAGTTTACAGATAAGCATCATTAAAGAAACAGTCTGGGGAGATGCATTCAGGGTCCCTTTCATCAAAGCCTGTGTGGTACTTCTAATTCTTCACAAAGTGATTTACTTAGGACATGACAAGTGGGGGGAGAGTGATTATTCATGGGTGTCTCTTCAAAAAATTTAAAGAATAAACAAAATTGTAATATTCAGAAACGTGAGGCTACTGTTAGGTTAGTTTTGCAAAAGAATCTGCAGTAGATGAAACAGAATTTGGAAGCCAAGAAATTGTGCTTGTTTGTTTATATAAATAATTTGAAAAATGAAAGTCATTTTGTAATGCTTTGTGGGTAATGATCAGCTCAGCTTATGCAGTAGATGGTCAGGAAGGAAGAAAGAAAGAAAGAAAAAGGGCGAAACTATAAATGCTGTCATTTCCAGTTACCAAGTAAAGCTCAGAGCAGACACAATTCTGTAGAAGAAAACCAGTCATTAAGTCCTGACACAGAATTATATACATTTAGTTAAAAGCCCCTTTCAGGTTGACACTTTGGTGATATGACAATAACTTTTAACTCATAATAAAATGGCCTTTAATGTTTCCAGCAAGTAAATATTCAATCCTACTGTATGTCAACTAAACATTGTTACTCAAGTCCCAAAGCAAGCACATTAGTTCAGGGCTGTTCTAGAATCCCAGCACTACAAGGGCCTAGGCTTCCTATTTCCTGGAGAAACCCTGCACATCATGTACTGAAGAAGTCACCACTAACCTAAATGCAGGTATTTTACAACACACACAAAACATTCTTTTCAATTAGAAAAAGATGTTTTAATTAATCTCGTTTAGTCTTTACTAATTTTAATTAATATTTGTTTTTGTTTTGTTTTGTTTTTCGAGACAGGGTTTCTCTGTGTAGTTTTGGTGCCTGACGCTTGTCCTGGATCTCGCTCTGTAGACCAGGCTGGCCTCGAACTCACAGAGATCCGCCTGGCTCTGCCTCCCAAGTGCTGGGATTAAAGGCATGCGCCACTACTGTCCAGCAATATTTAATTGTTTTAAAGGGCATTTTAGGGGCAAACTATGGCCAATCATATCTAAAGATGATTATAAATAATTCTTATTTTTCTTTTTAGGCAAAAAGTATTTAATAGTTAAACTACATAAAATAAACACCCTAGTAACAACTTAAAATTGAAACTTCAGATGAAGTTCTGACTATAAGAAAGAATTCCATTAAAGAGACTAGTGTATCATTTAATGAGAGTAGGCCAGTCTACCTTGTCATTTGTTCTTATAGATGGTCACAGGGAAAAGAGAAGCACAAGATGCCTGTTTCCTCTCAAATTTCAATCTCTCCTTTCCTCAGGCTCAGAGAATAGACAGAGAATGAATGAGCTAGACAATACTAAGACATTCTATTTTCACTTTACAGTTCTGGGGATTTAAACCCAGGGCCTTGCAAGCACATACAGTGACCACCCTGGCATTGAGCTAAATGCCTGGCCAAAGTGTACATTCTCAATTATGACTGCTATGCAATAAGCAACCTTCTGAACCAGGAAGGCATTGTAATGTGTAAGTCTTACTGACTGGGAAAATGGGACCATCACTTGTATAAGGAAACACAATGTCTATCACAGTCATGAACATCTTCACTTACCGGCTACTCCCGTCCTTTCACTCTGTAGGTTAGCAAAACTCGATCAGACAGCCACTTCTCAACATTTGAAATCTAACAGTGCCTAATCTGATTAGATAACTTATTGTACTGCTCTGAGGTATTCTGGTTACTTCTCTGCTTCCTTCTGGCCAGGCAGGTCCATTGCCTGTCTACTGTGGATCCTAGCTCCTAGCCCAGCACTGGGAACATCGTAGCTGCTCTTGTAATACATACACATCAATAGACGCCTGTATGGCTCTACTGAACACAAGAACCCTGTGCAAGATGTTAACGTTTAATTATGGCTGGCATATGATTTGACTATATGTTTTTCTCTTACAAAGAGCAAAGTGCATGCCATGCACGTGCATACACAGGGCCGTCTTGAGAAGGGGCACAGTACTGAGGAGGAGGCTCCGAGTTTTGTTGAAACATTCATTTAAAAAGTCATCAAGTTCACAGCATTGAAAATATTAGAAGAAAAGACTCACTTGGAACAAAACCTCACTCAACAAAGTTTACATAGAAATGACTATAATACAGTATTCCTTGAAATAATATCTTCCTGGAAAACTTAACGACAAGATGCATATTTTCCCTGTACATACACAATATTAAATATTTTAAATTTTTCCCTAAGATTTTTTTTTTAAATTTATATTCCTTAGGACCAATGCTTTTAAAACTGATTGTCTGTATTTCTAAATACTTGTTTTTACATGACACACACAATTTGTCATCACATACAAAAAAAAAACTGGATAAAAAGAAGAAAATCCTTGTCATTACAAATGTCTAACTAACACAGGGGCTAGGACGGCAACTCTTTTGGTAAGAAAGTGAAAGAGGAAAAAGATTTTGAATAGAAAGCTCACTGAAGTTACCTCAACTATTCTGTCTCCAGGCTTCAAGGTTCCGTTTTTGCCAGCTGGACTATCTTCAAGGACATGTTTGATGAAAATGCCCCTCATCACTTCACCATTGCTCAGGCGGCTCCCCATCCCTCGGCCACCAACAATGCTGATGCCCAAGGACTTGCTTGGTTCTCTCCAAAGTTCCACCCTATAAAAAATAAAATAAAATCGTAAACTCCCAGAGAAAAACACAAAGGAAAAGCTTCCTGAACTTTAGAATGTCCTGTAGATGACTTAGTTATTGATGATGAAACACCATGACCTGACCAAAAGCAAGTTGGGGAGAAAAAGGTTTAGTTCAGCTAACAGTTCCATATCACTGTTCATCATCAAGGGAGGTTAAAAACAGGAACTCAAACAAGGCAGGACCCTGTAGGCAGAAGCTGGTGCAGAGGCCATGGAGGGGTGCTTTTACTGGCTTGTTCCTTCTGGCTTGCTCAGCCTGCTTTCTTATCGAAACCAGGACCATCAGCCCAGGGACACCACTACCCACAATGAGCTGGGCCCAGCCCACTGGACACTAATTAAGAAAATGCTTTCATCTGGATCTTATGGGGGCATTTTCTCAATTGAGGCTCCCTCCTCTCTCATGATTCTAGCTTGTGTCAAATTGACATAAAACTAGCCAGGACAGATAACCAAGAACACAGACAATAAAAAGATAGAGACAAATTGGACTTCATTAAAATGAGAGGCAAAAGAGGTAACTTAAAGAAAGAAAACAATATTTGGGAATCACATCCGATAAGGAATTAATATCCAGAATGTATGAATGAAGTTTCGAAAATCCAGTTACCAAAAAACCAAACAACTAGATCAAAAATTAAGTAAGATCTTGAAAAAAAATTTAGCTACAGGCTTATAAATGGTTTCTAAACACATGAAACAATGATTAACATCTGTAGAGACATAATCAGTACCCAAGAATACATTCCCTCATACCCATTAGGATGAAAATTATTAACAAAACAGAAAATAACTAGTGTCTATGAGAATGGAGAGAAACTGGAGCTCTATGCATTGCTGGTGTGAATGTGACAGGTACAGCCATAACAGCAAATTAAAGACACAGCTACCATATGGGAACACAACCAAAAGAATCAGGGTTGTGAAGAGATATTTTAAATACCTACATCAGAAAAGCACCATCCACAACAGTTAAGAGGTCTACTAGAAATGAAAAATAAGGGCTGGTGAGGGGGCTTGGTGCATCAAAATGCTGTCTGCACAATCCTGACACACCTAACCTAAACGTGTTGGCTCACATCGGTAATCCCAGTACTCCTGTAAAGAGATGGGAGGCATAGAAGAACTACCCAGAAGCTCATAGACAGCTAGCCTGGCTTATACTGAGCAGCAGAAACTGGAGTGAGCTTGCCTCAAATTATTGGTAGGAGATAAACCAACTTCCAGATGTTGTTCTCCAACCTGTCCATGCACCCATACTCATGCACACATGCCACACATACAATAGTAGATAATTTTAAAATTTAAAAATGAACAAACAAAATGATACATAGCTTATTATGGAATTTTATTCTGTCTTAAAAAGGAAGAAAATGCTATATGTTTTAACATACACAAACAGTTTACTATGCTATATAAATTGGCCAGCTAAATGAAGTAAGGACAAATGCCTATGGTTGCACTTACAGAAGTCCAGAGGAGATGTATTCAGAGACAGGACATAGAATGGGGTTTGCTCAGCTGGGAAGTGGATAGGGAGGTATTGTTCAATGAACAAGGTCTTAGTTTTACAAGATGAAAAGTCTTCTGTAGATGGCACTATATTTATATAGTAAAGGTTCTTAAAGCCTTTGAATAACACACTTAGAAACAGAATAATAAATATGTCTAATCACAATGGCACCCTACTCATAAAAGATTAAATTAAATACTTTCAAAATTACATGTTTTGTTGGTATTGATATTGGACTCACATTCTAGGCTAAAGTGCAGGCCAGCAAAGAAGTGCCATTTTACAGGAGTGTTAATAATACAGACATTACGTGATCAGGAGACTCAGCTACCACTGAACAGATGGCAGTTTCTAGGTTTAGCAGCCAAATTCAGGGAAAGAACACTTTTGCACACACTAATCAGAAGCTTGCCTCTGTGGGAGTCTTTCTTGCCAGAGCAGACCTGGTCATTAACAGTCAGGGCATGAAGGGCAGTCGTTGTAAATATTCTACATGAAATGATCTTTCCAGCACCTCCCGAAATACCCTGAACTGCTTTGTACCTTCCACTCCAGGAAGCACAGCGGTTCCTCGCTGTTCTGTAAGTTGATTTCATATGCTACTACCTTGCAGCCCTAGCTATTGTCCATCCCCATCCACACAATGAACACAGAACTCACACAGAATAACTGTCAACAGCTAAAGAGTTAAGGATAGAGGCTGAGGACTTAGTTGGTAAAGTGATTGTTTGGTGTTTGCTAGCAAGCACTACAAAAGGAAAAAGAGGTAAGGATGGACTTACAGGACCACCCTGTGAAAAAGGAGGAATGCAAGCATGAGGTGATTTTCAGTAAGGAAGAGGTTCAGGGTGTTGATAAGACCCTGCATCTATTCCGGACTTCATGGAAGACAATGATGTTGGACATTGAGGACAAGAAGACAGCATGGCTCACTGTGTCCTCAATGCTGACATTTGGGGTGTTTCAATGAGAGGAAAATAGGCCTGCTGCAAAGTGAATGAATTGGCAGAAAAAAAGGACTAGTGTAGGGCAGCAGGTGTGTCAGATGAGATGCACAACAGAAATATTTCTTCTTTGGTCAGGCAATTTTTTTTTAACTGAATATATATAGTCTTAGAAAGTTGATCTGTATAGCTGGAAGAAATTGGACCATAATCTTTGTGAATAAACAATCTAAAATTTCATTCAACATTTTCTCACTAGATTATAAAAATAAAAAATGCCAACATCCCTTTCTATTTTAATATTTATTTTTATTATATTTATTTATTTCATATTTTATTTTTGTAATAATAACATATATTATTGTAGCTGTTTGTATGTCTGTGCATGTATATGCACAAATGCACATGTGTCAGTATGAGGTATACACACATATCTATGCAGATGTGTGTACCTGTTTTTGCAAATGTGTCAGTGTGAAGTATACACACATATATGTGCAGATGTGCTTGCCTGTGCCCATGAAGAGGGAAGGGTCTTCAGCCCCACTTCAATATTTCTTGAATTAGTTTTAACAGTAATTTGGTCAAAGAAATTTAGCCAATGTATGTATACACATTAGAAGCCAGGTAGGACTCTTGAGCTCTTAAAAAACTTTAGCTGGGTGGTGGTGGTACATGCCTTTAATCCCAGCACTCGGGGGGCAGAGCCAGAAGGATCTTTGTGAGTTCAAGGCCAGCCTGGGCTACCAAGTGAGTTCCAGGAGAGGTGCAAAGCTACACAGAGAAACCCTGTCTTGAAAAACTAAAAAAAAAAAAGAAAAAGAAAATTTTAAAAAGGAATGACAGGAAATGTCTCTTAAGGCTGTTCATTGAAAAAAAAGTGTTGAAATTATTTCTGAAGTGATATAAGCAGCAAATTATAGTAAGGCTATAACCCACTCTTCAAAGGAAATAAATTTGCTTCCACTTAATCCTCATAGCAAGCCTAGAAGGTACATACTCTTTAGACCTCTAAAGGAAGCATCACAGATTCAGGAACTGTGGCAAACAGCATGGAGCTCTCTAGTGGATCTACAGTTTAAACAGACTATTGTGATATACACTCTGTGAATCCTTAAACAAGGCAGACAAGAGTCAAATGATCACACAGGCAGGAAGCTAGGCTGACCAGTCACTAGACGCAGCACGGTGGATATCCCTGGGGAAGAAAGACACCTGTCAAGAAACACTTTGCAGAGCACGTTCTGGCTCTAGGACCAGACAGCTGGTCTATGTGAGCAGAGTCCCTGGACTCCAGCCCTGCTCTTCTGCTACTTAATGAAATGATACGAGGCAACCTACTTAGTCTCTTTGTCTTATTTATCTCCGCTGTGATTTGCAGTCAATAAAAGCCTCTAATAAGACAGTCTTCTGCAGAATTAAAATATAATTGTAAAACCAAAACATTGGCATAGAGCACAGAGCAAGCACCAGATAAATCGATGATGATGACGATGATGATGATGATGGTAACTAATGATGGCGGTGGTGATTTCCACAGGAATGGCAGGAAGTATACTACTTTATCTGTATGACAATTAAGCAGGTAAGTACCCACCTCCTCAAACCTCAAGTGTGTAAAGACAAAGTGTCATTTTCTATCCATTGACAGAACACTTTGAAAAATGTCACACATGTCATTTGGTGAACACTCATGTATTGAAAGAGAAGTGGAAGCTGCTATGATCACCATAAAAAGAAAGACAGTAACTTGAAAAAAAAACTTTTAAAATGCATATAGAACATATAATCGAGAGAAACCCTATGAATGTAAACAGTGTGGTAAAGCCTTTGCACAGCCCAGTCATCTTCAAGTATATAAAAAAACACATACTGGAGAGAAACCCTATGAATATAATCAATGTGGTAATGCCTAGTCACAACACAGAGCAACCCTGTACTATAAAACTTTTAGTGTGTAATTGGTCTCTTAAAGCCTTTGAATATAACATTAGACTTTGAGGATCTGAAAAAAACTCATACCAAAGGAAATCTGAATATATATGAATTAGTATGATCTTCAGCCAACATACTTACATTCAATTACACAAGATTAATTATTTTGGAAAAAAATCTAAAATGTGTCAATAATCTGTTCAAGCATTATAATATCTCTTTTTATTTTGTTTACACCTGTCAACTAATATGGACAAAAGGCCTATAAATTTAAATGATACGGTAATCCTTTTAGGTTTCATACTTCTCTTCAAATACATGAAATAATGAATTCTGGTGTAAAATTTCATAGATGTGTTATCATTGCCTTTTTTGTTGCTTTGATAATAGATCATATCTAAGTGAACTTAGAAAAGGGTTTAATTTGACCCTTGGTTCCAGAGCAATACATGAACCCTGTAAAAGTGGCATGGAAACAAGAGTCAGACATGGCAGCTAAAGCAGGCAGCTAAAAATTCACAATCTTGTCCTGCAGCATAAAGCAGAAAATGTAAATTGGAATTGGTGTGCAGATGTAAACACTCAGGTCAACCATCATGACTGATTTCTTCCATTTTCTATATCTTATCAAATGATACCACAGACTGAAAATGATAGATTATTCCAATTTCAAGACTACATGCTTGCTTTCTGTTACATGGACCAATTCATGATGGAGAAAATCTCTGTAATCATTTAGATGCCTCAAAACCCATGTTACCAGAATTATTATAGAAAAACATTCATGACTGAAAATTAGTTTAAAGATTTGTTTTTATTTTAACTATGCTATGTGTGTGTGTCTTCCTCTGGGTATATGTATGTGCATTCTGATTCCCAAGAAAGTTAGACCCTTGGAGCTTCTTGTTGCAAGAATTACTGGAAGTCATCCAAAACCAGATCTTGGTCCAGGGAATGAACTTGTGTTAAAGGCTTGGCCATGGCTCTATCCCTGTCAATATTTTAAAGCTTTTTATATCATCTTGATATCAGGAAATAGAGAGGTACTCATACAAAAGAAAACCCTATTTATATAAACAATTTGGTTAAGACTTTAGACATCACAGTTGTTTTCAGTTTCAAGGAAAAAAAACCTTGTTTTAAGTCTTTTTCACTGTAGATTTGAAGTAAGTAATTATTAACCAGGTTCACTAAAGACTGATGTGAAGATTCCATTGTGGCTTCTATTTTGCAACATTTGAGAAAGATATTGAAGTGTGGGATATGTGTGGCAAATTCAATTACTAAAGTTTATTTTACGGTCCTTAAAAATGCATATAAATTTTTAGCCAGTAATTATACTTCTGGATACATACATACATACCCTGAATAAGATTTTATACATACAAATATACATTTGGTGCACAGAATAATTTGGTGTAACAACATACTGTAAGCCACTCAAGTATCAGCTGTGGCCTCAATCAGATTTTAAAGTAATGAATATAACATAGATCTTACATTTTATAATCCTTAACACTTAACTAACAAATATCCTCTATTTCTAAACAAATCTCTGATGATTTTGTATTTCCAATACTGAGAAGTAGGCCCTCATTTCCAGAAAGCTCTGGCTGTGCTGGTCTGTTTCTTAACCATTCATCATCTATGAACACTCCCCTGGAGTAACTTGTTAAATGCCTTGTTAAAAAAGCCTCTGTGGAAGCCTTAGGCCTTTTATTTGTGTAAATCACAGAGGGAATTCTTAGGTTGATGTGAAGACAAAACTGAGGAGCAAAGCATACAAACTTTCCAGTCCCAAGGATGTGTGCTTCTTTTTCTGTAACAACTTCCTTTTGTTTAGCTACTCCCGAAGGCACACAGACTGGATCAGGCACTATTGAGGACTGCCCACTGCCATGCTGGGGCAGTTAAGATGCAGAACTTACTGATTCTTCCTCCAAATTTAAAAGACTCCATAACTAACCCAATTATACAAATGAAGAGCTTTAGAAATTAAGACACTTGTACAGAAGTAAAGGGACTCAAGTACAGTTCATATTGCCTCCAACCATTCCCACACTGCCTAAACTATTTTTTGTATCAGTGTGTGATTAAAACTAAGCCCGTTTACCTTCCCTACTGTTACTACTTTTTCCAACAAAATTTAAGTTGATCTGTAACACCCTGCCCTGACATAACTTTAATTTCTTTCTGCATCTATTAATACAAATAAATAAAACATGTAACACCTTATAATGGATTATCTGTCAAAGATCTTTCACATATATCCTTTTCTCAACATGGATAATGCTGTAGAGAGACAGCAAGCAAATTGGCTATTGAAGAAATTTAAACTGAAAATTTCTTTTAAATGGCTGGAGATACTTAGTTTCTCTGAAAATGACATAAAAATAGTCTTTTCTGTATTTTGAAATGTCTGGCTGCAGGTTAAGAGTCATTTGTAAATAGGCAACATCACAATGCAAGGCTTCATGGTAAAGGTTAACTTCAGGGCTGTTTGAAGGGGCTGAGCCATTCCTACTGATATTTAATATGCTACATTGTTCTATGCTTCATATATCTCTAGATCTTGCCTGGTCAAGGACATCCTATCTTTCTCAGAGGCAGGGCTGATGTCTTAGTCTTATGTTGTGGGATGGTCTGTATGTCAAATGTGTTGTTGATTGGTCAATGAATAAATCACTGATTGGCCCGTGGCCAGGCAGGAAGTATAGGCAGGACAAGGAGGAGAATAGAGTTGGGAAATGGAAGGCTGAGTCAGGAGACATTGTCAGCCGCCATCAGGACAAGAAAGATATAAAGTACCGATAAGCCACAAGCCACGTGGCAAGGTATAGATTAATAGAAATGGATTAATTTAAGCTGTAAGAACAGTTAACAAGAAGCCTGCCACGGCCATACAGTTTGTAACCAATATAAGTCTCTGTGTTTACTTGATCGGGTCTGAGCGGCTGTGGGACTGGCGGGTGAGAGAGATTTGTCCTGACTGTGGGCCAGGCAGAAAAACTTTAGCAACAAACAAATACATAGTTTTAAAAAATAAAGTCTTTAAAGAAACAGTAAAATTAATATAAAAAATAAGCCACATAGAGATGACTATTACACAGAGAGTCTGGATTATGTTGTCTTTGGGATTCTTAACTACAGAGAGATATTTGATTGTAAAGGAAACTGAGTTAAACCAATATGTATATTTTAAAGATACTTTGACTTCAAAATTTAGATGTAAAGATATGTTGCTTTAAAAAAGAGTCTCTTTTGTTTCCACAGAAAGCAAGAGGCTATGGATTTGTTCCAGATTAAGACACATCAAGTTTGACCAGCCAAGACCACCTAAAAGGTCTCCGATGACACCATGGCCCAGATGATCCAACATCCAGAACCGTTTCAAGGCAACTGGCTCAGATGATACAGCCTCACGGACTACTCCATGATCCTAAAATTTTCTTTGTTTCCCCAAAAGATACAGCGCCCCCCTCCAGCAAAAAATAGTAAGAAAAGCTACGCCCAAATTCCCAAATATACCAAACTAACTTTAGAGATGTATAAAGGTTAAAACCTTCCTTTTTAAGAAAAGAAAAGGGGAGGTGCTGTGGGATGGTCTGTATGTCAAATGTGTTGCTGATTGGTCAATGAATAAATCACTGATTGGCCCGTGGCCAGGCAGGAAGTATAGGCAGGACAAGGAGGAGAATAGAGCTGGGAAATGGAAGGCTGAGTCAGGAGACACTGCCAGCCGCCATCAGGACAAGAAAGATATAAAGTACCGATAAGCCACAAGCCACGTGGCAAGGTATAGATTAATAGAAATGGATTAATTTAAGCTGTAAGAACAGTTAACAAGAAGCCTGCCACGGCCATACAGTTTGTAACCAATATAAGTCTCTGTGTTTACTTGATCGGGTCTGAGCGGCTGTGGGACTGGCGGGTGAGAGAGATTTGTCCTGACTGTGGGCCAGGCAGAAAAACTCTAGCTACAGTCTTAGACCTACTGAAGACTCAGAAGCTGACTTGACTCTGCATGGGCATGATAGTGTGTCCCTCAGGATACAGTGATTTGTCTGAGCATATTCAAGCTCAGTCTTCTTTGCTGCATAGGATCCATGCCAGCAAGTGTAAGGCCTTGGACAATCTCAGTCTGTGACAGCAAAGTTCCTTGCTCATATGTCTATCTCTCTTTCATACTTATAGTTCTCTGTCTCTCTCTCTCTCTCTCTCTCTCTCTCTCTCTCTCTCTCTCTCTCTCTCTCACACACACACACACACACACACATTTATATATGTATATAAAACATAAGTAATATATATGTTTTTTATGTATATTATGGTTAAATATATCTAATTTTAAATGTAAACATGTTAAATGGAAGCAAACAATGTTAAAATGTAAACAAACGTTTGGCACTATATCTAAAACTATTCAGAACTTATTCATTCCAACTACCTGTGCATACTTTTCTCTAGTCAATTGTCTTTAATGTTTACTATAGATCCTTGTGTGTAAGTTAGTTTTAACACTGTGTGAAACTGATTTTCTCTGATGTACATACAAAGAAATAAAGAATTAACAGTGTTTAAAAAGAGTGTCTGATGCCATAAGTAGCAAGCTGTAGGCCATTCCTCCGGACCACACGCCCTTCTCTCTCTCTCTCTCTCTCTCTCTCTCTTCAAACATGTAAACTCACAGCAGAAGCAGTCCTTACCTCCGGGGTTGACTCCAGCTGCTGTAGGCTGCATTCTGCAGTTCACTTTCTTCCCCTTCTCCTTCTTCTCGCTCCGGCAGGTCTGGAATGTCTCTGGTTAAGGAAATACACAGTGAGAATTCCGAGCAGCACTGCCTTGAATGGACTTAACTGTTGGTTAAACAAAACAAAAAACCCAGAGCTGTCTGAAGTTTCACTGTATTTGACCTACAAATTTGTAACATTTCCTAGCATAGAAAACAAAACAAAACCAACAAACAAAACTAACCAAACAAATAATAACTTTACACTAGAGTTAGTTGCTGCACACAAAGTCTTGCCTCGTCCATTTGCTGATGAAATGTGGCAGAATAAAGGAGGGGGAAGGAAAGGAATGGGGAAATTGCATCAAACCCTGAGATTCTATAGGAAAATTATTCAGCAAATATTTCTCTGCCCTAAGAGAATTCATCATCAGTTGATTTTATAGAACTGAAAAATCTAAAGAAAACGTGTCAAATTATAGCATTCTTCACTGATAGGAATGTTGAACTCATTCAAACTACATGATCTTCAGATTTGCAACCAGAAGTCAGGAGATCTCGTGGATCTGCACTTGAACATGATTCACAGTGCTGACAAACGAATGTCCAGGCTCTCCACAAACATCCTTTTCTTTGACCTGAATGGTCAAATACTGTTTAAACATTGTTAAAATGAAATTTACCTGCTACAGGCCCTACCAGCGGCTCTGCGCTTGAAGTCCCCTTTTATGTAAACTAAAGAGGGTAGATCTGGGAAAAGCTGTGCTTTCTGGAGTCTAAACCTGACAACGGTCCAGGATGGTTAGCAACAGTTCCAAGAGGTGTAGTCTAAAAAAGATGTCAAGGAGCTGAATGAGAAACAGTCCAAGTCCTCTGGTAAGGAACCAGAGAAATGTAAGCCAAAGAGATGAAAAGGAGATGAAGAAAAAAGGGGTTCAGGAGACAGAGTGAGAATGTGAGCAGCTGCTGTAACAGCTACTGACAGCCATAGGCTAGGGGGAGGGGTTATCTGCCCTAAAGCCTGAGCTGGGAGATCTATGCAAAAGCTATGCATAGACTATGCATAAGCGATCCTGGCCCCATTGTACTGTGCTGCACTGCCTCTTTGTTTTAAGGGCTTGTTCAGTTCTTCCTTTGGATTCAATGGTCAAGATCTCAGAGTCTGACTGATTACATCCTGAGTTTGGCTTTGAAACTAGCTGTGGGACTCCAGAAGTTAAGCACTTGCTGCTGCAGATTCCTCCTCTGTAAGATGCAGACTGCCTTTTGTAAGCATCCTGCTGTTAATGACAAATACGCTTTCTTCACAATGGAGCAGCTAATCACTGGGCAGGCGACCAAGGCCATTCTTCTCTCTATGCTGAGAGGAACAGTAGTGAAAGTAGCCTCTTCCTTCTAAAACTTTGGAATGTTTTAAGGCCCATGAACTTACTGAGATCCTAACGGGTCCTCTGTTTGGACAGAAGAAAGATTACTTTTTCCATTTTGACAGGGAACACTGGCAAACTACAATCAACGCATGCTGTTAAGCCTGAGACAGGAATTCTGCAGTGTGCCTAGGCCAACTTTTGTACAGGGTGGGGTTCTCCTGCCATAAATGTCATGAGGCCCAAAAGACTGTAATTTTCTTTTTCTTTATTAAGCGCAGATCATGTCTTTCCAATCTCCACTACTCTCGGCACGCTGTGGCCTTGTATAATTTGTAGATGAAGCAATGGTGCTATATCATAATTCCTTCAGGGCCACTCAGAACCAGGGTGTTCTGACACCCTCTGTGGATGCAGGATTCTTCGAGAAGGCCTCCAAATGTTTGTGAAGCTCTATGCTCTACACTATTCTTACGAGAAATCTGGTATCCAACTGTCAGTGTCACCGCAAAAAGCAACCCACAGAACTCCAGAGAAAGCACTCTGACATTTCTCTCCTGCTGTGAACTCAATCAGTACTACCAACAAGCCCCAATTCTGTCTTTTTGTAACAGTGAAGAACACTCTATTACTTAAAGGTTCTTAACATACTGTATACCAAGCTCTTTAAAAAGCTAAGCATGGTTTCCTACTATCCCTTTATACCAACATTCTGAGCCTAAGAGTCTTCAAAGAGAATAAATATGTTGGCTAAAAAGTGTTTATGATTGAGTTGTTTGATATTTCTAGGACAAGTGAAAGCATTATATAAAACCACAGAAAATGTGCTGTCCAGAGAATTAATGAAATAATGTGGGGAGAATCACTAAAACTTAATGTTAAAAGTGCTATGTTAGGTGGGCAAATAAAAGATTGTTTTAATTTATTGCTTTGAATATTCATATATTTCCCAAATTTTCAATTCTAAATGATAATTACTTGAGTAACTGATACAAAAGGAGACTTATTTTTTTTTAATCTTCTGCATCGTTGATTGTTTTGTTGTAGACTTATTTACTCACCTGCCAGTATATGAAGAAAAAATATCCAGTGCCATTATTCCTCCAGATTGTTGACCAAAACTTAGTTTGAACTCTTCCAAATGTTCTGCAGGCACGTAAGTAATTCTGGAAATAAACATAATCCGTGAAAGCAAAGGGAACAGAGTTCTATTATGAAAGCCTTCCAAACACAGAAAACAATCATACTGCCCATTCACATCTACACTGCATATGATGTGTGGAATGAGCATGCTCACTAGGTGATCCAAAGTTCAAAAGGCAAAATACTCTACAGGCAAACACAACAAGTGAAATAAAAATTGCAAATGCTACTAATAAACTGCTAATTTATTAACAACGACACAGGGAAGAAAATAGGATTATATATTTCTCCAAATGAGAAAGCCAATGTAATTTTTTTTTGAGATTAGGAAGCTAAAAATTTGATAAGAGAGCAAGGGAGGCAGTTCAACAGCAGAACATTTATAGTGAAAAGTCCTGGGTTTGCGCCCTTTACTACAATGATAAATGAATGAATAGGACTATAGTATAGCTCCATTGTAGACTGTTTGCTTACCATGCCCAGGGCCTAGGTTCATCAACAGTACCGCAAAATAAATAAGTATGTAAATAAATATCCATATTAATATTATTTTTGTCATAAGATAGATTCCCTAGCAGAAATAAATTAGGTTTACTTTATTAAGCACTAAATATCTAGAATTTATTGTTGTTTATAATAAGTTAATTATGGACATTAATTGGCATAATCAGTGATTGAGTGAGCTCTATTAATTTATGACCTTGAAAACCTGAAGCCTGAAGCTAACATACTTAAGTTAAAGAAGGATTCATTAATGTGTAGAAACTTCTTTTTATCTTTTTTCCTGGAAGAAATTCAACTGTTTACACTTGAAAGTAAACTAGGAAATCCAACAAGGAGCAACTGAGTGCTGTGGGATGGTCTGTATGGCAAATGTGTTACTGATTGGTCAATAAATAAATCACTGATTGGCCATTGGCTAGGCAAGAAGTATAGGCGGGACAAGGAGGAGAATAAAGCTGGGAAGTGGAAGGCTGAGCTGCGATAAACAGCATGTGAAGATGCTGGTAAGCCACGAGCCACGTGGCAAGTTAGAGATTTACAGAAATGGATTAATTTAAGCTGTAAGAACAGTTAGCAAGAAGCCTGCCACGGCCATACAGTTTGTAAGCAATATAAGTCTCTGTGTTTTCTTGGTCGGGTCTGAGCGGCTGTGGGACTGGCAGGTGAGAGAGATTTGTCCTGACTGTGGGCCAGGCAGGAAAACTCTAGCTACAACTGAGTACTCCTCATGTGGACAATGTTGCACTGGATTCGGAATCAGAATACAGCAATGGCCTTAGCAACCAACACTGCAAGGTTCGAATACACTGCTATTCTGTGCAGCTAGTTACAACACTGACAAAATGTGTAAGTAAGTTGGTCAAGAGCCTTCAATTAATGCCTACTTAGAGAAATACTGTACCTGATATCAGTAGGGCAGACATGCTTATGCAACTAAGAAAAAAGAGTATGTATTAACATGCTCAATATAGAAATAACAAAAACTCTTGAAGCAATTAATATATCCATTATGAGGAGTCCAAAAGATCCTGGCCCTGGAAGGTAAAGATATAAGGACTATTTTTTATACTGTAAGAAAATAAAAATTGCACTGATTTACTACTTTGGAGTTAGGAGGATATATTTCAAGCACATTGATGATACCATAAAGACATGCCCTCTTTCATGTTGCCGAAGTTCAGTCTGGTGGGTTTGAGGTGCTCTGAGGTGAGACAACACGGCTGAACCTCCAAACCCTCAACCATAAGTATGTCCTCTTTTATGCTGTAGAAATAAGCTAAACGCCACCACTGACAGTGAGGCAGCATCCTCTCAGAACACAGCTTGCTACACCACCGTCAGCCCACCAAAAGAACACTCAATGCCCCTGGGAATCTCCTTGTGACATTTCTACCCCAAGAACTAAACTATGAGCAGAAAACACCAGTTGGGAAAATTTCCTTAGGCAGGGCAAAAGCATTGCCTTTCAGTGGCCCAGCTTAATTTATTCACCTATTAAAAAAAATAACAACAACAATAAAATACTTTGAGTTGTTACAAAAATACTGAATAGATTTGCTGTTTTCTCTTCAAATTCCATGAGTCAAAAACATGCAATATATTTTATATCAGGAAAACCCTATTGTATTTGATATATAAAAATTAATGTACAATCTAAGGCAACAGGATTTTAGAGAACATATTAATTCTAAAATTTTGGAGAACTCATATAAGTAAACTCTTAAAACCAAGAGAAAATACATTGGCAAAGTAGGGCATGAAAGCAATAATACTAATAACAAGCATTGCCTGGTTTCTTTATTAGCCAGCTTGAAACCCCAAGCAACACTCATGACGTGTCTTCTGTGTTTGCTAATTATTTCTATCAGAGGGTACTAAATGAAGGCTTTATAAATACCTGTTTGATATTTTGTTAGCAAGGAGAAAGAACAAAGAAAGCCACTGCCATGGTCATTCAGCCCACCACTGACAGAGGCCACCAGAACAGGCTTTCCCACAATGCAACAGCACACACTCATAGCAGTTCCAGCACATGACCAATCACATAAGCCATAAAACCTCTGTACAAGCCGAAGACAGCAAAGCTGAATGACAAGCTGCAGAAAGACATGGAAACAGATTATTTGGGAGCTGAGTTAAGAGCGTCAGTGTAACCTAACCTCTGGTTACACATGGAGTGGAAGAAAAAGGGCTTGATTTTAGTGATGCTGACATGCAATAACAACTACTAATCTGGGGGCTGTGCCTGCACATGCAGACAGGATCAGCCTCACAAAGGAGTCTGAAAGCTTAGTGGCTGGCAACACGGATTTCCAAATGAGTTCACAACCATCACTGCAATGAGGAAATGTAGCAACTGCACAGCTCTGCTGGAATTTATGTTCTTATAAATGAAGAAAAAGCCAAACTGCACACACTGAATCTAATCTGGATCTATTCCTGCACTGGGATGTTACAAAAGCATGAAATGGTTTTCACAGACAAGTTGTAACACACAGCCATAATGAGCTTTTGAGTCACCAATACTCACACATAAAAGGGGGCTCGATCGTCAGCAGGTGCTGCAGAGAATCTAGAATGTGAAGCATACGCCGCGGCATCTTTTTACAATGGTGTTAACAAATGTCAATGTCTTGTGCTGAATGTGAGACGCATACATATGTAGTTAAAAGTGGGTGCTCCTGGATATTTTCCCCCTTTCCACCTCCCTCTCATCTACACCTCCCCCAGAAAAGCATCTGCTCTTTCCTGGTGTCTATAGCAGTGATTATTAACAAGCATGGAAAAATGTAACTGCAATCAATCTTTTATTCCTTGATCAGGAATTCATCCCACACATTGGGTTAAGGCAGGTGAATTCTGATTCAGCTCAGTAATTATCTGGCAGATGTTATAAACAGCTGCTGCTAGCACAAAACCCTGGCTATTATTACAGAAATGTGTAAGAGCTCCTGGCAAGGTAGAGTGAAAAGAAACAGAATGCATTCTGGTGAGGATTCACATCTGGCTTTCCATGGGAAACAAGGAGGCCTGGAACTTAACTGGCTGTTCTTGAACTCCAGTAACTTGAATTATCTCTTAGGCATGTCTAAATGCACACAAACTTCATAATTATCTATCCTGAAGGAGAGAGAAGGGAGGGCATGCATTGTCTCAACAAGCAATCCTTTTCCTAAGGCCAATCAGTTGTGTAGCTGAGCCAGAATTTTTGATTTTTTTATTTTTAGAGTTTCCACCACTCCCCATTAATAAGCAACACAGAGAAATTGATTGGACAGAGCTTAGAGCCAGGCAATGACTACAAAACTTAATTGACCAAAGGCAGTGATATGGTTCCATGCAGAATAAAGGAACAACCAGGCTTCCCTTTGGGGGAATGGCCACAGTGACCTCAAAGTAGCTCTAAAACCCTCCTTTATGAAATGGAAGTGACAGAAGAGGGATAGGGCCACTAACACTTCAGAGAAAACCCAGAGAACACTGTTCGGCAGCCCTGCTCAGTGTGATTCACAAAACGTTTCTGTTTCTGCAAAAGGACTGTGGAAGAATGAACTGATTTCTACCATTTGCTCAGTACGTCCATCTATAGTCATCTGAGTCAGCATTAGTTGGCCTTTAAAAAGAACTGGGGGATTTTATGAGTACGCTGGTGTGTGGGTGCAGATGAGTATGAGAAAGAAGTGTGTGCATAAGGCTAATTAGCATGTGCCTAAGAGAAAGTCTGAATATCTGTGTGAAAGACTGATGTGTGTGTGTAACAGAGAAAGACTGATTAGTAAAAAAGACTGACATGTGTGTGTAAGAATGACTGTGTGTGTGAAGAAGACTGATATGTGTCTATGTGAAAAAGACTGACTAGTGTGTGAGGAATAGTGAGTGTGTATGTGTACAAGACAGACGTGTGTGTGTGTGTGTGTGTGTGTGTGTGTGTGTGTGTGTGTGTGTAATACTAACTGGTTAATTCCTGAAGATGGCAGATTTTTCTTCTTCCTGTTTTACATGTAAATGCCACAGTGTGTTTTGACTTCTGAGATGTGATAACATGTTTAAGAAGTTAGTCCTCTAGATGTCTTTCAAAGTTATAAGAATGCAGCTGCTCTCAGAGGACTAGAGGTTTCTGGCTGGATATTCAAGTGAGGGGAAAAAGCAGAGACACAATACAAATCATAAGAAATAGGGAAGAGACATTTTGACTTTAAATCAACTGAAAACTTCTCTGCAATTAACTAGATGCAGGACCTATACTTTGAGATACTTTTGAATTTCAACAGTCTTTTAGGGGGAATTCCAGTGCCAAGTATGGATTCTGATGCTGCGAGTACCCAACACAAGCATCACTGAACAAGAACTGAATGTTCAATCACCAGGCCATCTGCATGTCATACCACACACATCATGAAATATCCTACAAGGAACCATTTCCATGTGCTCTACATCATTTGCCTTTAGGCAAAAAGAAGGGCTGGCCACAAGCAGTAAGGAATGACCTGAAACATTTCTCCATTTGTGTAGCACAAAGACTGACTTTTAAAATGATGTTCTCCTGTACTCTTCTCATTAAAAGATAACTAAGAAACAGCCACATGATCTGAAGATCTGCTCTCCTATAAAGTAAAGTCAAAAGGGCATGTGGAATATGAAAGCACAAGTGAAGGTTCTGTCCTTGTAACAGCCCTTCTACTAAGACAGCACGAGCTGCTTGCAATGGGATGCGCTTACTGCTCATGAATGGCAGAGCAGAAACCACATGGTCAGTATGCTGTAACCATGCATATTCTGCAATGGAATGCCATTGGTAAAATATTATATCAAGGTGCCCCAACATGAGTAACCACTACCCATTTAAGGTAAATAGCCTTCCCCTGAGCCCTGATTTATGCTTTGATCCCTTGCACAATAAACATGAATATTCAATGATGAATGTTAGACGGGAGAGCCACATTGGTGAGGCATGGCAATAAACCCTGAGCTGCATTTCATGTTGGCTCAAGGAATATCTAATGAGCTAAAAGTTAAACTACACACACACACACACACACACACACACACACACACACACACACACGATGTGTTTTTAGAACATTATAGACTTGCAGGAAATTTCAAGCACTTCCTGGCAAAATAAGCTACAGGGTCTATAAGCAGAAGTTACCACACAGATCAGTGAATCCCCATGGGCACAAGAGAGCTCGAGAACATGACTTGTGCTTGACAGGCCTTGTGCTCTTCAGGCCTGGCACTTGGAGAACTGGCTGGTTTCTGGGATTCCTATGGAGCACTTCAGCAGTGCATGCTCCTTTATACTGAGGGTTGTAGCCTCCCCATGAGACTGTGTGAGATTATGAGACATGTGAAACATGGGCTATCTCTCACAGCTAGGGTTCTTACAGAAACACCAGAAATGCAAAATCAAACATAACACCACACTGTTAGCACAATTCAACAGCATCACAATCTTAGCTATACTGTATTTAGAATCAAGAACTAATCAGAAACAAAGCGTGGAGTGATTGACATGAAATGAACATGCTAATTCTGTGCATCCAATGAGAAAATTATTCTTATAAATGAGATGAAATTCACGAATTTCCCAAGACAAATGGGTCCAGATGACACTTACTTTATGTCAGGTCCAATTAGAGAATGTCTTCTCAACATGGCTCGTGCCTGGGCATTAGTTAAATTGATGGTTGATTCCTCATTAATGGACAAGATGCAGTCACCGACAGCAATCCGGCCATCTCGACTGATGGCACCTCCGTGAATAATGCTTCGCACGATCACTCCCAGGCCATCTTTATCAGCACTCACTGTCATTCCTGTGAGAAGAAAGCAAGGCTGACAAGGACCACAGACAAGACTTTCAAACTCACTAGAATTTACCATTCACTATGGCTTTGTAGATAAAAGAATGTGAGTCATGTTCTTAGTTACTAAAAAGTTTTTCTAAAAATAGTGTTTCATTTACTTTGTCAGTTGTAGTTGTGTTGGTGTGATATGTGTGGAGTGTGTCATGGTGCACATGTGGACACCAGAAGACAACTTTTTGTCCCTGCTCTTTTTCTGCCATTGTTTCTGGGGATGGAACTTAGGCCATCAAGCTTGTATGACAGGCATTTTGACCTGCCGAGTCCTCTTGCTGGCCCATTGTAAAACATTCTCAAGTGACTCAACATGCTGGTGAAATTGTGTGAAGGTAATTTATTCCATGTTTAATACATAAGACATTAAAACAATTTACACTACAAAACTGAATGTAATTCACACGATTTGGTGTGGTCCACTTTTTAAGACACAAGCCCTCTTAGAGAAAATACCGTCTGGTATCAGACTGGTTTTCTAACAGCAGTTCACATCTTCTACACATAACATAATAAAGGCAGGAGTCCAAATGGATAGCCTAAGATGGTGCTTACTACCTTATGTCTAGTTCACCCATTCATCTCTGTCTATACAGCATGTGGCTGCTATGTGCTGAATCTTACATAGGTTTCTTTAGACATAAAACACAGAACAACTCGCAGCATCCTGTAGCCTATGCTAAAGTCTTGACCCCAGAGCCTACCCTGTTTGAATGTTGTCTATTGACCCAAACCAAGAGAAATGAATTCTCTTCCATTCCATTTTTGTCTCTTAACTCTGTTCAGGTCCCAATGTGGGCATTAGATACTGTCTTCACATATTCCTTGGATTTCATATCAAGACAAAAATGTAATCATAAGTCATTGTATTGCTGTATAACTTTTAATTTTTCACTTCTTCTCATTTCTATGGTCTTCCCCTTCTTGATAAAAGTCATTGCCATCCTATCATAGTATTCCTCATTGTTCAAAAAGAAACACTGGAGTCATTTTTTGCATGTATATTGGTGTGTGCGTGTGTGTGTATGCGTGTGTACGGGCCTATGAATACATGTGTGTACGAGTGTGTGTGGTGGTCAGAGGACATCCTCAGGCATCTTCAATATTTTGATTGAGACAAAGTCCCTCACTGGTCTGGAACTTCACCAGGTAGAGTAGGCTAGCTGGCTAGCAAGCTACAGGAGCCTGTTCATTTTTGTCTCTCATCTCAACATAGCGGGGGTTACAACTGTGAACACCCAATCTGGCTTTTAATATGGGTTCTGATGATCTCAATTAAGGCCCTCACACTTGATTGGTAAGTGTTTCACCAGTTGAACTATCTCCCCAGTCCCGGAATCATTTTAGCTACTACCTGACATCTCTCTCTAGATTTAACACATACTTAAGACCTACCATTTCTATCTCTAAATACTACCTTGAATCTAGTTGCTTTTCTACATTTCTCAATAAATCCTGATCAAACCAACACCATCTCTTGCTTATAATTTTGCAGCCCCTTAACTAGTCATCTGCTTTCTGATATTGTCTCCTCCAATACACTATACTCAGAGTAGAAAAACAATTCAGAAGAGACAAATCATATCCTATGTGTCCTCTGCATGAAACCCTTCAACAGTTTCCTAAGATGCAGTATATCTCTCAGGTACAGTACAGAGAACACAGGAGACCTGCTCTCCTTGAAACTTGTGTCCTTCCTTTCTACCACATAGTCCTTGGCTCTGGAGTCCCAGCTACAGCACAGCTGCCTTCTTTCATATATACGATTACTATCTCCCCCTTCTCCCCTTTAGCTGATTTGCAGTATGCTCCAACACAACTAGTTCATCCTCATGTTTCTGCATCGCTTTCTCCAAGCAGTCATCAACATATGCTATTTGAATTACTTTACCTTAACAGCTTATCCGGACCCTATTCATACATAAAACCTCTAAATTTACATTTAAAACATTTCAAATACAACATAATTCACTTTAGTAAAGTGGTAATATTTTCTTTTCAAACAAGAGTGTATGAATAAACAAGATAGGAAGAGATATAAAGAAGTATTTTTCTTTTCTTTAAAAGATTCATTTATTTATTTATTATGTATATAGTGCTCTGTCTGCATGCAAGCCAGAAAAGGGCACCAGATCTCATTACAGATGGTTGTGAGCCACCATGTGGTTGCTGGGAACTGAACTCAGGACCTCTGGAAGAACAGCCAGTGCTCTTAACCGCTGAGCCATCTCTCCAGTCCTTAAGTATTTTTCTTGTTCCTTTTTTTCTCTTGTTAGTTAAGGATTTTTATTTCCTTTTTGCTGTTATTATTGTTATTTTAAGACAAAGTTTCACTATATAGCTATGGTAGACCTGGAACTCACTATGTAGAATAAACTGGCTTCAGAGAGATCTTACTACCTTTGCCCCACAAGTACTCAGATTAGCATGCTGAAATTAAAGGCAAGAGCCACCACACCTGGTGCTTTTTGTTGGTTTGTTGAGACAGGCTTTCACTCTGCAACTCTGATTAGCCAGGAACTTGCTATGCAGACCAAGCTAACCTTGAACTTGCAGCAATTTACCTGCCTCTGCCTCCCAAGTGCTAAAATTACAGGTATAAATCACACCATAATGATTTTTTTTAAATAGGAACTTTGACAAAGTAAAAAAATTCATTGTTAGGTTATTTTCATAATAAAATATATTTTATTATCAATCTAAATATGAATACCAACTATACCAAATTATATCTTTCAAAAGTATTTTTGAATATGTTCCCTATAATATTTATATCCCAGCACCACAGGCCTGGCTATGGGAAATCTTATAGCTAAAATGCTAAAAACAGACAAAAAGAATATTGAAAACTGCAAGAGAGAAGGGTTGAGTCACTTACAAAGGCATATCAGGATAACACCAGATCACTTGACAGAAACATTTAAAGCCAGAAAGACCTGGAAACATACATTTAAAGCTCTGAAAGACCACAACTGCCAACACAGACTATTATACTCAGGAAAACTACCTATTAAAATTGAAAGAAATAAAAAACTTTCCATGGTAAAAATAGACAAAGGAATTTATGACCACTAACCAAGCAAGCTCTACAGAGGATGCTGGAAGGAAAACTTCTACCTCAAGAGAAGAATAAATACATTACAGATGACAAAAAGAACAAACAAACAATACTTGGTCAGTTAATGAAAAGATACATAAAAAAATGCCACAGAAAAGTTGGGGCTTGAACTCATCTTTTAATAACAACTCTAAATACTAATAGTCTCAACTCCCCCAGGAAAAGCACAGACTACTGGATTAGATTTGAAAACGGAGTAGAATATGTTTTTTCTTCTGCCTTCAAGAACATAGCTCACCTCTATATATTTATATCACTTTTGGATAAAAGGATGGAATGTTATTCCAATCAAATATAACCAAATAAACAAGCAGGTGTAACTATTTCAGTATCCAACAAAATAGACTTCAAAACAAAACTAGTCAGAACAGATAAAGTTTACCTCATAATCAGCACACAATCCATCAAGAGGACATTACAATTCTAAACATATACACACCAAATGTCAGGAAACAAGCACTCTAGATCCAAAGCTACAGAGCTGGCAGTGTGTGGATTAACCCAAACCACAGATATGAGCAAGTCTTATGGGAGCTCACTAGTTAGAAAGCTAATTTCAAAATATACTTAAAAACAAAGTTCTAAAAGAAGTGCCCTGTATGGGTGGACAATGCTGGTCTCAGAAGATATGAGTTATTAAGGAAAAGTACAGTGCAAGTCATGGGATACCTTCCTATCAGTCATTGCTCAGGGAGACCCCAGAAGTCTCCAAAACAAGACAGGATATTGACATTGCCCTTGGTTACCCATCAGAACTTTAAGTATACCCACCAGAACTTGAAGTGGGTGTGGCCACCCCCACACCTATATATTCTAATCTCTTAGTTTAATACGGTTAAAGAATAACCCACTGGCATGGTGGCACATGCTTGTAATTCCAACCATGAATTTGAGGGCTGCCTGTCTCCAAAGACAATATTAAAAACTGCACCAGCAAAAATGTTTCATAGAAATTGAAAGAAACTGGTGGCGAGGGTTTTTACAGAAACCTGTTGTTTATTAAGGATTTGTTTTCATTGTCACTAGGAAAAGAGGTAAACCATCCGGAAGAGAGAGGCTGCAGAACTCAGACAGGCTGAGAGCAGACTATGAACCTGAGCAAATGTGGCTGTATGCCTACCGGAATGAACTCACCTGCTGAGATTTCCTAAGGTATGACTTATCAAGCTTTATGTTACTTTAGGTTATCATGGAAACACTTTCCCACATGAAATCTTAGCTATACATACTGAATTACTTTAATATTTATGTTTATAAAATTTTTAAATGGGACTTTTTCATGGTTTCTTTATATGTTAGTACTGTAGAAATCTGAATATTGAAATCTCCTGTCAAATGAAATATTAAGAGAAATATTCTCAACATGATAGGCTTTGAATTTTAACTCTGAAAAGCTAGGAGGCATTTTCAAAATCTTGATATTGTGACATGATGTCATTTACAAGGCTCACGCTCAGGAGTTAAACCTTCAAGTTTAAAAGTTGCGGAAGAGTATCTCACAATGTTGAAGTAACTTTACAATTTTGTTTTGGGCTGTAATCATGGCTGTACTCAGCTGCACAGAGCCAAAGCTTGGACACACATGTAAGAGGAACCTTGCTGAGTACCAAGATATCAAACAACCAGGGCCTAAACTTCTAAAAAATACAGTCGGTATGTAGCCTAATTCTTAGAGTGAAAATGAAGCAATAATAATAATAATAATAAATATCAGCACAACTGAACGGCACTTACACGCAAATATTGTAGCACAAGCCATAAGGTTATACGCTGTGATCTCCTGTATCAACACCACTCTCTTCACAATTGAGGGATATTTTATATTTTAATTAAAACTGAAGTTTAAATGGATTTCCGGATATGATAAAGGATACTTTGAATCCTTACTGGTTTTTTTTTTTTTTTTTTTTTTTTTTTTGGTTTTTCGAGACAGGGTTTCTCTGTGTAGCTTTGCGCCTTTCCTGGAACTCGCTTTGGAGACCAGGCTGGCCTCGAACTCACAAAGATCCGCCTGCCTCTGCCTCCCGAGTGCTGGGATTAAAGGCGTGCGCCACCACCGCCCGGCCCTTACTGGTTTTTAACAAGATCTTAATTAACTTATAACATTTCCCATCAAAACTTAAATGCTAACAAGAAAGTAGTTCAAATGTCAATCAGCTGATATGTAAAGAAAATGCAGTGTTTATTTTCAATGAAATAGTTTTTAGCCTAAAAAAGAAGGACATTTCTGATGTATGCCACTTGAGATTTAAAAACATTATGCCATGTGAAATAGTTTCCAAAGGTCAATACAGTATGGCCCACTTACTTATAACTAGAGCAAAAACATAAGCCTGAGACAGGAGGCCAATCGCCATATGACATTATAAAAGCACTGAAGCATTACGTCTACTGTGCTACTCATACATGCAGCACTGAGACTTAATCAGGAGGGACTCATCACCCGTCTGAGTGTGGAGAAGAGGAGTTACACTGAGGGTCTCTGTGCAGTGAGCCCGAGATAAGAGAAGAGCAACTGTTCAGTGGTGGGGTAAATACATTTCCGTAGAGTTTTCTAAATGAGGTTCCTCTGTCATGAGTATTTGATAGTAACAAGGCGTCTACATTTCTGTAAAAGTCACCATGCTACATTCCATTATCATTTCTCAGAGACCCACAATACACAGCAGCTGTAAATCTGCTACAAGAATGGGGAATCTTACATTTGCCACAACCCAAAATATGAGGTATAGAACTTGCTGAGAATTCTTAGCAACATCCTAGAAAGTGTGCACAGAACCACCTGGCTCCAGATGCTCTGCTGGGCAGCAGTCAGAGCTAAATAGATGTCTGCAAAACTTATCTTAAGATCACTGAGAGTTGAGGAAGATCCCAGAGCCAAAGCCAATCAGTGAATTTAATATATATGCTTTATTGCATATGTAATATGAATATATTAAATAATATACACATTAATATGAATATGTAACATATATAATGATATTTATATGCCATAGACCAGTTTGATATGTTGTACATATCCTATATAACAAATGTGTATCTCATAAATAAGGTAAATAGAATTGTGTGACTCATGCAGTTTTTTTCATTTTCTTTTTTATCATTTTTCATATGCAATTATATGTAGTAAAGCAATACACATCTTATTCTACAGTTCTCCTATCAGCTGGTATTGGTAGGTATCCAGTTACCATCAAACGGAACAAAATCTAGGAGTCTGCGGAGGTTTTGGGAATATCACTTCTGAGTCTTAAGTTTCAACAGAAACCAGTCACAGTCGTGGGATACCTGTTCAAAGGATGCTTGATGACTGGCCACTGCAGGAAGACAGTGTCAGATGTGAGCTAACAATTGGGCTACATTTGGGCATTCGAGGTTCTGATGGATGGTCCTCCATCGGTCCCAACAACAGAATAGCTGCCTCTCGATGCAGGTACAGGTGTGCTCTGTCCCCTCAGCTCTGTCTACTCTCACCAGGGATTCAGCTTCTCAAGAAGTCTGGGCCCATTTAGAAGGTGTTGTGATTATGAAGCAGCCAAAGCCTGTTAGGAGTGACAGAGGACTATCTCCACAGGAGGTTGTGTGTGTAGAGGTCTTCCAGGCACAAACGTAGACTATGAATAAACTGCATTTATATTTTGGTAGTGGCAACACCTGGCAGTCGTTAGTATTTCTATCGGTGAATGAAAGAAATTAAATACAATCTGACTCTTGCATAACTAGCAATATTCAAAGAAAGTAATAACTTACTTTCTCAAAGAACTTAGAATTCCAATTGCTGACTTCTCATTTTCTAAGAATTCCTTTTCTGATTTGCTACTTCACACACACACACACACACACACACACACACACACACACACACACACACACACACACAATTCATATAACTTACTTGAATGCAAATGAGATTTTTTTGAATACTTGGAAATAAGAGAATAAGGGATGTAAGCTAGTATGAAACAAACAAACCTGTTCCCATGTCAGGAAAAATAACAAGCACATAAAAAGAAGCAAGAACATTTTTATCATTCACTCTGTACAGATAAAAATGATGTTGAAATCCACTGTCCTCTTGCGGTCTGAGGAGCAACTTACCCAGACTAGAGCTGCCTTTTGCTATAGTAACTGTCCTCTCAAAAGCTTCTTGGGACATACTTTGCAGAGGGACAGACTCAGCATCAGAAGTCAGAGAGCTCTGTTCAGTTAAATACTCGGAACCCCAAAAGAAAGAAAAAAGACAGTCACATGAAAAGAAGATTAGACTTTGGAGTGGCCATTTCGACATTACACACGTTCCCCATGAGCTGTGCTTTAGCAAGAACCCACAATCAATCGAGTTCATAGGTCACCGCAGAGTCACACAAGCACTCATCCCAAAGTAGAAGAGACTGGGGATGTAATTCTTCTCTCTCCCCTCCCCCATCACCTGCCTAGTCACACCACCAGGAGCTAGCTGCAGGATACCTTTTGAGCTACAGCAGGCGGTGCAGAAGCAAGCTCTGTGGTGCGCAGGCCACTTGGTAACTGTGAGTGAGTCCATGCCCCTGTGTTTGCGCATTCATAGTTTTGTTCAACAGCGTTTGCAGGTGTGTAGTCACTGATGGCCAAACCAGAAGGCGCCGCCATGCTCATGTCTGTGGGAGGAGAGGCGGCCTGCCGTCCCTGCAGGAGGCTCTGTGTGTAGAGTTCTTCCAGGGACATCTGAAGACCAATCACTAGGTCAGAACTGGCAATCACATCCTGATAATGAACAGACAAAGCCACTCACCAAAACTGAGACTTAAGAGTTATATCAACTTATTATAAGCCACTTTTTGGTGAATTACTATTTAGTGAAAAATAAAACACACTTATTCATTATTTTTAAAACCTTATATATACACATATATTCTTCACTGAGCATGTTTCCTGCATATTTTTAATTTCATAAATGTTTTTATTACATTTCTTACAAATCTTGTATTTCATGTTCTACTGAGTTACACTTATAGAATAGGTCACATATAAGAATTTTAGATACAATGTTTAGTTCTAGCTACAAGCAAAACAATTCCAAGTTAAAGCTACACAGAGAAGCAAACAGCTCATATTCCCAAGTTACACTTCCTGGAAGATGCTGTATATTGAGAGTACCAAGTATGACAGCCTGGATCTGGAATCCCAGGGCCCTCCAGGAGTAAGTTATTTATAGATAACTAATGGTATCCATGCAGAAGAATAGGAAGTCTTGAAATTCAGATTACTGTAGGAAAATCTGTATGTTCTGTTAAGATCTAACAAGTAATACTATATCAGAGAGTCAAAAAAACCTATGTTCTAATCTAGTTTCCATTATTAGCAATCTGTATATAAAAGAACCTGTCTTGACAGCTACATATTAGAAAATTTCTAAAATTCCTTAAAAGTTTAAAATTCTACAGACCTATATGAATGCACATGTCTCCTCACAACAGACATATTTTAGCATTTACACCCTCGGGGCAAGCATCTGCTTTACACACTGCTGTTAATAAGTATATGTTTCCCTTAGATTGTCTTATCAACATTTTTGTTTTCCTTCTTATGATACTGGGGGTCAACCTCAGGACTTTGTACACACTATGCAAGCATTGTACCATGGAACAACATCCATAGCATTTTCAATACTTTTAAAGTGCAAAGGTCTTAAGAATACATTCGCACATAAAAGATTCATTTGGTACAAATATATACTGCTTATGGCCAGAGAATACTATGGAAGCCTGTACTTGTGACTCCTTTGTTCATTTACTTCCCCAGGACATATGTCTGGAATCAGATACTGATCCGCCCATTTTATGCACCTGTAAAATATTCATGCAAGTATGTATATATACTTGCACATGAAGTTAATATCTTAACATCTAAACAGAACCATCACTAAGTGGTATTTACACTTTTCTCCACTGTCTTTATATCTTGATGTCAGTTTTTAAAGTCCACTCCACCCTCCTCATGAGTATAATTATTGCTGACATGCAATGGTGGACTGTCACTCTTGAAGTCTCAGTTCAGATACTGGTTCGCAATTAGTTTAAGCATTGGCAAAGTTCACACTTCTCACTCTCTACTCTGTTCCTCTCACCTATTTCAAAGGGAAAAATAATAGATTCTAGCACAGGGCTTTTGAGGGGCCCAGAAGAGTTAAAAACAGGCTTGACTTAATAGGAAATGCCCAACAGACCTTAGCTACTACAATTGTTTACGTAACACAATGTTGTATAGCCAAACCAAGCTTGAATTAGTAGAGCAATTGCTCATCCATCACACTGTTCTCTCACAGAAGGAGACAGTGGAGTGCCTATGAACTATTCTTATAAAGACTATACTTTCTTAGAAATGAGATCTGGAAGAAGTGTACTGGGCAACATTTTACCATGCAGACTCCTGACGATTAGTGTAGGTGAACCTGTGCACCCCATATGAATACTCTCTCCACATCCCTCCTTGCACCTTTTACCAGGTGCAGTCACGTCTTCTTTTTGGGATGTGAAGTCTGGCCCGAAAGCTTTACCAGGGTTCTAAGTCTGCATATGTCATTTTTATTGAGATAAAGTTCTTTATATAACCAAATTTGTCATTTTGGGGATTCTGGGCTTCATGTGTTACTCACAATTCCACACAAAAGAAGGGTGACACCTTCTAGTATTTTCCTCTACTTGTCAAATAACTGTTTGACATTTTAGACATCTAGAATCTACTTCAGATGTGGGTCTCTTCCTTTTTGTTATGAACTTAACTATATGAAACAATCTATTGTACTTCCTGTCTACAATTTAAGGTACCATTTTTCCAAATTATCAAATATTCCTAGCACAGAGAATAGATGTAGTGGTCTCTCACAGAAGTATTTAACATTACTAGTATCCTTAGGAACAAAGGATAGGACAAGGCCACCTCAACACCCTACAATCTAGATGGACTGTTGGCTCCAGTATCCAACTTCGGTTATTTTATTCTTTTTTTTTTCAATTTTTAAATTTTTTTCAGTTATTTTATTCTTATAAAAAATAACATACTTACCAAAGGACTGGTAAGTTTCAGAATTACTAAATTAATTACAATAATTACTGGAAAATCATCCCACCCATGGCTCGAAAAAACATAATCAAAACTGCTTTTCATCAAAAAAAGCAGTCTCTCCACCCTTGTTAGCTGGAGCCTACTGGAAATTCTATGACAAAATGTCCATGCATTATTCATGGAAAGTGGCACAGACACACTGAAAGGGAACAGCTAATCAACAAGGCAGGTAACACACGCCTACTTCAGAAACATATAGGTGCTGAATAGCCTACTGTTTTATGTTTATACATCATAAGGATCTAAAAGTAAAACAGTTTTTCTTCTAATCCAGTGTTCAAAATAATCCTTCCATTTTCCCATGCTTCTTGGTATCTTAAATAAAGTCTTTCAAAAATATATACTAATACTTGATATATTCTTGTTCTCAGGAAAAATGGAGAGAGGTGAGAAATTAAAAGATCAAATATAAATGAAATTTCTCATTTCTTAAGTTTAATGCAAGATTGAATGTTGCTCATTACCAAACTCCTTTTCTGGATAATGACTGATATAGATTACTCAAATGATAAAGTTTCTGACAGCTGCAATAGCAATGTAGCAGAGAATCCCTGCGGCACTTTACAGTCACAACTCCTACCTTACCACCACTGTCCCATTTTCTGAGTTAAGGTACGCTTCTCTTTACTATTTTCATATGGCTCCTAATATGCTAAGGGCAGCATCTTTCCTTCTTAATAGCCAGCAATTCCTGCATGGACAGTTGACTGTTGTTCTCTGCCTGCTGGTTCAAGTGCTTCAGGTAGTTTTCAATCATATGCCCGTCTCCAAAACCATCCCAGGATAGATGGGACCATATATGCAGCAGAATCACATGCTAGAGAATGCCACAAAGCAGAGATCTGTAGGATGCCTGGGCTGCTTTTTATTATGATGGAATGCATAATAAAAAGTGCTTGCTGTGGTAAGTGAACAGGAAGGTTTATCATAACAAACAAAACTTCCCCTGTACTAGAACACACAAAATTTCCTGGAGAACTAGTTGTCAGTCATGACAGACAATTTCATCCCTGGTGACAGGCTAAGAATGTGAGTGTAACAGAATAGATTGCAGGGGACATAACATACAGCTATTAAATCTTTACCAATTGTTTTCTTAGGTCCTTTTTTTTTTTTTTTTTTTTTTTTGAGCTGAGGATCAAACCCAGGGCCTTGCGCTCTAGCAAGCACTCTACCACTGAGCTAAATCCCCATCCCCGGTCCTTTTCTTTAAAGCAAGGATTTCTTCAGAAACTATGTTGAATCTTTAAACAGATGTCAACTGACATTCAATTTTGGAAAACAATTATTACTACATTTTGTCATGTTTTTAGAAGCACTAAATAAAAAGTAATAAATTATTTTTCAAATTAATCCCCCAAATTTAAACTTAGAACAACAAAAAAGGAAAAAAGTTCAATGGCTATAGCTAATTGATACAACGAAAATATACCTTTTATTTCTTTTTACTTCCTGCATTCCTTGGGACAGGAATTAACTATGTAAATCATTCCTGGCCTAGAACTCTAAATCTGCCTGCTAAAGTTTTGACAGACTGGACTTTGTGGCACAAGCCTGAACCCCAGCACTGGGGGTGTGGTGGGGGTGGGGCAATGACAGGCAGAACTCTTCATGGCCAGCCTGGTCTTCATAGCAAGTTCCAGGCTATCCAGGGCTACATACTAAGACCCTGTTTTAAAAAAATAAAAGCCTGCAAGTGATGAGGAGGCCACCATGCTCAAACAAAATGAGTATTTAATAAACTGCCTGTAATTCAGATGACACAGATGTGGATAATTTAAATCTGTAAGTATTAATGAATAAAACTAAAATACAATATACACTCCCCAGGCCAAAATGGGAGACTTCTGTAAACAGAGGCAGCAGCTCACAGCTGCTGAGCCTGCTGTACTAAACTGGCTCTGAAGCTCAAGGCTTCCCCCAAAGGCAAGCTCATGCTCCAAGGCATACCAACCCAGCAGTAAAGAAATGTCTCCACAGACGGGAGATCCATTTCCAGTCTACATATTAAGTAAAAAACTGGAGGAAATACTGAGGTCCTAGGGTTCCGCTTTGTCTTTCTTAAAATCTGAACATGGGCATCTTTGTTTTTCTTAAATACCCATATGTACAATATGTTCATATAGTGTACAACCACACATGCTTAAACAGCCATAGATGGTAATGGCCTCATTCTATTCATTGAGAAGTCCTGAGGTGAGCTTATATTTTATGTAAAAGTCGATTCTTAATTCCTTAACAAACTCCTTATGATAAACTTAATGCAAACAGGGAGGATAGATCATATAGTTTATTCAGTTTTATAATTTTTTCTAGTAGAAATCTAGGTAACAAAATTCAGAGACAAAAACAAACAAAAGCAAAACACAAGAAATCACCAGAGTTGCAGTATCTAACTAAGGAAACTGAAAGCCCACAGGAGGTTTAAACACCCTCATTAATGTTTTATTTGTTGCTTTTTAGTTTAAATATTTCAGTTGTCAGGCCAGCTTGCCAAACTTTGATTCAACAAAAGAGTAAACTGCTTAGGAAAAAAAAATGAGGCAACAGACTTCAGCAAGTCAATATGTTGTGCTGCATATAGCCAGTGTTTGCCCTGTAAAATATATGCTTTTCAGTGTGCAGATTGTGCGATCCCTTTAAGTAATAATTACTACATTAAACAATGCAATCTGTCCCACTGGCAAGAAGTATGCAATGCTACGCATTAGGAGATCCCACCAGGATAGGAAACAAGCTTCCAGCCCTGAGGCCAGTCAAGGATGAACACAGTCCAGACAGGTTGTAGCCAGGGACCTCAGGTGTGTAGGCGAGGAGTGGCTGCTCACTAAAGATGGTGCCTTGTAAACCAATTCCAGGAGGGTGCCCGGTGGCATGGGCAAGGGTAACAGGTGCACTTCAGACATAACACAAAATGCTCTGCAAATGTCCTGGCCAAAACCAGTTGTTAATCAGGAAAGAAGGGAAACAAAGCCAGACACCAGGGATTCTGTTCCTCAACCTGCTCATGAACGGAGCCCTTTCCCACTGAATTCAATGTAGCAGAAAACATAGTATTAATTTAAGAAAAAATGTTGTCAGGTCTCCTTATCTTCATGTTCGCTTACTGTGTATTTCTAACACAGAAAAGAAATTATGTTCACACATAAACTGTCTAGATGCTCTATTCTCAGTCACTACTGTACACAATAGAGAAATCAGCTAGAGCAGAGACCCCACATGTCCTTGTTTTCTTGGAAGTAACGTGGGGTTGGGAAGTACCACATCACACACTTTAGGTTTTTCTCTACCCAAAAGTACACAAATATTCAGAATACATGTATATATGTATAATTGCTTTAGAAATCAATTCTCTGAGATTCTAACAAATCAACAGAATAAGCAGCCAATATAAAGTAAAAATGACTGGAATAGATGTAGAGATCAATGAAAAATAATGGCTAAAATATAGAGAAGCACAATCTCTAGGAATCAGAAAATCCAAATTAAAATACACATCAACATGCCAGCTTATATTTATAAGTTTGCACAGGTTTTAAAATATTATTTTTGAACATTATGTCACCAAGAACACTGATAGAGTATTAGCATTTACATTAATAATCCATTTTTAAAGTAATGACAGCAGGTATGTCACACAGTGACTTTGCCCTTCATTCATATCCACTGACATCAACACATACTGCCTTCCACTATAATCTTTATGTAGAATATTCTTTGACATCACTTTACATTAAAATGTGCAACACTAAGTATAAATTGTTAAATTACAATAAAAAACTTAGTATATTCTTTTGTCTAAAAGTTAGTTAAAAAAAACACTAAAACAACAAAGTCATTCTAAGTTTTCCAAACACGATGCTAAAAGCATAATTTGAGAAATACATTGAGAAAAATCTTAAAAAAGAAAACCCTTTGAATCTTTGTTCTATCAGTCTGTCTAGCAAACATCAGAACCAGTCATCGGTAATTTAAACAATCAACAACAGTGAAACTATTCGGATCTGACATGAATCTGTATGCTGTGGATATCTCTCTGTATGCTGCAATGTGTTGCTCTGATTGGTTAATAAATAAAGTACTGATTGGCCAATAGCCAGGCAGGAAATATAGGCAAGATAAAGAGAGAGGAGAATTCTGGGGACAGGAAGGCTGAGTCAGGAGTCGGGAGTCGCCAGCCAGCCACAGAGGAAGCAAGATGTGAAGGCAGAACAGGGAAAAGGTACCAAGCCACGTGGCTAAACATAAATTAGAATTATGGGTTAATTTAAGTTGTAAGATCTGGCTAGCAAGAAGCCTGAGCCAATAGGCCAAACATTTTTAATTAATATAAGCCTCTGAGTGTTTATTCAGGTCTGAGCAGCTGTGGGCCCCAGGTGGGACTGGAGAAAACTCCAGCTACAAATGGCGCCAGAACGTGGGGCAAGAGTTTCCACCTAAAATCTGACAAAGCTTTAAAAAAAAAAGATTCTAAAATGGAGCTAAAAACAGCTTCCTAGTTGTCTCTCTCAAGTTAGCCACAGCCTGCGTGCTTGAGCTACTCTTTCGAAGATTGGCAGCATGCGGGTTTGACCTGCACCATGGCAGGAATGAAGCATCTGCAAGCTGCACATTATGCTGTGTGATGGATTTAGCCTTTGCTAGTATAAAAAAAAAAAAAAAAAAAAGGTTTCTGCGCTACATGCTGTTTTGATAGAAGCATAGACCCACTGCTTCTAAGAGTTGATGGTATATGGCTCCCAGACCCAGAACTGGTGGTAAACGTACCACGGCCATATTGGGAAGCTGAGGTGGGCAGAAAATGCTGCAGTTTAAAGCAATAAATTCACAATAGGACAGATTCAGATTGGATAAACCTCTAAGTGGTTTGCAATGTGTGTAAAAATGTATGTAGGCTTGGAAGAGAGAAAAAAGGTAATATATGCAGTTATATAAAGAAATAGTTTTAAAAAATAAAGTCTTTAAAGAAAAAGTAAAAGTAATATAAAAAAGTAGGCACATAAAGATGGATATCACACAGAGAATCTGGACTGTGTTGTCTTTGGGATTTTTGACTGCAGAAAGATATTTGATTGTAAAGGCCGCTCAGTTAAACCAATATGTATATTTTAAAGGTACTTTGACTTCAAAATTTGGATGTTAAGCATATGTTGCTTTGGAAAGGAGGCTCTGCTTTTGTTTCCACAGAAAGCAAGAGGTTATGGATTTGTTCCAGATTAAGATACATCAGGTTTGACTAGCCAAGACTGCCTGAAAGGTCTCCGATGACACCAGGGCCCAGATGATCCAACATCCAGAATCATTTCAAGGCAACTGGCTCAGACAATACAGCCTCACAGACTACTCCATAATCCTAAAGTTTTCTTTATGTCCCCATAAGAATACAGCACCCTCATCCAGCAGGAAGTAGTATGAGAAGCTACGCCCAAATTCCCAAATATACCAAGCTGGCTTTGGAGATGGAATTGGCTTGTTCCTTCTCTAAACTCAAGCATATTGCTAAAAGAAAAGGTTAAGAGATTCTTCTGTCCCATATCAAAAGAGCCCTCTGGTGTGGGACAGAGGAAAACCAATATTTTTATTTAAAACAGGTTGATTATAAATGTGATCTCTTTCTAAAGAAGAAAAGAAGATATGATATAGATATGATAGGATGAAAGGGTAGATTAATGAACCTAATTTTAAAGAGCAACAACTTGTTTAGAAATGTTTTACATTGCTATGGATTTTAGTTTATTGATCCAAGTTTAAACTTAATTTTGTTATACTGTATATATATTTCTACTCTTGTTTGAGGTATTATGTTTATGTAACTCATTTAGATTGTAATGGATAATTAAAAAATACAGATTAATAATTAGTCTTCTATGATAGTCAAACTTTTAGTCATATTAAGTTTTCTAGGTATACACAGATATAATTCAATTAGGTAGGTAATCTTCAAATAATTCAAAGACCTATAGAATGTGGCATTTAAAATGTTTTAAAAATTTAGACTTTCTGGACAGTGAGACATGTCTGCTCCTTGCAGCACTGATTTACTTCAGAGAGGAGGATGGGTATTAAAGACACACTATATGGAATTTATTTTCTTCTTGGCAAAAATAGCCATTTGGGAAAGAAACTGTTCTTGCCTGGACTGCTTGATTGACTGGACATGCAGGACCCATAGGAAGGTGACCACTGAACTTTGCTTAGCAAAATGGTCCTTCAGGTTCCTGCTTCACAGAGGAAACTGCCAGACATTCTACAGGACACAGAGAGAAGTGACTCAGAGACTCTAGGCCTATGGCTTGAAGACAGATGCCCAAACTTTACAGAGGAACTTTGGATGATTGTCCAGGCTGCCAGCTATCTCTGTCTACCCTGCAAGACTCCCGAAAGGTTGCTTGCATCCCTCTCCCATTTTTCAGGTAATATTATATCCTTCTGAGGTCTTTGATGTAGTTGAAGACTAGATCGTTATAATTTCCTTAGTTATGATAAAAGATAAGTTAGATATGAAACCTTAGACTCACAAATATAAGATAGATAGGATATCCTCTTTAATTTTGCCAAATACAAAGAGACTAGATATTATAAATAGACTAGATATTGTAACTGTAATTCTTGTTTGATAGTTGTTTTGTTAAATGTAATTTTACTATGTTAAAGCTAAAACCTTCCTTTTTGAAAAAAAAGAAAGGGGAAGTGCTATGGATATTGCTCTGTAAGCTGTGAATGTGTTGCTCTGATTGGTTAATAAATAAAGTGCTGATTGGTCAGTAGCCAGGCAAGAAGTATAGGTGTGACAAAGAGAGAGGAGAATTCTGGGAACAGGAAGGCTGAGTCAGGAGTCACCAGCCAGACACAGAAGAAGCAAGATGTGAAGGCAGAACCAGGAAAAAGTACCAAGCCACGTGGCTAAACATAAATTAGAATTATGGGTTAATTTAAGTTGTAAGATCTGGCTAGCAAGAAGCCTGAGCCAATAGGCCATACTGTTTGTAATTAATATAAGCCCCTGAGTGTTTATTTGGGTCTGTGTAGCTGTGGGCCATGGGCGGGACTGGAGAAAACTCCAGCTACATCTGTGACTGCAGAGATGTGACATCATTAATATGCTATATGGTGGTTTCAATGAGAATGGCCCCTATAGGCTTATATATTTGGTTGCCAGTTACTGGACTGTCTAGAAGGATTAGGAAATGTGGCCTTGTTGGAGGAGGTGTGTCATTGGTGGTGTGCTCTGGGGTTTCAAAAGCTCACTCGAGGCCCATTCTCATCATCTACCTTCCTCTTGCTTGTGGATAAGATATAAGCTCTTAGCTACCACTCCAGCATCCTGTCTCCCTGCCTGCTACCAGTTCCCTGTCGTGATAGTAGACTTATCCTCTGATACTGTAAGCAAGCCCACAATTAAATGCTTTCTTTTTTTTTTTTTAAGTTATCTTGGCTATGGTGTCTCTTCATAGAAATACAACAGTGACTAAGACATGCTACTCCTACAATTCAGAGGAACTCGTACTTCCAAAGTTATACACAGACTTTTCTCTAAAATGAAGTGATATTTCTGTTGTACCTTGGGAGGAGATGATGGAAGAGAGGGGCCGTAGTTCATGCCATCACTACAGGCACTATCATGAAGAGATAACACGGAGGTCCGGATAGAATAGACACTGTCGTTATCAGGAGAGAATTGAGACTCAAATCTTGACTCAGCTACTGACTCAGCATCAGGTGCATCTATCTGGGAATAAAATAAGAGCAACTGGTTACCACACCCCGTCACATGTCACTGTCACTACTTGAGCTAAAAGGCACAGCTGCACCTTCCTGGTCTGTCCTGCTTGCTGCATGTGCCTTCCCTACTCCTACCCACTTGAAAGCTGCACGGATAGAGCAGCACCCAGATGGGCAGACCACCCACAGCAGAGGCCGCTGCCATTGGACACTATTGCATCCCATCAACTAAAGAACTAACGGTGGCGATTAGCAAAGGAATTAATTTTAAGTTTAAACAGCTACATAAGCAAGGAAAATACACAACATTTTATGATGCCAAGAATTTGGTTATCATTCTTCATATTCAGCTAATAAACCATTATTCATAAAGACAGCTATGTGATTGTCTAGCTAAGATATAGAAACCAAGGGCAGCTTTGTGTTTGAGCTAGAATCACACTAACAATGAAGGGTCCTAATCACGGACTAGTTACCAGAAGCATTAAGTAATTAAACATTTTTACATGGCAAGCCATATTACTGTAAAAAGCTATTAAAATACTACTAAAACATTTCAAAGTGAGTCTCAAAATAAAATTCACAGGCTGTTAACATATTTTAAATATTTGTTCAAATTCACTAATAAGCTACAATATGGAGGATATCTTTTACAAATGGACATTAAGTAAAATAATTTGAGAAATAAATAGTGTATTCTATCTAGTATTAACTGAGCCTTATGTCAGATTATAGATGAATATTTGTTTTAAAGTACTACTAGAAAGAGTAGTCCAACAGAATGTGTACAGCTATCGCTGATACGTTTAAATCTTAGCAATCTTAAAATTCAATTAGCTCAATTACTGCAGAGATGAAACATAAAGCCCTCAGGAAGTTGAGTGGCCAGTTCAAGGAAACAGAGCTCATTAGAATATTGAGGACTCCTGTGATTACTACAAGGCACTGAGTTTCTATGAAATGAAGTAATCCTCTCAAATGGCTTTCATTAAAAGGGGTTCAAAAATGCCATCCAAAGCCTAGAGAGGATATTGTTTCATGTTGTACTTTAAAGATGATGAGCTGGGAATGGCTACATATACCCTTAATCCCAGCACTCAGGAGGAAGAGGCATGTGGATGATGACTGGGAGTTGCAGACAAGCCATGGCAACATAGTGAGATCCCGTCTCAAAAAAGGAAAAAAAAAAATGTATGAGTGAATGAATGGTATCTTTATAAATACATCAAAACATTCCGAAAATAGCTGTTCAAGAGTTTGTAATTCAAAAATATTAACAAAAAGAATTATCTTCCTTCCAAATTAATATTGGCATAATACTTAATGTCAAAGACCTAATTCACACTCTCTAGTTTAAAGCAACGTGTGCATGTGTACACATTGAGATTCCACATATACTAAGCAAGCGATTCAATAAATCTGCAGCAGAACTTTTATTAAAAATCAATCAGTTTTGGCCACTAACCAGAGCCAAGTCGGCCCTGAAGAGGGCTTTGTCAGGCAGGCCTGGCTCCTTACAGGAGTGTGGTGGGCAGAGAAAGGCGTCCTCCTTGGCAGAAACATACCCTTCTTCTGGAGAAAGCTGCAGGACATTGGTGTGGAGAAGGGGTTTGTGAGAAAGAAAGAACAACAGAGAGGATGGGAAAGGGGAAGGGAGGGTAAGAGAAGAATGAAGGGAGGAAATGGAGTCTTCACGTGATAACATATGACTTCAATATAGAGCGAAAACTATAAAGTTAGACAAATACTGACCCTAATCATTTCATTTGAAAGGATACAGAGGCCTTTTGTCCCCTAGGATAAGCACCAAATATTAGATGAGAATCCCTTTCTACTATCTTTTTATTCTTGCAAATGACAATCATAATCAATGATTTTTATAATAATCTTCTGGTCATTTTTATCTGCTAACTGTTCTGGCAAAATAATTAAAGGCAAAGTTAAGTATTGTGCCTTTAAAAGCCGCAGAATAAACCATTAAAGAAAATCAATGTTTTTCTCAAGTATTGTAAAGGATGCAACTTACTTGATAAGGAATGTTAGTGAGGACATGATGACCCCATCCAACCTCTCTAACCTAAGTGGAAAGCACCTCTTCCCAGGTAGCCATTAGAATTCTTGAAAGAAACTTTGAAAACACTTAAAACAATCACCTTCCCCTACAATTAAGAGGGGACAACCTGAGATGTAAAATACAACACAGCTCATAGGACCAAATGAAACTACCTGCACAGGAGTGCATCTGCTTGAATTCCTCTCCTGAACTCATACTGCAGTCCTGAGACACTGGGGACTCTACACTTGTATTCCACTTTCTAACAAAAACGGAAATTTTAATTGTCTTGCTACATCACCTGGTATCAGTAATCCATGTAGGACTTTTATAAGAAAAGCATTTTTCTTTTTTTTTTTGGTTTTTCGAGACAGGGTTTCTCTGTGTAGCTTTGCGCCTTTCCTGGAACTCGCTTTGGAGACCAGGCTGGCCTCGAACTCACAGAGATCCGCCTGGCTCTGCCTCCCGAGTGCTGGGATTAAAGGCGTGCGCCACCACCGCATTTTTCTTATTTGCCTACAGATTTAAGTTTATTATTAATCAAGCTCTACTTTAAGGAACAGAAATACTCATGGTATATTTCAGTGCAAAAAGAATATGAAACAAATATTGTCCTGAAACTAGCTACAAAAAGATTTTGCTTCTAAATTACTATTGTTTTCTTCTTAGTGGCAGTAAAGTGTCTCTCCAGTCATTTCCCTTACAAGAAATCAATAAAATCCAAGTTCTTACAGGCAAAGGCTTGGCCACTCCTATCCGCACCACGCCTGAGGGTGCTCCCTTCAGGGCTTCCACGGCCTCTTCAAGACTGCTGTTTTCCAAGTTAATGTCATTGACAAACATGAGCCTGTCTCCTGGAAGAAGCCGTCCATCCTTTTCAGCAATGCCACCAGGCACCAGAGAACGAATTACTATCACAGTGCTTGCTGGGTCGACGGGGTCCTAACAGGGCAGGAAGGCGAAAAGAAGTCAGCTCATTCTGACACCAGAAGTATATTTTACAAGTTGTCCCCTCTAATTGTTGAGTGTCTTAAGGCTTTCATGGAGGTTCTAACAAATACCTAGGGCAAGTTGACGTCTATTTCATTTTAGAGAGATCAGAGGAGTTCACCAGAAACAATGAAAGCCTCATTTGCTAGTGTTGGTGAATAGACCACTATATAATATTAAATAACTTCAAGATGAAATTTTAATTTTTGGCAAACTGTTAAGTTTTATGCTATGGCCAGGCAGTGGTGGTGCACGCCTTTAATCCCAGCACTCAGGAGGCAGAGGTAGGTGGATCTCTGTGAGTTCAAGGCCAGCCTGGTCCACAGAGCAAGATCCAAGACAGGCACCAAAACTACACAGAGAAACCCTGTCTTGAAAAACCAAAAAAAAAAAAAAAAAAAGTTTTATGCTATGACTTGAAGCTGGATGTCAAGGGCATTGGTAACCATAGTATTTGTATAGTAGATGGATACACTCTGACATATGTCTTGTTCTTTAGAAATGAAGAAATACAAAAAGAAGCCATGCAGTATTTGTGCTACAAGCACAAGGTCTGACATCATTAGAGATAGCCTGAGTTCAAAACTATTAAGAGTAACACTTGTGTTTTATCAAACAGGGATTAGCATTTCCACATTTGCTTGGCACAAAACAATTCAGGGAAGGGTGCAAGCCACACTGAGCCAATTTATAAACAATCATAAATTTAGTAAAATGACCAGAATGTTAGAATTTGTGATACGTCCAAGTATAAGCTCATCTTCCATATTATACAAAAGAAATAAATAGCAAATACTTTATGGCTCACCACTAAAATACAAACTGTCAGTTAAAAGCATAGAAATAAAAAGATTCCTCAAATGACAAAAAGAACCCACTGTATTATGATACTCCTAAAAATCATTCTGTGTTTTGCTCAAATTCTTGAGCTGAAACATAAAATAGTTTAATAAATGTAACGATAAAAGAAACCTTTCATGACAAAAAAAAATCATACCAATTACATTACTATGCTGAGCAATTAATTTGAACAACTAAATGTCATTACGAACTGTAAAATAGTATTTTCTTGTTATCTGCTACCAACAATTTACTTTTAAAATATGGTATCCTTTCAGCAATTAGGAAAATAGGATCTATTTACCTGGTAGTCTAAAATGCTGAAGCCAAGGCCCCTGCTCCCTTTCTCCAGCTCTATGGACTGAATGCCAGCCTCCCACATGGCCAGTGGTGTTTGACTCTCCTCAGCATGCTGATCCACATCAGTCATTGCCAGCATGGGATCCTCTGTCTCTGAGGACCCAATGAACTCACCTAAATCTATATGAGGCTGAATAACAGATAAGGCATCTCTTATTTCAGAGGGAATAGCATTTGACACATGTACCAACACTGCAAAAAAAAAGTTGAGTTCCTGTATCTGTACAGAACAAAACATTCTCAAAAACCCATGTCATAAAAGGCCTTGGAAACAAAACCTGGAATTTCCTATATGCTTATTCAGTGGTTATGCATCTGTAGTATGGTTTACGGGTGAATTTCCCTTCTTGTATAAGTTTGAATCACCTCTACATGAAGAATAAAAAGAAGTGTTTTGTTACTAACTAAAAAGAACTCATGATAAGTAAGATAAATTCAAGGAAATGTAGGTATGTGTATAGTTTTGTGTTGCATGCAAGTAAGGTCTCCAGAATACATAGAAATAGGTGGATTAAGTAAGGGAGACATTTACAGACACTTGACACAGAAACTGGACTTCAAACATTAGCTTCTCTCAAGAAAAACAAGTCAAAGTGAAATTGGCCAATCCAACCCTATTCATCTGTATGAACATGCAAATTTTAAAAGAAGGTGTTTGTCAGAATAAAATTCTAGTTTGTGTGCTGCCTTTGCTTTTGATATTCTATTGCACTGCCTAGAGCCATGGACACAAATCTCCTTCCCCTGCCCTCCTGGGACCATCCCATCGACACCACGTGAACATGTGCATGAACGTACATGGCTCAGCCTTCAAGTGGCACACAATTTAGAATACTGCTTCTTGTTCTGCCTTATTATGATGTTAAAAATAAACTATGTACTTTATCCTTCTAAGTATAAAATTATTTCATTGTACTGAGTCCTTCAGGATAATGTAAATGGAATTCCTTCCTCCTGAGAACTGACTAGGGTCCTATGCTAAATGTGTTCAGCACATCTTCCAAAAAGGTGATTTCCTCTGAACACTGTGATACAAACAGATAAGAATATACAGACAGGAAAATGGATATCACAGAAAATTATTTGATGTGAAGTATGAGTTCAACTTTCTTACATTCTCACACTAAAATGCACAAATAAATTAAAACCTATATATACACTGGAATGTATCCTTCTATATTTTACCTAGTCACTAAATGGTTAAATGCAAACCAGAAACACCTGGGTAGGTATATAAAAGTATGTTTTTCCACCTGTCCACCATACACACTATTTGCATACTTCTGTCAACTAAGACAAAACTAGTCAGTGGGAATGCTGCAAGAACACAGTTACCTACTATCAAATACAGAGTATGCAGTGGTACCTACTGTCAAATACACAGCATGCAGTGGTACCTACCATCAAATACACAGCATGCAGTGGTACCTACCATCAAATACACAGCCTGCAGTGGTATCTACCGTCAAATACACAGTATGCAGTGGTACCTACCATCAATACACAGCATGCAGTGGTACCTACCATCAATACACAGTATTCAGTGGTATCTATCATCAAATACACAGTATGCAGTGGTAACCAGTGTAACTACTTTAACTGGAAGAGAAAGTCTCCATGAGGTGGTCATCCTCCTAACCTACATTTTACAGAAACAAAAACTGAAGTTCTGAAAGGACAGGTGACTTGTCTAGTTAAGCATCAATTCTGATTCAAGCCCAGGGCTGTGTGACTTCTAAATCTATTCTATAAGCATAGACTATGTGAAAACAATGAAGTATTAATGAAAATAAAAATCTTAACATTTGAACATTCCTAAGCCTTGCCGTGACATGTTCAAATGAGCCTTGTTTCTGCAAGTGATACCTTTTCTGTTAGTTCAAGTTCACTTATGTCCAGGCCATCCAAGTCTGATGCGGCGTTGGGTGGCACAGTTCGGCGGCAGCACACCATTGTCACATCTATAGGCAATTCTTTTAAAATACTGACCACATCTTGGTGATTTTCTCCAAGCAAATTGATACCATTCACCTGCAGAATAACACACATGGTCCCCATAAGATAAAGTTTCATAATACAAAGAAAAATGAGAGCACCATTTTTCCATGAACATAATTTCACTATGGTGATGGCTGTGGTTCTGCTGTGCCCAGTACGACATTTAGACCCTTGTGAGTACTACCTAACAGGGTCTGTATGCACAGTTAGAGTCTTGCTGTAACTGGAGCTTCTCAAGCACTCAGGGCAAACGCCTTAACTTATCCTTAGGGTTGATCTGCTAGTGTATGGTAGGAAGAAAGAATAACAGTATTCCCAAAGGATGTAGTAGAAAAGACTGTAAAGAATTAGCATTTAATCAATTTACTAAAAAAAAAAAACCTAAAAATGGCATATATAGTATGTGAAACCAGTTTTAAAACTGAGAACAAAAATTTTTCATTTTTTTTATTTCTACATTTAAAAAACATTGACAGATTGCAGAGAAACAAATACCAGTAGATAGCTACCGAGTGATAAGAACTGAGCGAGTGGGGACAGAAAGGACACACGCACTGCTGCTACTCTCTATGGAAGCATATGAAAGTGCTGCCTATTCTAAGAACTGAATACACATTGAAAAACTGTCAAAGCGAGTTTCATAGTCTGGTTTGGAAGCTAAACCAGCATAAAACACAACACAACAAATACCACCACAACAGAATGTACAGAACCAGATCTGTAGTTCGGTGTCCACACACAGTTTTGCTATTTCAGCTTTGGGTTGACTTTAAGATTTAGTTATTCATCACCATTAATTCTCCAGCAGCCTTTCCCATCTTGTATCTTTAGAAAAAAGGGAAATCAGAGCTCCTCACTTCCAATAGCTCATCTCCACTGAAGAGCTTCCCACTGTGTCCCACAGGGCCTTCTGGAAGAACAGATCGGATGAAGTGGTGGCCCACTGTTGCTTCCAGACTTATCCCAAGTCCACTGTTCTCACTGAACTTGCTCACATGAGCCACCTGAAATGAGAAAAATCATTACTCTAACATGCTTCTGGTTTTTTTTCTACTCATGTAAATATTATAAGTTCACACACCACCCCGCAAAATAGTCAAATTTCTCACAAAACTTCAAAAATCTTATTGTAAGCTGCATATCATTGGAGAGTTGCCAGTGGAAAATACTGATGTCTAATAGTTTCACAGACCAACAAAGACTAAAGGGAAGTGCCCAGCCACAAGCACTCAGGACCATTTCCAGGGCCTACTGAGAATGTAGTAAGTAGTAAATGGGTAGAATGCAGGTAATGAATAAGAGGCAGGCAGAAACTACTAGAGACCCAAGGGAAGCTGACAGCCTGAAAAGCTGCATACTGCAGCTATGAATACCATGGGGTGCCATGTGCCGTTCCTCACAAACAAATTTCCCAAACAAGACCTTTCATATCTTAATGGTAGTTGGGGGAAGGTCAATATCAGAATGAAATCACCTGACTCTGAACTGTGATGCTGGGCAACATTCTTCTCAGCCCTGGAAACCTAATTTAGAGCTCACTTATTCTAAGAAACTGCCAGGTCCCCACTGATGTCGCCAGCCCTCTCTGCTACACCGCCCCTTTGTGATTATAAAGTACACAAAAGGCAAGGAGAAGGCACAGTTGCTCCCATTTACCTGAGCAAGGATCATAAATTACACGGTCCTGTCTTATAACACACATCTACTCTTAACAGAGTACTGGGAATATCATCCAGACAACAGGTGCACAAAAGGCATTAAAAGTTCAGTCTTGGTTCTGATCTAGATGAAAGGGCTTGTCAAGGGCCCCCTTATTCAATTACCACCTGAACAGCAGGTGTCTGATGTACATGCCAGCCACATTAATCTCACCCACAAAGTCAGTGCTAAATGAACCACTCTTCACCTGGATCCCATTGTATTCCTCTACAACTTAGAGTTATAATGTTCATGGCTATACTTATTTTTATTTAACTATAACTTACCTTGAGCTTTTAAAAGTAGGTATTGTTATGAAAGTAAGTGCAAAATTGAGAATACTGTTTAGCAATGAAGGTCGGTGCTACTTTTAATATATATTATCTGTTCTCTTTACCTTTTCTTACCCAAGGGTATATGGATATTGTACATATGAAAAATTATACTGCATGTAGTATTTTACTTTGCTTTTGAGTTTCCTGATATTTTAGTAATGTGTCAACTTTGTAACTTTTTAGAATAGCAAACTGTAGTATCTTAGCTAGATACAAACACTGTTGGTAAACATCAAACATTGCCATGACATCAGTGGTACGAAAAAATAAGCAGAACCAATCTATTACAGAAGATAAACACACGAGAATGATAAAAGGGATGAGGGATAGAGTATGGTGCACTTCTGTATGCCCAGCACTAGGGAAGTGGAGACCAGGATTTTAAGGTTCTCTTAGTCTATACAGAGAGTCTGAGGTCAGCCTGGGCTACATGAGACCTTGCCTGAAGTGATTTTTTTAAGAAGGAAAGAAAGGAAGGAAGGGAGAGAGGAAGAAAGGAAAGCAAGCCTACAACTCTGTCATGATAAACTTTAGCTTATTTGAAGTAAAGTGTCATTCTATTGTGGTTCTTTCTGTAAATCACATGCTTAAAAATCAGGAAAACCGTTCTTGTGTAGATATTACTTACACCACTCCCAGAAATATTAAAGGATGATGACACATGAGTTCTCAAGCTTACAAACCATGTATTTTGTTTTCTTAGCTACCATTACAGCCTTTGAAGAGCTCTAGACATTTGATTTCTCTCCAGGGCTCATTTCAATGATTATCTATCTTATTTTCACCAAGGATTTCCTGCCCACATAGGCAAATTCAGGAAACATGAAGAGCAAGCTAACCTACCACTATTTCATAGTTAATTCCCATAATTCTCTGCCACTTTGTCAGCAGGGCAGCCTCTTGCTGCACATCTTCTGTTTCTTCCAGCTCAGTTGACAACAACGGATACCCTGAAATAGTCCAAATACTGAAGTTATTGCCAGCACCCCAAACTCACCTTCTCCGCCTTTTGGAATGAAAGATCTAGCAAACCCTTTGTGTTACACTGTGTCAGACTCTTTAGTCAATGCATAGGTTCCTCATAGTTTACTGAATTTTAATGATCTAATTTAGACTAATGCTTGCATATGCAGCACTATCCTTTTTTAGTGGACACCTTTTAAATATGCAACACTATTCTTTTTAAATGGACACCTTTTAAGCTTTAACTAGACTTTTCATTAGCATCTCCATATATTATCTAACATTCATTAAAATGGTAAGGGCTCTGGGCTGCTCTCAGATACAAAAGTTGGTCTACTGATGATATTTGGTGATATTACAGTAAAATGTGTGGTCAGGAGAAAGGGGAGCTATGATATTACCTCAATCACAAACAATATCAATTGATAACATACAACTCCATGAATAATAGGACAATATAAATAAGAGTGAAACAATGAGAAACTGAGACTGTATATTAAGATAAAAGCCTGTTGTCAGAATGCCACTACTTAGCCAAAAAGGAAAGAAAGGCATCAAGCAAGTGACGGAAGTAGTTCCAAATGCAGATCGTGCAGCTGAAAGCTGGGAGTGATGAAGGAGCATCTCTGTGGGTCTCTATGTTCAGAAGAGCTCTTCAGCTGAGCTCCAGCTCCAATCTACAACATGTCTAACATCACTCCATGCTTACTCATAATGGCTTTCTTTTAAAAACCTCTATTCTCCTCCAGTCTCTAAATGAACTTAAAGAATATTTCAAAATTCAGATTTCAGCCAGCTGCCTTCTCTCTCTCATGGGAACTTTGAGCTCATCATGCTTTGGTTAATGATTCTGATTTTTTCTGGAGAAAATGGACAGAGTTGATAACCATTTTTAAAAAGGATTCAGGACAGCAAGTAATTTGCTCATGTGCAAAGTCCTAGGTTCAATCTCTAGCTTAGAGAACAAAGTAAAACAGGGCCAGAAACTATCCCTGTGAATACGTGTTTGCTCTTCAAAATTAAATTTAGTTCCATGAGGGGTGAGTAGGGCTCATAAGGAATTTTTAAACCAAATTCTGGGATCAGAGGTCATTTTGGAGTTCCCCAGTTAAATCATTCCTTTGTATTCACACAGCTCAACAAGAATATAATGTGGGATTATAAATGTAATGTGGGGAATCAGATGACACTGTTGAGATTCATATTCATCCAGCAAACCCAAAGCCATGCTGTTCTTATCTCCCCCCAGACTACACTTCAGAAATTTAAAAATACAAACAAAAAGTCACAGAGCCCTGCTCTCCAATCTAAATGAACAGTCAAGTGACTATCCTACACAGAGTCACCTTTCTGCAAAAGGGCAGTGGCATCCCACCCTGACAGGATGGACAGAGCAGGCACATTAGAACCATTTCCAGGTTACTGATTTATTATTATTATTATTTGTTAATAATTTAAGGACTCCTGATTGTAAGTTTGGAGGTGCCGACCACCAACTGCCCTTCCACATACATATGTAAATTTCTCATTAGCTGCCTTTCCCATAGCAAAACAGATGATTCCGAATCTTTAACATAACCCCTCGTGCCCATCTTCACTTCCTATTTCAAGTCATGTTCTAAGTATTTTTATCCTTTCCCCCACTCCTGATATTCACTTTAGCCTAAGTATTTTCTTTACTAATTAGTGTAAAAATGGCAGAATGTAATTAATATGTATGAACACTACACATTTTCCTTCCAGGATATCGTTACATACACAAAAATCTCTTTAAATAATAAAAGTAAACTAAAACTTTCGGCAGTTGAAGAAATGCCATAATGAAACCACAGACACACTGAAGAGGCTTCAGCGTACCTGCTGAACAGCAGAATCCACACTGCTAGAGAGGAATGGTTCCATTTGCTCAGAGGAGTTAAGTCACCAAATACCCAAAAATAGGACAGGGGAAATAGGCAGGAGGCACATGGCATATCTGGTGTGAAATATGTTAAAACAAGGGATCCTAGGAAATCTACAGTAAGAAGAATGCTTAGACAGGCTTAACAATTTCTCTGCAGAACTGCTTTCAAACCAAGTCCTTAACGTTAAAACTTGCAACCCCTGAAAAACTGAAATGTAAATATCAGCCTCCCCAAAGAGACAGTTCATGCAGAAGTGGTAGTATGTGCCTGAAATCCAGCACTCAGGAGCCTAAGGCAGACAGGTCGTGAGTTCAAGGCCAGCCTGGGCCACATAGCAAGACTCTGTCTCAGAAAACAATCATCACAACAAAAAGCAATTATTTCATTCCAAAAAATCTAAAAGAGTCTCCATGTTTGTTTTTTATATAATTTATATTTTACTATTGTTTCATAGTTGGGTAGAGACACATCAACTATATATAAACACTAAGTTAAAACTACATACACTACCAATTGTTGCCTCAAGAGTAGTTCCGGTGGATATGCCTGTACGTGTGTGTGTGTGTGTGTGTGTGCATGTATGTGTGTGTGTGCATGTATGTGTGCACTCATGCCCATGTACACATGTCAAAGAACAGACTGATTCAGCAAGAAATTTAACCAACTATAAATGAATTATTTTAATATGAAGAAGTAGTTAGTCCTATTGACAAATCTGGATATCAACATCCTTTTCCTGAGAGGTTAGTAGCATATTTATCATGGTTTAGTAACTCACAGATTGTCATAAAGGCTTAAGCTCTTTGCAAACATCCTTTCTAAAACACAACAAACACTGAAGCCTGGCTCTAAGTGTTACCTTCTTCTTCAAACGGCAATATGCTGGGATTTTTCCTCATAGATAAAGACTCTTCATCTTTTTCATAATTTTCTTAAAGATAAAAATATTATAATAGTTATATCCATAAGATAATAAAAGCATTTGAATTTTTCTAAACCCACGTTGCTTGTTTGAATCACTGATTAGAGTCAATTTTAAAGAGACAAACTCCATAGTAATCATATGTGTTTATCATCATCCTGTATGTAGGCTAGGACTTTACTGAAGCCTGCCTGCCCATCTCCCAGGAATGTGTTACACAGTACATGGCACAAACATCAACAAACTCAATAGTGTGAGAAATAACAACTTCTGGCCAACAGCCTCACATTGAAGATTATTTCAGTAATTTGTAGGGGGGTATCCATGGATCTCAGCTTATGAACGGCATTTGCGTTTGAATTTGTGAGTGTGAGCATAGATGTGTGTCTTCACGTATATTTAGATGCATGTGTACACGCTTGTGGAGGCCAGAGACCAAATTTAGATGCCATTCTTCGGGAGCTGGCTAGCTATGCTTTTGAGACAGTGTCTCTCCCCAGGACCTGGAATGTGCCAAGTAGGCTAGGTTAAAGATTCCCAGGGATCCCCAGGTTCTCTTGCCCTCTAGTGCTGGGATCACAAACAAGCTGCCACACTCAGCTACTATTATGGGTGCTGGGGATCAAACTTGGGTTCTCATGCTTGAGTAGTAGGAACTCTACCAGCAGACACATCTCTAAAACCCTGTGGGTGGCATTTCTAGAATTCAATCTGATAATTTAAGGAGATTCTGTGCAATTAGTTATCAGTGTCTCAAATAAAAATTCAAACATGGAATGGAGAGATTATTCAGTGGGCACAGCATGAGAACTTGAGTTTGAATCCCCCAACCCCAGGTAAAATTGTGCAGAGTAAATTGGGTCTATAATTTGAATGTTCCTATGGTGAGATGAGAGGTGGAAAGAGGAGATTCCCAAGAAGCTTGTGGGCTAGCTAGCTCAGCCATATACCATGGTGAACAACACAGAGACCCATCTCAAACAAGGGAAAAGAAGACTGGCACCTGAGGCTGTCCTCTGACTTCCATAGGCATCCTGCACATGCACGTGCAGCACATGCATACACACGCACATACACACTTTCTAAAAGCATCAAACAGAACTGCATCCCCCTGAAGTGAATACTTTAGAGTTAGGAGAAAACGCTAAGTCTAAGTGAGACTTAATTCCAGGTCCAATCGGAATTACCTTTGCTTACAGTGGCACTACCAGGTGGCACGTCCACATCTTTTGAAGTGTCTTCTCTAGAGGTGAGTTCTGCTTCCTGTCTTGCTCCCTTCCTCATTAGTGTCAGGCGCACTGTCTGTCCTGTGTGACGTAACACCTCCACTGCTTGCTGATTGGTGAAACCTTGAAGGTTGGTGCCATCTACCTGTAATAACAAGGCACATTAAGAATTAACAGCGCTTTTGTACCACTAATTCACAAAATGGATTTATTGCTTAGTACTGAGAAAGGGGCAGGGAATGGACATTTCTATAACTAGGAAGTGGACACAATGCCCTAGCACACACTTAGTGTCTAGGGGCAACGATGGTTTGCTCAGAACTTTTCTGCGGGAACCTCCGTTGATTTCTATAGATTCTGTGGTAGAGTTTCAGGGTGTGACTTTTAAAATCATTTCTCTAACTCCCTAGGTGATCCTGATATGCAGTCAAATTTGGAAACCAGCACTCCAGGGGATCAAGACACAGAAGGTAGTGAGGAAAGCTCACCCCACACCCTGGCATGTACCTACAGTCCTTCACATGGTCTGTGAACAAGGGAAGCGAAACATTCGGCACTCACATATTTATTAGATGAATAGAAAGCTATGAGATCCAGACTAGCATCCTCCACCAGTGTAGCCTAACTACAAAAGTTTCTGAAAGGATATATTAAAACCTCAAATTTAACATTTAAACCCATTTGCTTTATTTAAGTGTAAATAAGTACATAGATGCATAGACACATCTGTTGTCTACATGTAACATATATAACAATACATGACATCTGAACGTACAGAAGAGAAGAAGGCAACAGAAGAGGAAATGAGTAATTAATTACTTTTTCTTCTAGTGGAAATAGTCAGTGGCACTAGAGACTGCCCTGTGGACGAGTCTCAAACTCCGATTCCTTAACTCTTGTGCAATCCCTGAGTTACACGGGATCCTGGACACGGGTACCTGACTCTGTTCTTCTCCACTACTGACTTTTCTGATTCCCTTTGGAAAGATTAGCAAATTAGAGTAATAAAGAAAAAAACTGCAACAGAATCCATAGCCAAGGAAGAAGAAAGGTTCCTACAGCAGTAACTGGAACACCTTCTGCTAGAAATGGTCTGGGAATGCAGGCTGAAGGCAAGTCAGCTGAATCTTCGTGTGCCTAACAGTGGCTCATCTGCTCAGAGAAGAAAGAGGGGGTTCCAGGCTGGGGAGATGGCACAGTTGGTAAGGGGTTAGCTGTGCCAGCATGAGGACACAAACTCAGTCCCCTAGAACCCCTACACATAAGCTGGGAACAGAACCAAGGAGACGGATTAGCAGACAAAGATGTTTTTTGTCAATTCTGACATCCTAAGTTTGATCTCCAAGACCCACTTAGTGGAAGGAGAGAATGGAGTCCTGCATGTTGCCCTCTAACCTCTGTATACCATGGCACATGGAAGGCACAGGAAGGGGGGTCCTTGGAGCTTGTTGACCACCCAGTATAGCCAAATCATCAAACTCCAGGTTCAGTAAGAGACTGACTGCCAAACTGTGGAAGACACTTGATTGACATCGACTTCTCTACATTTATGGGCACACATGTGCACCTACACACAAATGTGCGCACACACACACACACATACTGGAGGTGGTCAAAAGGTACATTAGATGCCAAATAGAATACAATTATACTTAAACAAAGATACATGAAAGTTTTCTGAATTTAAAAGATTTTAGTTTTGTGTGTATGTGTGTGTGTGTGTGTGTGTGTGTGTGTGTGTGTGTGTGTGTGTGTGTGTGTGTGTAAGCCAGCCCTGAGGGCATGAGAGGGACATAGCTGGTACTGCCTCATTGTGGTGGTGGGGACAAGAGAAAGATGTAGCTGAAATTTTCCTGGTCCTACCTGGCCCACGGTCAGGACAAGTCTCTCTCACCCACCAGTCCCACAGCCAAGTAAACACACAGAGACTTATATTACTTAAACTGTTTGGCCTAATGGTTCAGGCTTCTTGCTGAGTCCATTTCTATTTAACTATAAGTTGCCACATGGCTCTTGGCTTACCGGTATCTTAACATCTGCTTCTCATGTGGCAGCAGCTAGCAGCTTCTCCTGACTCAGCCTTCCACTTCCCAGAATTCTCCTCTCTCTTTGTCCCGCCTATATTTCCAGCCTGGCTACTGGCCAATCAGCACTTTATTTATTAACCAATCAGAGCAACACATTCAGAGCATACAGAACATCCCACAGCAGAAAGATGCCCCCCCCTCCGTCCCTACGGCCTCCAGCTGGCAAGAGAGTTGACCTCTTTACCAGCTGCAACACTCAGGAAAGTGGGGCTTGTACCTCATCTGGGAAGCACAGCAGAGCCAACCCTGTTAATAGGGCACAGGTGAGTTGGCCCTGGGAATATAAGCATGGGAGACCTAGCCCCACCTCTCATCTGCCATATGGTGGCACAGGCTGGGGAGAGTTGCCCTCCCCACCCCACCCCCATCAATGCCTGAGATAAGTAGAACTGGCCCTGAGATCACAGGAGAGGAGGAGTTGCCCCCTACCTACCTACCTGCCTACCACCTCCTGCAACACTTGGGGGAGCAGCCCTGCACCTCACCTGGGCAGCACAATAGAGCCAATCCTGTTGGCAAAAGTGGGAGTGAGCCAGCCCTGAGGGGAGAGATGGCCCCCTCTACCCCTTGCCCCTCACCACCTTTGACAGATGAGGAAGCTGACCCTCCCCCTTACCAGCTGGACCTCAGAAAAGCCAGCCCTGTTCTTGGCCTGGGCAGCACAATAGAGTTGACCCTGTTGGCAGAAGTATGGGTGAGATAGCCCTGAGGGTGTGAGAGTGGAAAAGCTGGCCACACACCCCCATCCACCTGTGGTGGCAAGGGTGAGGGAAAGATGCCCACCTTCCACCTGCCCCTGCCACCAGTGGTGGGTGAGGGAGCTGACCCTCCCCTTACCAGCTGCAGTACTGGGGAAAGTGGAGCCTGTACCTCGCCTGGGCAGCACAGTGGAGCTGAGCCTATTGATGGGGGAGCAGGTGAACCACCCCAAGAATGTGAACACGGGAGACCTGGCCCTACCCTTCAACTGCCATATGGTGGCATGGGCAGGGGAGAGATGCCCCCCCTACAACAACACCTGAGGCAGGTGGGAGAGCTGCCCCTATCTCCCACCAACTGCAACACTCAGGAGAGCAGGCCAGCACCTTGCCTGGCAGCACTATAGAGCCAATCCTGCTGTCAGAGGTGTGTGGGCGGGGGGAGGCAGGGGTTGGACAAATCTGAACACTGAAGACCCATGAAAATTCTTAAAATGCACAGAACTTTTCCTTTCAAGATTTTGGTCTATAACCAATTTTTATCACTCTTTCTAAGAAGTTTCATTAAGAAAAACCTTACACAAAACACCATTTGAGAAACTTCATCTAACTCTGGCCACTCTTGATTGCAGAAGAGCCATGGGGTCAGCTCTGCCTTAGTGATATGATACAGAGGAGAATATCAGAGGTAGGTACAAAGGCAAACCGCCTCTATTCATGAAAAGAGCACAACCACCACCATTTCAACATGTAATACAGGCTCCATAATTAGCAGGAGAAATTCTGGAGAAGAAATACCAAGCACACAGTTGAGAAAACCTGCTTCCTTAGCATACTCCATGTAGCTTGCCAAACCATCCTCCAAGAACCTATATCTACTAACAGAGACTGAGAATCTGTATCTATCACAGAAAAGGTACATTTGCCATTTCTCATTATCAATCATAATTCTATATTGGTTCTAACTATGTGTCACACTAAATAACTAATAGGAATTCTGATTTTATTTGTTGACAAAATTAGCTAACATTCTGAGAGGAAAAAAAAAGCCCTTTATCAAATAATTGTTACACAGAATGCCAACATGGAAGAGCATTTGGGGGGAAAACACTCGTACTTTCCTGCCCCTGTACTGTACACAGCGTAACACTAGGGGTCCACAGACAACAATCTGTAAAGAGCAAAATAGTTTAAAAGGCTTCCTCAAAATCGTAAATAATTTCTTAATCTTCTCAGCACCTCAATAACTACAAATTAAAAATAGACCATAGCTCCAATATTTGCTGTCAAAACAAAACCAGAACAAATAAAGGCTATAGTTGTAAAACTGCAACTAGGAAGGAAGGAAATACCACCAATTTATGGGAGGACCACAAGAGGGTGACACGTTGCACTAAGTGAACACATGGTCAAGAGCACTGCACAATGCTTCCCAGGGGTTAAGGCGCTTCTAAATTTGAAAAGAATTGCTAAAAAGTAAAATTAGAATATGGATGACAGTGAAGACAGTCTTATTAAAAGAAATATAAGACAGGCAAAGTACACCTCCCCTTTGTGAGTACATTTCTTTATCACCTTCCTTGGCTAAGAGAAGTAATCTTTGAGGGTCACTCACATAAGAACAAAGATAATGACAACCTAGAGGCAAGTTACTGTGAGACTTAAAAATCTGTAATAAACCTACTCCCTCAGTAAACATTTCCCTAATTAAAATACACTAATACAGCAAGTCCTATACCAGCTACTTTGAGGGTCTAATGTGGTTCTCTTAAGGGAAATTAAAGGGGCATTATATTCTGCCTTAAGGTAATGTAGCTGAATCAAGAAGCTCTCTAAAGGACGACACCAATGGATATCCAAAATGGATTGAGAAAAATCCATGAGCCTCAAACCTACACAAAGAACCTATAGGCAAGTGAAGAAAGCTGGGGGCAGGAGAGGAGAGGAGAGAATTGGCTGTCCAGTACCAAATGGCCAGTCCTGAAAACATACATACAAGTAACACTGTATAGACTGAACAGATTATATTTGGAAATACGTATATGTGTGTGTGTGTGTGTGTGTGTGTGTGTGTGTGTGTGTGTGTGTGTATGAATAACAATAAGTAAAAAAAAGAGGCATAAATTTGAAGGAGAGGAGGGGTATATGGGAAGGTTTGGAGAAAGGGAAGGGAAAGGAAAAATGACCCAATTAAATTATAATTCAAAAATTTTTAAAAAGTTTGCTAAACAATTAAACAGAGCTATCATTGCTAAGATCCAACAACTCCATTCCTTAATATATACAAAAGAAAAGTGAAAACACATCCTCATAAAACCTTGTACAAGACTGCTCACAGCAGCATTAACTCTACCAGTCAACAAGTGCAAACACCTCTCATGGTTGAAATGACTAATAGGTAAATGGGGCAAACTTACCCACAGTGAACTACTAACAATGAAAGGCAAAGGAAACTGACTCTACAACACAGACGGACCTTGAAAACACTCTGCTAAATGAAGCAGTCAGTCACAAAGTACCAAATCCTATGTGACTGGACGGACAGGAAATGACCCAGAAAAGGCAAGTCTGCAGAGACAGACCCCGGACTGCATAGGCCTAGGACAGCGGAAGCAGGGAGCAAGGAATACAGCCATGAAAATAATCAATACCCAACTGCAATGCTGAATGTCCGACACTGGAAGCATATGAACAGACACTGAATTATACAATTGAATGGTACAAATTATAGAATATATAAATTATTTATAATTCTGATTTGAAACACCATCTAGTAAGTTGATGTAGATAGCTGAAGGAATAAAAAGTAAACTTTTAACTCATTTATTGTGCTGGATTGTTTTCTGTCAACTCATTAAAACTTAGTCGCTGGGTGGAGGTGGCACACACCTTTGATCCTAGCACTCGGAAGGCAGAGGCAGGCCGATCTCTGAGTTCAAGGCCAGCCTGGTCTACAGAGTGAGATCCAGGACAGGCACCAAAACTACACAGAGAAACCCTGTCTTAAAAAAAAGAAAACGGAAAAAAAAAAACAACTGATAGTCATCGGAGAAGAGGGAACCTCAATTAAGAAAATGCCTCTGTAGGATGGGGCAGTAGGCAAGCCTATAGGATGTTTTCTAAATTAGTGATTAATGGGGAAGGGTCTAGTTTATCCCTGGACTGTTAATTCAATGTTCTATAAGAAAGCAGGCTGAGCAAGCCATGAGGAGCAAGCCAATAAACAGCACCCGTCCATGGCCTCTGCACTAGCTCCTGCCTCCAGGTTCCTGCTGTTTGATGCTTTGACTTCCTTCAGTGATATTAAACCAATTAACCTTTCCTCCTCTGTTGGAAAATGGTCCAAGAATGGAGTCATGTGGGGGGAATCCTGAGTGCTTGTACGAACAGTCCAAGTAAACAGGCCAAGAGTCTTGTGATCCCAGTTTCTTCCAAACACAGAATTGTCCTGGGAATGTGTTTTTGTGTTCCTCCCAGGTGCAGTAGATAGGAGTTTCATTCAGATGCTCACCATTGCTTCTGCTGTTATCCAATGAAGTGTTTAAACTGTCGTGGTTTTGCCACATGTGGCTTGTTCTTGTTGATTATATATAGCTTGAACTCATGAGAACTTTACTCAAGTGACCTCTCTTAACTCTCACAGTATAAGCTGTCTGATGTTCTGAATGAAGTTAGCTATTGTGTGAGACTTTATTCCACCTCACTTATGGGCTCCATTCTCTCAGGTCCCACTGCTTTTAGAGTGATAAACATTCCCCAGTTGCTTTCAGTCATGGTGTTTCATCAGTAGCAATAGTAATCCTAACTAGGACAATTGTACATGGATTCACACTGTATTCACCTCTCCCTTACTCCCTACATAAAAAGTGTGTGATGGCTCATTTCCATTCATGGTAAGATAGAAACACTTGGAGGACCCTTCCCAGCTAATACCCAAATGGGTCAGAAACTCAACTTGATCTTTCAATTGGACTAAAGCAGATAAAGTTAAGAATTCACAGGGCTGATGTCAGGAACACTCTAGGAGACACACTGTAGACTTTCCAAGGACAGAAATAATAATCTTTAATCTTTTTTCCCTAAAATGTGATAGAAAACATGTAACAAAAAACCCTACCAATTTCACATTTTCTAACCATCCAGTTCTTAGTGTTAAATATTTTCAGACTAGTTTGTAAAAGATCTCTAGGTTTTTTGTTTTGTTTTTTTTGCAATATGTAAATGAATCACTGTCATGCTGAATGACAACTTCCAATCACACAATTCCACAAACCCAACCCCCCCACACCCCCACCCTGTTCTCTGACAAGCTTGGGTCATGTCAGTGGGATCACATATTTGTCTTTTTACAACTTGCTTATTTCAGTTAGCATAACATTTTCAAGATTGATCAACATTGCAGTGTGTGACAGAATTTCCTTCTTTAGCAGGTCAAAAAGCAAGCCACAGTAGCATCTGTATACTACATTTTGTTTATCCAGTATCTACCAACAGTATCTGGGCTGCCACTTGGTCTGCTGTGAGTAAAGACACTTTAATCTTAACTTGACTTGTTCTGATTAGTAAGATTCCAAGGGACTAATAAACTTAATTAATGATAAACTGTAAGTCAGCATTCTCCACCAATGTCTTCAAATGACATTGAATATTAAAATAAACACTGGCAAAGAGAAAGATCCTATAATTACAAACGTTTAGATAGAGGAGGTCCACAAACAGGTTTCCTACCTGTGGGTCACCTCAAAGGCTGAAGTTTTTCATTGTAGGCTAGGAATCCCTAAAAGATCATATCATCTACAGGTTTCCTTAGTGCACTTAACCTAAAGTAATTTCTAGATCAGAGTAATTTGAAGAAGTCAGTATCCACTGAACAGCAGGTGAGTTTTTTTCTTTTTTCTTAACTACCTGAAACAGCCACATACTTAAAACACAGTGCTACTACAATAGCATAATGATCAGATTAAAGATGTCTGGATTAATTTCTTTCACTCTGTTCATTTAAAGGACTGAAAGGAGATCATCTAATTGACAGTGTCATTCTGCAAGGTTAAAAAAATATGCAGATCTGAAATGTAGGTCCAGGTACAGTAAACATCTAGTCTTCCTTCAGAATACCCACAAGAAAATGTACTATATAATGTTGTTGTAACAAATTCATTATGATCATAATTCAAATACATTAGAAAAATTATATAAGAAATTTCCATTTTAGACTTCAGAAAAGTAAAATTGAATCCAATGTTCCATTTAATCTGACAATAGTAAACAGGCAATTATAATGTCAGCCTCAAACCCCTAAAGCTAGAGTGAATTAACGGATCTGGGGTTGGGGAGATGGCTCATCTGGGAAAGTGCTTCCTGAGCAAGCACAAGGACCAATGCTAGGATCACAGTACCAAGGTGTAAAGTGTGGTAGTACAAGTCTATAATCCTAGTGCTAGGAGACGGAGACAGGAAGATCGCTGGGGCTCAGTCCTTCCAGCAAATTGGTGACCCCATCTCAAAAACAAGGCAGAGATGGATAGTAGAAAACACCCAGTGTCAACTTCTGGCCTTTATGTGTGCGAGCGAACACCAGCAGACAGACACATCTGCATATACACATGCATGTACATGTACATACCACAAATAGAAACACACAAAATTAATGTCAATTAATTTAGTTCTTTACAAAGTAAAATCAAAATGTTTGATACACACAGTTCAGTGGGTAAATTTAGTTACAAGCGGAAGTCCCTGAGTTCAGATTCCTAGGACCCACATAAAACCTAGGCATAGCAGCATAGTCTTGAACCTCAACTCGGAAGAGGTGGAGCCCCGGTAGATCCCAGGGAACTAACTTGCCAGCTAGTCTGGCCAACTGAGGAGCTCCAGGCTCAGTGAGAAACACTGTCCCAGTAAACAAACACACAAACATAGGAAGCTATAGAGGAAGACATCCAACACTGACCCCTGGCCTCCGGCACACATGGAACAGTGAGTACACGTGCACAAAAACATGCAATTGCATGCATACCACACACACACACACACACACACACACACACACACACACACACACACACACGTACATACATAGATACATAAGAAATTATTTCTGCATTTTAAGATTTTATTCTTTACATGGATGTGTATGGATATGGTTCTAGGATACCCAACACAAGTGCTAGGAATCAAACCCAGGTTCTCTGGAAGAGTAATACATGTTCTTAACCACCAAACCATCTCTCCACTCCCAGGGGACATAATTCTTAATCATGAAAATTGCAAAAACTTTTATTAAATGTGCAACTTACTGCTATAATTTGGTCTCCAACTTGGATCCTTCCATCATGTTCCACAGCACTGCTTTTTGTAATGCTCTTTACAAAGATTCCTGAAGGTTCTAAGATTAGAAATAAGTATTTTTTCACTATTTATAAGCACACACAAAGAATAGCCATCTTCTACCTTCCAAATAAAAATCCTAATTATGAATAAGTATTTAGTAACAAGCCACAAAGGCATCTAGTAGAAAGAATAAGGCGATTGTTCAGCCTGTCATATCAGAGTCACTTATACCAAATTATTTCTAAGAAAGCTGCCAACAACTTTATTCAAGAAAAGAAACTATACAATGATTGAATATCTCATAAGACAGATATTAGAGGCCACTGCAATGTTTAGAAAATATTTAAAGTTCATTATTACCTAATTTTTTATCTCCAACATAACCAGCAATGGTAATTCCTAATCCTTGGACATTTTTTGTGAGTTCCACATCAAACATCTCACCTTCTTCACTTTTTTGAGTAGATGCATCAACCTAAAGAAATATTAACAAATAAATCTTTAGAAAAATCAACATATAAGAAAAAAATAAGGTCAAATTTAAAAAACAAAGATGCAATTCAGGATTAGTCTGGCCTAAGGTATCAGTTCAACTATACTGCAGAATTGGCCCTTTACATCCAGACAATATAAACTGAGCATCACAGTTTCATTCAGAAAAGAATGTAGAGAAGAAAGTGGAACCTCCCCTTCTCAGACAAAGTTACTGTATACACAAAATGTTAAAGATTAAATAGCTTCTAGTTAACAAAGTATTTTCATACATAGCTCATCATCATTTCTAAAGGAGTTGGGATGTTTAAAGTTCAAAGAAGTCATGTTTTGAATTGATATAAAAAAGGTAAGATCCAGTGTTGTCACTTAATCTTTCTGGACAGCCACCTACCACGAAGAGCAATGACCAGCTGCCATCTACTGAGGAGTTTCATTATAAGGCATTTGGCACGTCTTTATTTCTTGTTTCTTCTAACAACCTAGAATTGCCTACATCATTTATAAGCCAGTAAGACAGATACAATTGCAGTGATTTTTCCCTGGGGGAGGAGGCATATACATATTTCCTAGGACAAACTGTTAATATCTGGAGAGGTGGAACTCAAATCCCAACGGTGTGGTTGCAGGGCTCCAGTTTGTAAATGAGGTACAGTGTGTAAGACTGTACAACACAGGGCCACAGAGAGCTCCTACTCTTACCTACAATTTGTAGTTGATTCTAACACCATAAATATGAGTGGGTCTCCCCTACAGCTTTGTTATAAATAGACTGGTGACTTATTTTAAAAAGAATTAAATGGCACCAAGGAAGTTTTTTTAAAATGGTCTCTTATTTGTTTGTAAATTAAAGATATTCACAAAGAACGTGTGCCTCTCTACACTGGCACCCTCCTGCTCTGGGATGGTAGCTGAAAAGGGCTTTCTTGGGTCTGAGCCTTCTCTAACATGTACTTAATACAGTTATTAGTTGTATGTTAGACAAAAGGGAAAGACTCCCTAAACTAAGCATTAGTGAACTGGCATGTGATGTTATCAATAAGTCATTGGTCCTATACATTGGTGTGATGTCAGCAGACTCTCTAGTAAACCCTAGAAAAATCAAGGCAAGGGGCTTTAACAGGCATGTAGGTTGGGGCTGGCCTGTAACATTTTCTGACTTCCTTTAAAGTAAACCGTTATCTCACTGATGGTCCACCTAAATGAAGTATAATTTTACAAGTAAAGTTGGACTCATTTTTTTTTATTGCACATAATTATCTGTGCAAACTTAGCAAAAGTTTAAAGTTTAGATAATTACAAGAAAATGACAGGATGAAATCTGCTTCAATTGAAACAAATGTGTTTTCTATTTTTAATAAGTTATTCGAGTGCTATTTTAGAGGGTGGCAATTTGACTATCGAATGGTTTTAAACAGGGCACAAGCTTCAGAAATGATGATATGCAGAGAATAGACACTGTCCTAAGCTTTCATTACATCAAGTAGTTTTTGGTATTGCATTCATTTCTATATTGCTGAATAAAATGTTTTGTTTTCCACAAAAGAATGCCATTTAAACACTTTCATAAACAAGCTTGCTTTCTTCTTTCTCTCTGTAAAAAATAGCAACCAAATCTAGTCCTAAAAACAACAGAATCATGGAAAATTCAAGTGTTCTAATAAAGTTTTAAAGGGCTTATGGAAGATGTTAGGCTATTAAAAAAAAGAATTTGTAACCAGTGGTTAGAGCAATTTCAATAAAAGGAAACATGGATATTTTACATCTATGGGGGATGGATACAGGACTGGCATGCAATAGGAAAAAAAGATCTAGAAATGGGTAGAATTTGTTTCTAAAATATTTAAGACACTTCTGGATAGACTTTTTAAAATTTTATCCATTAGATAATCTTATGGCCTTTAAACCAACTGAGATGACCTCTAACTTCCAAGAATTTTGAAATTTTCCATATCCAATTTAAGACCAAATGGGACACACCACCAACGAACCATGTTCCTGTACCGTGCCAAAGCACAGCTGCTGCTGTTTTAACCAAATATTTACAATGACAACCACTCGTCACAATCTGGTAATAGTTCATAGCTTGCATATATTAAAACAATGACACAAGGAGCTTCTTAAACCTCACTCCTACAATCCAACCTCCCAGTTCCCAACTTCCACAAATAAACTTTCTAAAGAAAAATTGTTGAAAGGCTGTGATTAGAATGATGACCCAGTTCACAAAGAGGCTTCTAATTAAGATAAAGACAGACTCAAATATGGGCATTAGGGGAACAGAACCCTAAAATTTCATATGTGCTTCAAAATATTATCCTTATAAAAAGGCTACTTACAGGAAAGTGTGAAATTGTCACCTAGAATCTTTAAGCAAGCTATTGTCAATAAATAAAACATTGCTATCTCTACATATATTTTTGTTCCTTTTTTAAAAACTTACATTCCATATCAGTAAGTCTAACTTCTGCATGCTATTTGCTTAGACCTTTACATTCATTGTTTTCAGCTACTTACACGCATCTCTGATGTAGAAACCAGAGAAGAGGAGAGGGTGATACCCGAAGAGGAGGGTGCTGCAGTTTCTTCTACAGCACCTCTGGCAATCATCAGCTTAACTCTATTTCCACACTGCCTGAGGACCTGTGCTACTTGCTCACTGCTCATTCCTGCCAGGTCCGTGTCCCCAATCTTTAGAATGTGGTCTCCACTGCATAATCGCCCATGCTGCATTAAAAAAAAAAAAGAGTTCAAATAATTAAGGCACTGTCATTATAACTGCACTAGAAAAATTCTAAATGATCTAGAGACAATAATAAAAAAGGAAATAATAAGGCATATGTCAATCATGGAATTAAATGTGTAATTGTACTATTAATTGTCTTCTGAATCACTCTAGCACCATTCAATGTTGTGAAAGCAAATGAAACTCACAGATAGTTTATTTGTGGTGATATTTTATTTGTGCTGAAATGTGATATTTTATTTGTATGTTAATAAATAAAGTTTGCCTGGAGATCAGAGGTCATAGTCAGCCATAAACAGAAGTCAGACAGTGGTAGTAACACACGCCTTTAATCCAATCACATGGCAGGCAGAGTCTCTGTGTGGTCAAGGACACAGCCAAGCATGGTGACATGTACCTTTAATCCCAATACCAACCATAGAGACCTGGAGGTCTGTATAAAAAGGCAGTGTCAAGGAAGTCATGTGGCTAGGGTTGGAGCCAATGAGAAGGCAGAACAGGAAGGCAATAAAGGCACAGGTTAGACTGGAAGAGGCTCTCTTGGGAAGCTACAGCAATGTGGTGAGCTAAGGTTAGCTGGTGGCTATTTCTCTGATCTCTATGGCTTTCACCCCTGTACTTGGCTCTGTGTTTCTTATTTAATAAGACTGTTTAGAAATTGTCTACATTTGTTAAATCAATAGCTAATGTGATTTTTTTCAATTTGATTTCTAGTTAAGAATTCACAAGGACAAAAGATGACTCTGTGTGACTTTTTTATTTTTGAAGAACAAGAAGAAAGTGTCATTAGGCATAGATGAAGTATGAAGTTACTATTTTTGGTGGACCTGCCCCCACTTTTATGACCCAGGGTACTCTTGAGTAGGGAGAAGTGAGAAATATTAGAAGAAAGAGATAACTAGAAGGCAAGAGGAAAGACAGAATACAGGATAGCCTTGGGAGGACCTGGGTCAATAACCCACCAGCCCCGAACTTTATTCAAAAGGGTTTTTATAACAATGCCAAGGGGAGGGGTAAAGACCTCCCCCTTCCTAGATACTTACAAACACCTGGTACTCAGGCCCATGGTCCAATCATCCTCTTATGCAGTCCTACTGGGTAAAGCTACTAGGAAACCTCAGTGGGCTCCAACAACTATTCAAACACAGCTCATATTAATTAGATTGTAATACAAAATACAAGAAAGTACTTGAATGCTCCTACAGTTTCTATCTGGCCATTTCAATGATAAATATGCCAAAGAATGCATTTGCAGATAACATACTAGTGAAAGGAAAATTCAGATAGATGAGAGATAAGATCATTATCTGAAAAACTCTGAAATGACAGGCTACTCTGCACTGTCCAGTGCCAGTTACCAGTGACATGTGGCTGAGGGACACACCAGGCATGTGGCCAGTCCAACTAAGGATTAACTGTGTATTTAACTTTAATGGATTTAAAGCTGAATGTTTTTATATTTTATGTGTACTAAGGAAAATATATAAATGGTGTTCTCCCTTCTCAAGCATATGAAGTTCATTTGCTATTGCTAGATGTTGGCTAACACTGAAATGTTATGTTACTGTTAATACCACTATTTAAAGAGTTGCTGCTTAACTGGGGCTTTCATTCATGAATATGAGGATGACTGATGAACTCAGCTTCCAATTTAAGTTCAAATCTGTGAGTGAAAACAATAGCTTTATAGCTCTATAAAGTTAAAATATTAAACACAGGTAATAAATGCACTGAGCGATTTCCTACACACAATAAATGGCACATTTCATAAACACCAACACCTCAACAAACTAAACAGAAAACACGCCGTGTGCCCTAAACAAAGGTGAAAACAGGAACCCAGCACTGTAGCTAGAGTTTTTTCTGGTCCTGCCTGGCCCACAGTCAGGACAAATCTCTCTCTCCCACCAGTCCCGCAGCCGCTCAGACCCAGCCAAGTAAACACACAGAGACTTATATTGCTTATAAACTGTATGGCCGCAGCAGGCTTCTTGTTATCTAGTTCTTCTATCTTAAATTAACCCATTTCTACAAATCTATACCTTGCCACGTGGCTCATGGCTTACTGGCATCTTCACATGATGCTTGTCATGGCAGCGGCTGGCAGCATCTCTCCTGACTCAGCCTTCCTGTTCCCAGAATTCCCTTCTCTCCTTGTCCCGCCTATACTTCCTGCCTGGCTACTGGCCAATCAGTGTTTTATTTATTAACCAATCAGAGCAACAAATTTAACATACAGAACATCCCACAGCACAGCACTAAAGGGACAAGATGGGTTGGTTTTACCTCAACAATAATGTACATTTTACATAATGTGGTTGTAGACAGCTGCTAGGTTTACAAATATATAACTATCAAACAAAGGGTTGAAGTTTCTACAGGGATTGAAACTTTCACCCTGATTCAGTCCCTGGTTCTTCAGGATGTTCAGTGCATTGCCTCTAACTGTATTTTAAGTAAGATCCCTATCCACTTTCAAGTATTCTCTTCCAAGTCTTAGAGAATACTTGAAGGTCAGTTCAATAAAACAAAAGAGTCTTAGTTGATGAAATTTTCCTTCTTTTAACAGAAAATCTAAATGATGAAGCCACACTTCTGGGTGAACAGAAAAACATCTATCACAGTAGCTCACCTGGTCAGCCACTCCTCCAGGCAAAATGGTCTTGACTATCACACCAGTTGCTTTTCCTCCTATGATGCCGAATCCCAGACCTGACCCATCGTTTACCAGTTCTATAGTTTCCACATGCTGCCAATGAATCTAAAATGAAAGCTTGAGATGAGCAGTTCGTTCGTGTTAAATACGGAGTTCATACAGAATCATGAGTGCTAACCAAGTCCAGCTTTTTCATTTGGTATACTTCCCTTTCAAAAGACCACACCCACTACTGATATGATCCTTCCTATGGTTATCAATATATCACTATAGTGTGACTGCATTTAACCCACACAAACAGGCACTGATTCTGCAAGATATTTGTAAAAGTTCCTTGAAAAGAAGTTCCAGCACAACAGCTGCACTAGATTAGGAGAGTCCTCTGTCAAATCATGCCTTGAGGCAGGATGCTAATTTGTGTAAGTCTATACCATCACTAACTGCTAACTGTAACCACATGAGGTATGGTGCCACATACCATCAAGCATGTGCATGCATACACACACACACACACACACACACACACACACACACACACACACACACACTCACCACATACACCCTGAAGAAAGGAAGGGAGGGAGGGAGGGAGGGAAGGGAGGGAGGGAGGGAGGGAAGGGAGGGAGGGAGGGAAGGGAGAAAAAGGAAAACAAAACAAATCAAAATAAAGATTTTTATCTACTTACTGGCAAAGTAAATTTTACTAAGAGACTATTTTGTATGAATGCTGTCAAAGTATCATGCAAAGTAAAGCCTATTTTAGAAATTCAAAACTTAATCAAAATTCAGAAATAAATATCCCAAGTAGGAATATATTTAAAAAAAAAATCTTAAAAACTAAAAGCAAGAAAACCTCTAAGAGACATGAGGAAATGACAGGCATCAGAGAGGGAGCCCAGCTGAAAAGGACCACAGATGATGCATCCTGTTCCTTGTCTACTCACTGGATTTGAGTGGGCTGAAACTGTGCTGGCTGCAGATGGAGAGCGGGAAATTCGGGGGCTGGAGACCTGAGGCAAGGAGCCTCTGGCGACTATGAGCTGCACAGTGTCTTTGGCCTTCTGCAGGATGCTAATGGCCTGCTGGTGTGTGATTGTCTGGTCTAGGACCTGGCCATTGATGGCGAGGATCTGATCTGTCTCCTTCAGTCTGCCATCTCTATCAAGGAAAGAAATGAAGTAACGAAAGATGTGAACACTCAAGGAAATGACAGTTCCTGTGGCCTAAGTGTTCAGGTCACCTACTGTAGAACACACATGGTTTTAAAGCTTCTACTGCATGATTTGACTCCAGTGCTTGTGGCAATTCCACTGCTCCCTGAACCACTGTCAAAGGCCACTTTTTCCTCAACTACTGGCTACTTTAGCACTCATTATAATAGGTCCTTTATTTTAAAAATAAACCACCAGCCAGACGCGGAGTAGGACATACAGAATGAAAGAAAGGTAAAAAGCCTTGAGGCAAAATGTAGATGAAGAGAAACACGTTAAATTAATTTATAAGAGCTAGTGGGACAAGCATAAGATAAGGCTGAGCATTCATAACTAATAATAAGTCTCTGTGTCATGATTTGGGGGCTGGTGGTCTGACAAAGCCTGTTACATAAACATGTATTTCTTTCTGCTCTGAGTATATTAATAAAGCACAGCTCAAATTATAATGGGGCAGTCCTGGTGATTTCTACTCCAAAGGAGCCCAAAATGTAACAGTGAAAAGATTATATTCAAAAGTTTCTTTCCGAACTAAAATGTAATTAGTTTATGACAATTTAAAAGCTCTCATTTTACTTGTGTGTATGTGTGTGATGTATTTATGTATGTGCATGACTGCTTGTGCACCTGTGTAGGGAGGCCACAGGTGGACATCAAGTGTCCCCTATGGCTCTGCACCTCATTTTTGTGACAGTCTCTCAGAGAAAACGAAGCTCATCTTCCTGGCTAGACTGGCAGGCCAGCAGACTCCGGCATTGGCCAATCTCTGCTACCCCAGAACTGGGTTAGAGACATGGACTTCTTCACCTGCCTTTTTTCTTTCTTTCTTTTTTTTTTTTTTTTTTAAATTTATTTTAATTTATTTTGCAATACAATTCAGTTCTACATATCGGTCTCGGATTCCCTTGTTCTCCCCCCTCCCGTCCCCCTCACCTTCCCCCCAACGCCCCCCCCCCATTCCCATCTCCTCCAGGGCAAAGCCTTCCCTACAGACTGAGGTCAACCTGGTAGACTCAGTCCAGGTAGGTCTAGTCCCCTCCTCCCAGGCCGAGCCAAACAATCCTGCATAGGCCCCAGGTTTCAAACAGCCAACTCATGCAATGAGCACAAGATCTGGTCCCACTGCCTGGATGCCTCCCAAACAGATCAAGCCAATCAACTGTCTCACCCATTCGGAGGGCCTGATCCAGTGTGGACCCCTCAGCCATTGGTTCATAGTTCATGTGTTTCCATTCATTTGGCTATTTGTCCCTGTGCTTTATCCAACCTTGGTCTCAACAATTCTCGCTCATATAAACCCTCCTCATTCTCGTTAATTGGACTCCCAGAGATCTACCCAGGGCCTAGTCATGGATCTCTGCATCCAGATCCCTCAGTAGTTGGATGAGGTTTCTAGCACAACAATTAGGGTGTTTGGCCATCCCATCACCAGAGTAGGTCAGTTCGGGCTGTCTCTCGACCATTGCCGGCAGTCTGTTGTGTGGGTATCTTTGTGGATTTCTGTGGGCCTCTCTAGCACTTTGCTTCTTCCTGTTCTCATGTGGTCTTCATTTACCATGGTCTCCTATTCCTTGTTCTCCCTCTCTGTTGTTGATCCAGCTGGGATCTCCCGCTCCCCCAGGCTCTCTTTCCCTCGACCCTCGCCTTTCATTACTCCCATTCATGTCCAGGCTGTTCATGTAGATCTCATTCCATTTCTCTGTCATTGGGCGATCCCTGTGTCTTTCTTGGGGTCCTGTTTTCCGGGTAGCCTCCCTGGTGATGTGAGTAGCAGACAATTCATCCTTGTTTCATGTCTAGTATCCTGCTATGAGTGAGTACATACCATGTTTGTCTTTCTGAGTCTGGGTTACCTCACTCAGGATGATTTTTTCTAGATCCATCCATTTGTCTGCAAACCTCATGATGCCATTGTTTTTTTCTGCTGAGTAGTATTCCATTGTGTATATGTACCACATTTTGTTTATCCATTCTTCAGTTGAAGGGCATCTAGGTTGTTTCCATGTTCTGGCTATTACAAACAATGCTGATATGAACATAGCTGAACAAGTGCTCTTATGGTGTGGTTGAGCATTTCTTGGGTATATGCCCAAGAGTGGTATAGCTGGATCTTGGGGGAGATTGATTCCCAATTTTTTAAGAAAGCGCCATATTGATTTCCAAAGTGGTTGTACAAGCTTGCATTCCCACCAGCAGTGGAGGAGAGTTCCCCTAGCTCCACATCCTCTCCAGCATAAGGTGTCTTCAGTGTTTTTGATCTTAGCCATTCTGACAGGCGTAAGGTGGTATCTCAGAGTTGTTTTGATTTGCATTTCCCTGATGATTAGGGATGTTGAGCAATTCCTTAAATGTCTTTCGGCCATTTGAGTTTCCTCTGTTGAGAATTCTCTGTTTAGTTCTATAGCCCATTTCTTAATTGGACTGTTGGGCATTTTGATGTCTAATTTCTTGAGTTCCTTATATATTCTGGATATCAGTCCTCTGTCAGATGTGGGGTTGGTGAAGATCTTTTCCCATTCTGTAGGCTGTCGCTTTGCCTTGTTGACCGTATCCTTTGCTCTACAAAAGCTTCTCAGTTTCAAAAGGTCCCATTGATTGATTGTTTCTCTCAGAGTCTGTGCTACTGGTGTTCTATTTAGGAAGTAGTCTCCAATGCCAATGCGTTCAAGACTACTTCCTACTTTCTCTTCTAGCAGGTTCAGAGTAGCTGGATTTATGTTGAGGTCCTTGATCCACTTGGACTTAAGTTTTGTGCACGGTGATAGATATGGATCTATTTGCAGCCTTCTACATGTTGATATCCAGTTATGCCAGCACCATTTGTTGAAGATGCCTTCTTTTTTCCATTGTGCACTTTTGGCTTCTTTGTCAAAAATTATATGTTCATAGGTGTGCGGATTAATGTCAGGGTCTTCAATTCGATTCCATTGGTCCACATGTCGGTTTCTATGCCAGTACCAAGCTGTTTTTATTACTGTAGCTCTATAGTAGAGCTTGAAGTCAGGGATCGTGATGCCTCCAGAAGTTGTGTTATTGTACAGGATTCCTTTGGCTATCCTGGGTTTTTTGTTTTTCCATATGAATTTGAGTATTATTCTTTCCAGGTCTGTGAAGAATTGTGTTGGTATTTTGATGGGGATTGCATTGAATCTGTAGATTGCTTTTGGTAAGATTGCCATTTTTACTATGTTAGTCCTGCCTATCCATGAGCATGGGAGATCTTTCCATTTTCTGACATCTTCTTCAATTTCTTTTTTCAGGGACTTAAAGTTCTTGTCATATAGGTCCTTCACTTGCTTGGTTAGTGTTACCCCAAGGTATTTTATGCCATTTGTGGCTATAGTAAAGGGAGATGTATCTCTGATTTCCTTCTCCACTTCTTTGTCCATTGTATATAGGAGGGCTACTGATTTTTTTGAGTTGATCTTGTATCCTGCTATGTTGCTGAAGGTGTTTATAAGCTGTATCAGTTCCTTGGTGGAATCTTTGGGGTCGCTCAAGTATACTATCATGTCATCTGCAAATAGGGAAAGCTTGACTTCTTCCTTTCCAATTTGTATCCCCTTAATCTCCTTATGTTGTCTTATTGCTCTGGCTAGAACTTCAAGTACTATATTGAATAAGTATGGGGAGAGTGGACAGCCTTGCCTCGTTCCTGATTTTAGTGGAATTGCTTTGAGTTTCTCTCCATTTAATTTGATGTTGGCTGTTGGCTTGCTGTAAATTGCCTTTATTATGTTTAGGTATGTTCCCTGTATTCCTGATCGCTCTAATACCTTTATCATGAAGGGGTGTTGGATTTTGTCAAATGCCTTTTCTGCATCCAGTGAGATGATCATATGGTTTTTTTCTTTGAGTTTGTTTATATGGTGTATTATATTGACGGACTTTCGTATGTTGAACCACCCTTGCATCCCTGGAATGAATCCTACTTGATCATGGTGGATAATTGTTTTGATGTGTTCTTGGAGTCTGTTTGCCAGTATTTTATTGAGTATTTTTGCATCAATGTTCATGAGGGAGATCGGTCTGTAGTTCTCTTTCTTTGTTGTATCCTTGTTTGGTTTAGGAATTAGGGTAATTGTAGCCTCGTAGAAGGAGTTTGGTAATGTTCCTTCTGTTTCTATTGTGTGGAACAATTTAGAGAGTATTGGTATTAACTCTTCTTTGAAGATCTGGTAGAATTCTGCGCTGAAACCATCTGGTCCTGGGCTTTTTTTGGTTGGGAGACTTTTAATGACTGTTTCTATTTCGTTAGGGGTTATTGGACTATTTAAATAGTTTATCTGGTCTTGATTTAACTTAGGTATGTGGTACCTATCCAGAAAGTTATCCATTTCTTTTAGGTTTTCCAGTTTTGTCGAATAGAGGTTTTTGAAGTATGACCTGATGATTCTCTGGATTTCCTCAGTGTCTGTTGTTATGTCCCCCTTTTCATTTCTGATTTTGTTGATTTGGATGCTCTCTCTCTGTCTTTTGGTTAGTTTGGATAAGGGCTTGTCTATCTTGTTGATTTTCTCAAAGAACCAACTCTTTGTTTCATTAATTTTTTGTATTGTTCTCTTTGTTTCTATTTTATTGATTTCAGCTCTCACTTTGATAATTTCCTGGCGTCTATTTTTCCTGGGAGACTGTGCTTCTTCTTGTTCTAGAGCTTTCAGGTATGCTGTTAAGTCTCTAGTGTGAGATTTCTCCAACTTATTTATGTGGGCATTTAGTGCTATGAATTTCCCTCTTAGTACTGCTTTCATAGTGTCCCATAAATTTGGATATGTGGTGTCTTCATTTTCATTGATCTCTAGGAAGTCTTTAATTTCTTTCTTTATTTCTTCCTTAACCCATTGGTGATTCAGTTGGGTATTATTCAGTTTCCATGAGATTGCAGGTTTTCTGTAGTTTTTGTTGTTGTTGAAATCCAACTTTAGACCATGGTGGTCTGATAGAACACAGGAGGTTATTCCAATTCTTTTGTATCTGTTTAGATTTGTTTTGTGGCCAAGTATGTGGTCAATTTTAGAGAAGGTTCCATGGGGTGCTGAGAAGAAGGTATATTCTTTTTTGTTAGGATGGAATGTTCTGTAGATATCGATTAAGTCCATTTGAGTCATGACATCAGTTAAGTCCTTTATTTCTCTGTTAAGTTTCAATTTGGGAGATCTGTCCAGTGGTGAAAGTGGGGTGTTGAGGTCTCCCACTATTAATGTGTGGGGTTTTATATGTGATTTAAGCTTTAGTAATGTTTCTTTTACATATGTGGGTGCCCTTGTGTTTGGGGCATAAATATTCAGAATTGAGACTTCATCTTGGTGGATCTTTCCTGTGATGAGTATGTAATGCCCTTCTTGATCTCTTTTGATTGATTTTAGTTTGAAGTCTATTTTGCTGGATATCAGGATGGCTACACCCGCTTGTTTCTTAAGACCGTTTGATTGGAAAGTCTTTTCCCAGCCTTTTATTTTTAGGTAGTGTCTATCTTCGAATTTGAGATGTGTTTCTTGTATGCAGCAGAAAGATGGGTCCTGCTTTCGTATCCATTCTGTAAGCCTATGTCTTTTTATAGGTGAATTAAGTCCATTGATATTGAGGGAAATTAATGACCAGTGATTGTTCATTCCTGTTATTTTTTGGTGGTGATGTGTGTGTACTTCTATACGTTGGGGTTTACTGCTGTGGCTTTATCTGTTGCCTGTGTTTTCGAGGGTGTATCTGACTTCCTTAGGTTGGAATTTTCCTTCTAGTGCTTTCTGTAGGGCTGGGTTTGTGGATAAGTATTGTTTAAATCTGGCTTTGTCATGGAATGTCTTGTTCACTCCATCTATGGTGATTGAAAGTTTTGCTGGGTATATTAGTCTAGGCTGACATCCATGGTCTCTTAGTGTCTGCATTACATCTGTCCAGGTTCTTCTGGCTTTCAAAGTCTCCATTGAGAAATCGGGTGTTATTCTGATGGGTTTGCCTTTATATGTCACTTGGCCTTTTTCCTTTGCTGCTCTTAATATTCTTTCTTTATTCTGTACGTTTAGTTGTTTAACTATTATGTGGCGAGGGGACTTTTTTTGGGGGTCTAGTCTGTTTGGTGTTCTATAAGCTTCTTGTATCTTCATAGGCATTTCCTTCTTTAAGTTGGGAAAGTTTTCTTCTATGATCTTGTTGAATATATTTTCTGTGCCCTTGAGTTGGTATTCTTCTCCTTCTTCGACCCCTATTATTCTTAGGTTTGGTCTTTTCATGGTGTCCCAAATTTCTTGGACATTTTGGTTCATGACTTTGTTGGCTTTAGTGTTTTCTTTGACTGATGAATGTATTTCTTCTACTGTATCTTCAACGCTAGAGATCCTCTCTTCCATCTCTTGCATTCTGTTGATTATACTTGCATCTGAAGTTCCCAATCGTTTTCTCAGATTTTCTATTTCCAGCATTCCCTCTGTTTGTGTCTTCTTCATTTTTTCTATTTCCCTTTTCAGGTCTTGGACTGTTTCCTTCATTTGTTTCATTGATTTTTCTTGATTTTCTCTCAGTATTTTATTGTTTTCTTCCAGGACTTTATTGATTTCTTCTAATTTGTTTGCCCTTTCCTCTAGTTGTTTACAGCGTTCTTCACATTTTTTTGTCTTTTCCTCTACACAAGCCTCTAGCTTCTTCATGATGTCATTCATAAGGCTGTTTTCTTCTGCTTCTTCCAATTTCTGATGTTCAGGTCTAGGTGTTGGAGGAGGGCTAGGGCCTGGTGATGCTGTATTGCTATTCATTTTGTTGTATATGTTTCTGCCTTGACGTCTGCCCATCTCCTTGTGCTTCGTTACTGGCCTTATCCGCACACTTGGTTCAGCCAGACCAGTGTTCCAAAAGGGAAGTCCGGAGCAAGATGGGAGCTGGGGGCCGGCCTCTAAGTCTCAGGAAGAGGCTTGGGGCTCAGGCGGATGGGCGTGGGGGCAGGGCGTGGAGACTGCAGGGCCTGCCAGGGGTCTTGGAGAAGGGGATCCTTCCCGGTGGGGCTAGCAGGGAACCTGCCCAGTGGTCAGAACCTGGGGCCAAGTTGGGCAGGTCTTCCCTGGAGTGGCTGGTGCCCAGGGATGGGGTCCGGGGCAAGGAAGGGCACTCACCAGTTTTCCAAAAGGGAAGTCCGGAGCAAGATGGGAGCTGGGGGCCGGCCTCTAAGTCTCAGGAAGAGGCTTGGGGCTCAGGCGGATGGGCGTGGGGGCAGGGCGTGGAGACTGCAGGGTCTGCCAGGGGTCTTGGAGAAGGGGATCCTTCCCGGTGGGGCTAGCAGGGAACCTGCCCGGTGGCCAGAACCTGGGGCCAAGTTGGGTAGGTCTTCCCTGGAGTGGCTGGTGCCCAGGGATGGGGTCTGGGGCAAGGAAGGGTACTCACCAGTTTTCCACAAGGGACGTCCGGAGCAAGATGGGAGCTGGGGGCCGGCCTCTAAGTCTCAGGAAGAGGCTTGGGGCTCAGGCGGATGGGCGTGGGGGCAGGGCGTGGAGACTGCAGGGTCTGCCAGGGGTCTTGGAGAAGGGGATCCTTCCCGGTGGGGCTAGCAGGGAACCTGCCCGGTGGCCAGAACCTGGGGCCAAGTTGGGCAGGTCTTCCCTGGAGTGGCTGGTGCCCAGGGATGGGGTCCGGGGCAAGGAAGGGCACTCACCAGTTTTCCAAAAGGGAAGTCCGGAGCAAGATGGGAGCTGGGGGCCGGCCTCTAAGTCTCAGGAAGAGGCTTGGGGCTCAGGGGGATGGGAGTGGGGGCAGGGCGTGGAGACTGCAGGGTCTGCCAGGGGTCTTGGAGAAGGGGATCCTTCCCGGTGGGGCTAGCAGGGAACCTGCCCGGTGGCCAGAACCTGGGGCCAAGTTGGGCAGGTCTTCCCTGGAGTGGCTGGTGCCCAGGGATGGGGTCCGGGGCAAGGAAGGGTACTCCTCTTTCTTTTTTTTAATGGGGCTCCAGACCTCGGTCCTCACACTTGCACAGTAAACACTTCAGCCATCTTACCCACCCTGTGACTCACTTTAATGGATTTGATTTATACTCCCAAAATATTATTGACTTCTAAAATAACTGATTATTTCAGCTTTTTTGGGTAGTATTCATTTCCCCCCCAAAGTGATCAAAACCCTCCTGAATGTTACATGAAAAACAAGGAAGTTGCTGTGACAGTCTTACCTGTGAGCCACACTGCCCTCTTGAATCTCCTGTACAAATATCCCCAGCTCTCCCCTGTTTTCACTTCTGAGCCCAACAACACTAAACCCAAGGCCTCCACATGGAGGTTTGAGGAGCTCAAATATTTCCACATGTCGACCCTGTTCAGGAAACAAAACAGGAAATAAAATTAAAAGCCAATTACAAGCAGGCAGCACAAGCACATTTTTCAAATCAGAGCTCATGAGACTGAGACTGGAGGATAGAGAGTTGTATACAAGCCTGGGTTACACAGGGAATGCAATCCAGCATTACAACCCAGACTACATAGCAAAATCAAAATCAAACTAAAAATCTCAAAATCAAAGCTGCACAAAACAAGAAACATTATTACAGCTAACAGTCATCTTACTGGGACATTACTTTGTTTATCAAAAAGAAGAAAGTAGAAAAAGAACAGTTTAACACTCATCACCTAGAATAGAACATTTCATTTTTCCAGAAGAATATTTCTGGAATGTGGCATAAAATACCAAATTTAAAATGTGATCATTTTTCCAAATGATCAGTCTTCAAAACATAAACACACAAGTAATATTATACAGACAGAGCAGGACATATTTATGTATTTAGGAACACGAACACACACACACAGAAAGAGAGAAGGGAGAGAGGAGAGAGAGAGAGAGAGAGAGAGAGAGAGAGAGAGAGAGAGAGAGAGAGAGAAGAGAAGAGGAGAGGAGAGGAGAGGAGGGGGGAGGGGAGGAGAAGAGGGAGGGCGGGGGAGGGGAGGGGAGGAGAGGAGAGGAGAGGAGAGGAGAGGAGAGGAGAGGAGAGGAGAGGAAGCTAACTGAAAGCAGTGATGATCAATCCTAAGTACATTTATCAGGAATGTAACTTTTATCTACAATTTCACGTTAGAAAGATTCATGGGTGTTTTGTCCAGATCACTCTGCCCTGTCACCCAGAATTCTGTCCCTCACTCCCTTTGCCCCAGCTATTCTAACCTCATTGCACCCACACAGTCAGAGTGCTCACACTACCAGCCAGGTAAAAATATTTCATTGATGTCATCTACTCAACGTGCATGTGTGTGTGTGTGTGTGTGTGTGTGTGTGTATAACAACACTAAAAAGAGAGACAGAGATCATGAATTTAAAAGGGTTTGGCAGGAGTGAAGGGAAGGGGGAAATGATATATTATAATCTTAAAAAAAATATATAAGATAATAGAAAAATCTGAACTATACAAATTCCCCAAAATTCTTTTTCACTCCAAAATTGTTCAGGTGTTATAAATGCTACTGCATTCCTCAAATTATCCAGGACTCAGGCACCTTCTTAAACACACCCAGTGCTAGTCACAGGGAGAAATGCTCTTACCTGGGCCATATTTTTGATGAGCTGATCAAGTTCCTCAAAGGCAGGCTTCCCATCCATGACAGATGGAGCGCCAGGTCCAGGAAGAGCTTCCAGGTTCCCATTGTTTGGAGATAGTAAAAGCGATTCACTTGGCAGAGTGGGAATCACAGCGGAGCTGAGCTGAGGTGTGTGGGCAGGGTCAGCATTTGTACTTGCCAAAGTGGTGATGTTTACCTAGGAGGACACAGAGATTAATAACAACAATGCTAGTGTGTTTAAGCCAACTGCAGCAGCTCTGCCCTCTTCTGAGATACAAGAGGGGCCTTGAAGCCACATTTCTCTTTAATTTTGTGTTAATGTTTCTCAAAAGTATTAGACTGAACTTCCACCTGGCCAACTCCTGTTACACCTAGAATAACAACACCAAAAATGATTATTTTCATTTTGCAAAGCAGAACATCACCATAGCGATTAACATGGCTCCACGTAAAGGTAACTGAAAGCGGTGTGGACAGTCATCAACCCTAACTAACTGTGCAACGCAAATGGTCAATCCTAACTCTACAGCATAAACAGTCCTAACTGAGCAGTGGATGCAGTCAACCCTACCTTTGCCATGCAGATGGTCAATTGTTCCCGTGCAGTGTAAACAGTCAGTCCTAACTAGATATTTCTGCAAAGTATCAGGGATGCAACTTTTTGTCTACAACTATGTGTCAGAAAGATTCATAAGTGTTATGTCGAGAACAGCTCTGCCCCTCTTCCTCATCCCCTTAGCCTCAGCTATACTGACATCCTCACTGTCACTTTCACACCACCAGCCAGGTCAAAATATTCACATTCACTTATTTCATTCATGCCTACTCAACCTTACCATGCAGAAGCCCTCCCTGATAGCCTATCCCACATAGGACCCTCCACCTTGCTTTGGGGGCAGCCCTTGCCCTGCTTCTCTTCAGAGCTCTTATTCTAGTTTCATTATCCTGCTTTGATAGATACAACACTCTGAACAAACACAACCTGGAGAGAAAAAGGTCTATGGGGCTTAGACCCCGGCCATAGTCCATCACTGAAGGAAAGAAGGGCAGGAATTCAAGGCTGAAACACGGAGGCAGGAACCAGGAGGGGTGCAACTTGTCAGCTTGCTCTCTGGCTCACTCTCTCTCAGGTCTATGATCAGGACCACCAGCCCACAGAATGTATTTCCTTCAGGGGGCTGGGCCCGCCTACATCAATTGCCAATCAAGAAAATGGACATGTCCACAGGCAAACTTAATAAAGACAATCACTCAACGAAGACTCCCTTTTCAGTGGATTCTAGGCTGTGTCAAACTGACAGTTAATGGTAACTAGGACAGCACTTCCATGCTGTTGATAAATCATCCACTGTCAAATCACTTCCATTTCAGCCAGTGGGAGTAAACAGAACGTAAAACTCCCCAGTGGAGGGATCCAAACAAAAATTCTGTTTACTTCCAGGTCTCTGTCCTCTAGAGGAATGCCTTGCACAGAGTAGGCCTTCAACATATATTTGCAGAATAAACACTTACCCACACAACTCCTCCACTGGTATTGGTTCCAATTCATAGAGGACAGGATTACACAAAATCCTGTACCTAATAACACTGTGTGACAAGGACGCTTTTTCATTATGTGGCTATCATCTTTGTGACACACAGAATACAGTCACTTGAAATACCATTCCAGGATAAAGACAAGGTAAAAAGCATCCAATGATGAACTCTATGAAAATATTTCATCCTGTGCCCCAATAAGAGTTCATCACCCATTTTTAAAAATAAAACAGAAAACTTATTTACTTACCAAAGTTACCAAAAATTTGCCATTATATCAGCTACCTTTAGTCACCCATGAAAAAGAGGGAAGAAGCTTCTGGGAATTCTTTCAAGTGTTTATTTTAAAATCTACAGCAGGCATGATCAATTATTATTTTTCAAAAGCAAGTTTCTTTTGCCAAGACTGATTTTTTTTTTTATTCTGAGCCATGGCAACTTCAGTAAAGTCTGCCGGCAGAAGACACACTGCTCAGGTTGAAGCAGATGGCATAATAAAATTTGTGACAGGCTGAAGATCCCACACACTAGGACCTAATGCCTATGGTATGTTTGCATAGTGAAAAATATTTGGACTTCTGCTACAGTAAGCCAGAGTGAACAAACCCCATCCCGAGAATAGATGGTCTCTCTCTACAAGAAATGAACCACCAAAGTACAAGCTATGATGTTACGGAGGACCAGGGCTGGGGCAGTGCAAGAGTTAAGTCACTGGAGAGCAAGTGTTGCTGCACTATGAAGATCATCTGGGAAGGGTCTCACAGAGGTCACCGACTTCCCTGGCTTCTTGCTTGCTCTTGGGCTTTCCTATAAATGGAGAGCCAGGGTTACCTACAGAAAACAGCCCGCATATTTTAAAACTGTCATTTAATTACACCATCAAAAGACTTCTTTTTAAGTTTGAAAACTTATACTCTCAGGGAAAAGCACAAAGGCACATTTGGATTCATTTTCAACGATTTATTAAAACCGTTTCCTAACCCAGGCATGGATGTACACCTACAATTCTAGCTCTAGGGAGGCTGAGGCAGGAAGATCTCAAGTTTTAGGACGACCGGGGGTAGCAAGGATGTCCCTGTCTAAAAAAACAGTATGAAATAAGAAGAAAGGTGCTCTTCATTATATGATTTGAGACACAGGAATGAATCTTACTTATATTTTCTGGCAGATTATTTGAGTGCCAAAGAGCTTTTCTGTGCCCAATAAACACATATATTAACTTGTGAACTTTGGTTAATGCTGCTACTTAAATTAGAACTTAAATGAAGATTATGTACATTGTTGAATAGAAAAATTTTCCAACTGTAATACAAGGACAGGTTCTAGCTTGGTGCCAGTTGTTAAAAGTATGAAAATCCAAGGCAGGCAGTGGTGGTGCACGCCTTTAATCCTAGCACTCGGGAGGCAGAGGAAGGCGGATCTCTGTGAGTTCGAGGCCAGCCTGGGCTACAGAGTGAGTTCCAGGAAGGACTCCAGAGCTACACAGAGAAACCCTGTCTCAAAAAACAAACAAAACAAAACAAACAAACAAAAAAAATATAAGAATCCCTCTTACAAGACTTTCTGCATCACTACAGATCTTTCCTCAATCTTAAAGTTTGGTCAATATAACCAATCCACCACAATTAATTTATTCACCTATATAGAATTTTATATTTCTATAGAAAAAGTTTACATCACACATATCACATAGCTTCATAAAAACATAAAATTAAACATAAATGGCAGATTGTCAGAACACGGCCCAAGAATGGAGTCATGTCAGGATAATTCTGAGTGCTTTTGAGAAAATGCCAAGAAAACAACAGACAAATCTTGTGACCTCCATTGTTTCAAAACACAGACTTGTTCTTGGAATGTGTTTTTGTGCTCCTCCTAAGTGTAGCAGAAAGGAGTGAGTTTTCTTCCGATGATTCATTACAGCTGTTGATTGTTATTTGTTTATATGCCTCTATGGAAACACATGTTTTTTCCACATGTGGCTTATCCTTGTGATTATACACATTATTCAGGTGACTTATCTTAACTCTCAGAGTATAAATTGTCTGATGCTCTGAATAAAGTTGGTTATGGCATGAGACTTTCAGTCAACCTCATTTATCGGCTCCATTTCCCCCAGGTCCCACTGCCTCTACAGCAGTGACAGCAGACAGCTTTAAAATTATCTTTAAACAAACCTACATGTAACTGGCACGAGCTGAAGATGCATATAAACCAGGGCAACTGGGCAGCTGAAGTCCAGTGGCTGTCTAGTGGAGAAATGGGCAGCATCTCTACCTAAGTCACCCACTCAGGTGGAACTGTACTAGGGAGCCACTGCACAGCAGGATTCCAAGACAACAAAAACTCACTTTAGTTCAAAATGGAATTAAGAGTAGCCTCTGGGAATGCTTACATCAGAGAAGCCTTTTATCAAAAACAAACAAACAAGGAGAAAGTATGCAAAAAGGCAAGAAAAAATATATCAAGTATAAAAAGAAATCAGGAATTGTGGCATGTTCTACCAATGAGAAGCAGAGAAGTAGCCATAGCCCACAATGTAGAAGACGGTCATGTACAATAATATAGACCACTGCCGTTTACTTTAAGAGGCTCCTGGCTACAACATATCACAGTGACACAGCACACATCCAAGGCAAAGAAAATCTGAAAAGCCGTGATAGCAAAGCCTCAGTTTGTCATCAAAGAAGAGAAATCAGGCCATAACTGAGTAGGGTGACTAAAACCAAGACATAAGCCAGAGGTGACTGCACACACCCATCATATCAACATAAGACAGACAGGAGGATCCTTTGTTCAAGAGACTCTATCTCCAAATAAATAAATACATAACAATAAATAAAAGTATAAGAAAGTAGGTATACCTCCCTTTTCCACAACACATGTATGAAAATCAGCTGTTGCCTTAAATTTCGAGAGGGGAAAAAATACCAGAGTAAATTTGGGTGCAGAAAGAGGCTAATCTTAGATAGAAGGTCCAAAATAGAGATGGTCCATAATTAAAGAACACAAAAAGGGTTTAAAATGTGAGTGAATTAATACCTATTACTAAAATAGTAGAGTAGACAATAAAAACCTGTAGAGGGGATCAGGGCCTGCATTTACACAAGAGGCAGGGATGAGATAAACTAGGCTCAAGGGTTTAAGTTCTCTAAATCTTCTGGGTGGTAACAGCACTGACTAATCTAGAATAGGTCAACGACCGGACAAGAAGCCAGTGTACAAAATATATGAGAAAACTCAGAAGTCATTTAAAAATGAGCAAAAAGCAGAAACATTTCACTAAGTAGGATACAGGAATGGACAACAGCACCAAAAGATGGTCAGTGTGGCTAAGAAAAGTCAATTAAAGCATAAAATTACCATTTTACACCTCCTGAAATAGGGAAGATGTAGAAAAGCATAAATACATTCTTACTGGCAGATAAATTAGTAGTTTCTGAAAAAAAAATATGCATGCATTTACCAAAGAACCTCCTGAGCATTATTCAATAGCAAAATCCTAAGTTGAAGTCCAAACACTTGTGGTATATGTCTGTAATATAGGAGGCCAAGGCAAGAGGGTTGTGAATTCCAGAACAGCCTAAGACACACAGTGGCAATCTGCCTCAAAAACGAAACAAACAACAGCAACAAAAATCTGTATTCACAAAAAAAACC